CCCACCATAATGAAAAAGAAGTTTGTGCAGATGTTGATATCTGACCTAGAGCTCTATGTTTTCTTTGCAGAGCCTTGTCTCATTTATGCATGTAAAAATCTGGAATAATTTCCAATAGAGTCAAAGGAGTTACTGCAGAATTAGGTGGGTTTAAACAAAATCTGTTTGGAAATTAGAGTTTATAGCTTACTGGGTAAGTAAAGGGAAAAATTCCTTTCAAATGTTTACCTCTGAACACAATTACAATATAACCATTTACCTATCCTTAGTTAATATTTTTTAAATAATTCAAAACCTTTTTTTAAATGGTGGACTGATAATTATACAATGACAGAAGATGAACTGAGTGATTGAGCAATTTACTGCACCCAGGTTGGAAATTTTCACTGAATTTTTAAACCCTTAAATCAATATTGTGCAATTTTTACATAACTTTTAGAAAATCTCATTAAATAATATAAAGAGATTAATCCATAAACAGCAAGAGTATCAGTTCTGATGTAAATAGGAGTTAATTTGATTACACACCTAAACATAGATGTTTTATACAGTTATTTTAACAACTGTATTTATATGATAATTAAATAAGTATTTAATGAAATCCCCCAAAGTCTGTAAGAAGAAGTCTCTTTAATGATTACTCTATTAATGTCTGTTCTTGCAGTCCTCCCAAATGACACCACTGCAATATTTCTATATGTAGCAGATGTCAAAGGGATTCAGTATTCAAAAGTTCAGCAGGCCTGGGATGAGAAAGCTGTAAATGGCGTATAGTACATGGGTCCTGATGACTGTGCGTGACGGATGAATTTTATATGTGCTATCCAAGGTGTGAGGGAGGATTGAAACAATCTTATATGAAGGATAGAACCACATGAAAGTAGGATGAGAGAATTTGGGTTTCGTTGTGTGTGGGTTTGGTTTTTTTTTTTTCCGAGAGGAAAATATTCTGCATCCGTTTTAGCACCAGATTTATCATTTCAACTTGTTCAATAGCATTTTAGGAAAACAGCTTTGCAAAGCAGGAGCCCCTGATAAGCAGGTTAAAAGCTGTAAGCATTAGGATCAGCCAGTGCTTCTATAGGACTAGACTCCTCTTTGGTTAATACGTTAAATCATTGACTTACAAGTGATGAAACATTTATGATAAGTCAGTTCCTGTTGCTCTGAATGGATGAAAGGTGGTTTATGGCCTTTCTTACAAACTCTGTGGCTGCTTTCTCCACTCACGGAAGCATAAACCTATTTTTCCTGCACAGTACACGCCACTGGCATAAACCACAGGAGCACTACTCTGCTTTCACCCTTCTTCTGCTACGCTTCAGAGATTATTCTGCAACAGGGAATGCAGAAATCTGGCATGAACTGCTAAAGCTAATCTTAAAATGAGCAATTCATGGACATAACACAGTTTCCTAAATCGTGTGAATGAAACGTAAGTGTTCTGCACCTCTCTAAAAAAAAGAAAGGCTCCGCTCCTGCAGAGACTGAGATGGTTGTAAAGGCAGATTGTGCTCTTGAATTTGCACCGAAAACCCTGTCGCCAGCCCCCAAATGAGACTAACTGATGGTGACAACAGAATAAAAATAACAAGAGAAATATCCTAATCATCAGCCTAACCAGGGAACTTCAAAAAGGTCAGGGGAAAAAAATCCTATGCCCTATTTCTTCAATAAAAGGGTAGCACTAAGACATCTAATGCTCCTCTGTGTTTTAAAGCAATCTTCCATTTGAGAGCCTCAGAATATTTAGCTTTTCCCTGCAGGTTGGATATTACCAAACAAGGCAACTAAATAACTTGCCCAAAGCTCTGCGTGAGATCTAGGGCAAAATTCTGAAGAGATTCCTGTTGCCTGTTTGTAACTGTGCTGGGTGGTTTTATGGTTTTGCTTATCTCCACTTGTGCAGCTGACTCCTTCCTCTGCTATTGACTGTCTCATTCTACATCCTGGACCTGCCCACCCATACAAAGATGCAACACCTTTCAAAAACACTGGGCTTTGTTTTTCTGGGAAAAAAAAAAAAAAAAAAAAAGTTAGTGAGCCTGGGATGAATGAATCACAATAGTAACATGTTAAAAAGGGATGCTACAGCACATCAGCCCAGATCTGCTGTGTGTAGGTTAAGCAGCAAGGTGCAAAGCAGACAGTCAACTTGAAGTCAAAGAGAAGGATCTTCTTTCAGTTATGCCTTTTGAAAAGTGTCTAAAATTCTTCCAATATCCACAGAAAAAGGATTTTGAAAGCAACTCTCCATTGACTTCAGTGCAGCGACTGGGTGTAGCTGAAGGCAGATCTCAGCGTTTCAGGCTTGCAGCCCAAGCTGCGGCTGCTCACAAGGGGACCCCTTAGTCCAGTGGTTTCCATCCTTTTTGGATTTGGTCCTTCCAATGGATCTTCAAATTCCTACAGTGTGAATTTAAACCGAGTGACGAAACGTTTGGTTTTGAGACCCATGGTGTTGGACTGTGGACCATCACTGACTGCAGGTCAGGGCTCGTAAACCACCGTACTAATGGTATCCCAAATTGTGACGGTAGGTTTGGTTCAGTATAATAAACAGTACATAAAGGCAGGAGGATAAAAAATAAAATAATTGCAACTAAAGCCCCTTGGGTGCCTCAGGAGACTCTGACAATAGTCATTTCGCAGAACCAACGATAAATCAGGTAAAACTTAGACCCACTGTGCAGGTGAACTAGGAAACAGACACAGCGTATATTTTCTGTTGTAATAGTACCACACAGCAGTAATGTTGTCCTCCTGGTGAAGTTACAAATAATCCCATTTTCACAAATAGAAAGGATTGTAAGGATGGAAAGAGAAAGCCTTCATGAGATCCATCCGTCCTCCAGTTCTTTGCCAGATGAACCTGATTTTTCCATAGGTAGATCAAGGCTGGTTATTGATTCTCAAGAAAGCAACGAATTCCCTCCACGGTCAAGTGCATTATGCCAAATGCACCCCTGATGCGATTCTGCTCAGAACAATCCTCTTGCTCCATTGATAAGCCTGCTCTTTGCTCCATTGACCTGAAGCAGCTCTCCCTCTGCTTCTCCCTGGAGGTGACTCAGGGATCCATTTCCTTCCCTATTACCAAGTTCAAGCAATTGCACATCACAGACCAAAACCTATTTCATAACATTTCTGAAGCTTCCAGGCAAAGTCCAATTATATTTCTTCAACCAAGCTCACAAAATTTTTTGTTTATGACTGCAGGAATAACAGCAGATGAGTAATTTGGGGCTGAAGAGATACTTTTGCAACCCCAAGAGCTGAACAATGCTCCTAACACTGTTTTACAACCCTTGTTTGTTTTTATAACACATTCTGTGTTGGTACAAGGGAACTTCATCAAGATATGCAACCCTAACTGATTTGTTTGTGTTCCTCTACATCCTGCATACAACTTATTTTTCTCTCTTTAGGGTGTAGCAAGGACAAACCATTCAAGTACTTCAAGTTTTATTCTGCTGAAACAATTATAGTGTTGCTATGCTAACACCATTCTCCCTGTAACATTTTGGAATGATTTGATGGCACTCTGGGAAAGGACTAGAAGGAAAACAAGCATAAAATAAAGACAAGCAAGTACATAGATCAGAATACTAATCTTAATATCCTATTGTGTCCGTATCCTCTTAATCTAAGAATACAGCATTAGTGTCTACAGGGGGCTGGCCCAAAGATGCATCCAGGCCAGGACCCTGTCTCAGACAGGGCCAACAGCAAAGGCCTATAGAAAATAATGAAAAAAATATGAGCAGAGTACCATTTTCCCTGAATATTTTTCCAGTCATTTGCTGCTCAGCAGCTTCTTGAGTCAGAATGCCTTCGTATTTGATGGCTCTTAGTGAATGTTGATAATAACAATTATTCCCTGTCAAAACCACACCTGCACCCCTGTTATTATCACAAGACAATGTGAAAACACTGAAGGTGAAGAAAGAAGGTTCTACAGCTGTTGGGAAACCTCTGGCTTTTGTTGGCCATGTCTCCACTAACCACATCTGGGACAGCTCTCTGACGCCAAGGTTTGCTGGCATGGAATGGCCTGTGCCTATCCTAGTCCTCTCTCTTACCCTCCAAACCAGTAAGTTATCTATTATAGATCATCCCTTGGCTATATTATCTCCTGAACTGCTGCTGGGAACTGTTTGAGAGAGACCGCACTGGCTGGCCGATGCTCAGCCAGCCAAGGACACTTCCAAGATGTACGAAGAACCAATTTCCTATGCCATGAGATGTTCCTTACTCAGATGTAGCCACTGATTTAAATGCAGTTCTGATGGGTTTATACAGCAAGCATGTCTAACACACTGCTCGTGGAAATCCCTTTGATAAGATGGTAACTTTAGGCAGTCACAGCCTAAAGGTGTTAAGAAAGAGATGTGGTGTTGGATGGGTGTAAAATCAGTTGCTGTCACCCTACCAGTCCAGGTGAAACACGCATTAAAAAAGGAGTAGACTCTATGACTATGTGGTGCGTAATGCCTGAACAGTCCTAGATAATGGATGAACTAACATTGCTCAGGATATGCTGCTGTCAGTTCTGCTTTCTCAGTCGTTCCGGATGGTCTTCAGTGGTATTTCAGAAACGATCACAATATGCCTGCAGCTTTACTTACTGGCCCCTTTTTTTTCTCAGCAGCACGTAACTCATTCTGCCAGGCTGACACACATTTTCACATATTCAAACAGGAATAAGAATATTTTTCTTGCACTAGTGGTGGTGTGACATACCCTTCATTTGCTCCTCCTTTTTCATATAATGCATTTATGAGCATTATATGATGAAGTTGATTTTCCAGGTTTGGAAATCAACAGATGGTGATGGGTATAGAGCTGAGCTGCAGTATACCCATGCACATCTCAACAGACATACAGATATATGTACACCGACAATCAATATGGATAAGATGGCAAATGTATTTGATCCTCAGTGAGATGGTTTTAGAGTAATTCACTGACATACTCACAGAGCTGGTCAAGGATCATACCTTCTATGGTAATGGCTTGGTCTCCTCTCCTCTCCTGGGTCAGGGCTGCAGCACTGTGATGGTAAAGTTCTGCTCCACTTTTTGCAGACCCTAATCTGTTCACCAGCTAAAGAGAATCATGCAGTACCAAATGAAACGCAGGATGTTTTTGTATAATAAAAATCTTCCTATACTACATTACAAATTCGTTGCAATTTACATGACAACAGAAGTGGGCAAAGCTGTGACCCCAAAGCAGAGCTAGAGTTTGAACGAACACATTGCTGCTCAGTGGAGTTCGTGAAAATGCTTTACCACAAGTGGCTCGCACAGACAAGTTACGGCACATCAGCTCACTTAGTTAATTTGCACTTTGCTCTGCAGTCTGTGCCTTGGTCCTGAGGTAGCTCTGTCTCTACCAACAGGCACAGATTCCTGCTGTATGTCATTTAAGTAGTAAAGAAGGTTTTTTTGTTTATCATCCATTAATCGACTGGGTCTTAGCCAAGGGAATACTGGACCTTGGGATCTTAGCTAATGGCAAGTGCAAGGTAATGTGATTTTGCTAAAATTCTACTAGAAGTCTTTAAATTATATCAAACTTCCTACAAATTTCTGTGGAATAACTGTGAAGTTGCTGTGAGCTGAGCCGTTGGCCATGGGTCAGCTGACCCATGCTAATTTCCTAAATCGAGGTCAACTGGTTTTTATTGCTGAGCCCTGACAGCTTATAACTATTTTATTACAATGAATGCATAGACTATGACTAATTTTTAGAGAGTATTTTACAGCACATTTATTTTAATTTATTAGATACTTCCACGTATGCGTGCTTGTTAAATAAACAGGAATTTCTGTGGTTTACACTTCCATTTAGATTTAATTTCTTTCTTTTGGCTTTGGATGGTTTCTTTGTAGCAGCATGAATCTGTCCTAATTTAAACACGGTCCAGAAACAAAATGTCATGTCATAGTGGTCCTAAACTTTGTAAGAGGTACTTCTAGAGATCCAGATCTGAATTTAAGCTACAGAACAAGCTCACTCAGTTATTATTTGAACCACCAAACCCTCGGATTGGAATATTCTGAATCTTTTGGATGTTCACAATCCAGATCTAGTTCAGGAGAACCTGACTTTATATAAACTTTTTTTATGTGGCAGGCAGCAGCAATTACTCAGCCACTATTCTCATGCAAGGTGTCTCTCCCAGTAAAATGAATTCTCCTACCTATGTCATGTCAGAGAGCAGATCTTTAAAACTCTCCGAACTTACCTCACATTCATAGTGTCCCATATCTTCATTGGAAGGGTTCTTCACCACCAGGACTATTATGCCACTCCGTGGTTCACTGAAAGTCTGGTATTTACTTGTGTTCTTCAACAGTACACCATCTTTGTACCATCTGCATGTGGAAAACACTGAGTATAAGCCAGGAAAAAATATGCAGTGTCAAGAAGTCCCCAGCTCACTGATCCATCTGTCAGACCAGTGGGCAAACAACCCAAGAGTTAACCATTCGACAAAAGTTTGGATCCTGGAAGATGGGTCTACAGGTTGGCAGATCACACGTGGATACTAAACTGCACAGGTTTATGAGATTCTTCTCAGAAATTCTCATATAGGCAAAAGGGCTTCTAATCATGTGAAGCTATGCTGAGTTTTTGTCTGAATACCTCAGGCTGGTTGCTGATGAAATAAATTCAGGTGTAAGGCAGGGAGGATAAAGGAATGATAGAGTGTTGTCAGGGCATTAGATCTGATACAGTCCTATAGCAGGTATTATCCGTAGGTATTTCTTTTCAGATGTTAGCTAGAATAAATTGCTGAGAATCTCAGGAATGTTGGGATTGGGAAAAGCCAGCATTGGGATGGGGTTAAGGTGGAAGACACAGAGAAGAAAGGGTAATAACCTTGAAAGAAAGGGCAGGACACTCTTCTGACAATGCAAAATAGCAAAACAGGATTTGTCCTAGCGTGACTTGAAGAACTGACCTGATTTGAGGCCTAGGTGCTCCTTCAATAGTACAGGTAAACTGAGCATCTTCACCCTCGACAAAATAAGCATTTCTAACCTTGTTCACAAACCGTGGTGGCACTGCAAAGCAAAGATAAATGTAGCTAGTAGCTGAAAATATGATCAGATACAAAGGTTGTGCCCCTGACCAGATAATTCTTATGATGTCTTCACACAAGACACTAAAGATCAAATTTTTTCACCTAAGAACAACTGACTGCACCTGTACATCAAATAACTTTTTTAAAGTATTACCCAGTAGATGTTATACAGAACTTCTAGGATGTCTTAATATTTATGTTTAAGCTATTACATAGCAGTCCCCTTTAAAACGATGCATCTGTGCAGAACTTTACCTTGAACAAGGATCTTTCCTAAGGTACTGGCGTTTCCAGCAGGACTGGAAGCAAAGCACATGTACTGTCCTGAGTCAACACCCGTTAGGTTGTCCAAGATCAATGTGCAAGAACCATCGGGATCTTCTATTATAATGTGATGGGGATCCACCTCCACAGGCTTTCCATCTGAAAGACGAAGGGGGAAAAAAAAATTAAATAGCTTAGTATCAATTATGTTTTCTCCTTGGGAATTTCATCCAGCTTTTCTGCTTGAGAGGACTGAGAGCTTTATTTGCTTTTTTGCAGCTGATGTTGATAGTTGAGGAATGAGTTCTTCATCTTCGTCCAACTCTCTACAAAACATCCCCTGGGCAAAGCACTGCTGAGGGACCTCATACATCATCAATCTTCATTTAATTTGAAATTCTCCCAGAGTGTGCTCTGTGCTGTTATAGCTCTGATTTGCTAGCCACAGGAACACCTCCAAAGTGACTGTAAACATGCAGAACAGATCTTTACAAGGTGTGAACTTACAGCAAAGCTGTTTACTCTGCAATATGGTAATGCTGGGGAAAAGAATATGTCCACACAGCTGCCTGTGCTATGACATGGAAACATCTGAGCTAGTTCAAACAAGTTGTTCATTTACTAGAAGTTGTCTAACTACCACAAGATGTGGCTTCATAAGGGCTAATAGGCAAACCTGAAAAAGAAGGGTATATTAGCTCATAGGAAGATCTAAGTTACCTGGGTTGCTTAGTAGCTAACTTTAAGACTAGACTTGGGTATCTCTAGGTGGTCAGCTTTTAGATTACCCACTAACCAAAGCAATATAGACAAAGAACAAATTTGGAAGATGTACTTCATGGCTTGCCGCTCATACCTTTGTACCAGCTGACAGATGGCTTGGGAGCTCCTGTGACTTTGCAAGCCAGCTTGACTGTCTCTCCCAGCTCAGCTGTACACTCTGCCAGTTCTTCCTCAAAGTCTGGAGGTACTGAAACGTCAGAATAAGCATGTTAGTTTGGAGGAGGGGGGGGTCTGTCCATAGGGTGGCTGCTGCAAAGTAAGATAGGAATAGCTATAATTTTTGCAAATCTGTGAGGTTCAGAATGGGAAGCTGAACAGAAAATTTTAGCAGCTAATGACTTTCCAGGTGTCATGCTGTCCTTGCTTATCTGAGACTAAATTCAGTCTGTCAAATGTCTGTTGTTGGCTATAAAGATGGGCCATAAAAAAATGGGATTTGTTTCTGATCTGGAAGTATTTTCAGCCATGATTTTAATAAGTACATCCATTATTCAGACACAACACAGCTGCTACAGTTAGATAATTCCCCAGTTAAAATGCACCCTTGATATCCAAAATAGTATTCTGTTGGTCTCCATACAATAAAATCTATGCTTTGTTAAGGGACTTTTTTTTAACTTATTGCTACCATATGAAACTACGCAAAATTATTCTGATAGTCTTCCTCATTAGAACACCTCACTAAAAGCACAAAAATAAAATGCCCAGACTTGTTTTCAGTGTATATACACTAAACCCAACTCTGTTCTGGCATTTTAAGATGCCAAATTTCCTTATGCTATGAAGAACACCATTTCTAGCTTATACCTGGACAATAAAGATATAATAACCCTGCTGATAAATTTTGTGGATAGAAAATTGATGGAATCTCAAATGTCGGTGAGGATGAAGCAGCCTGAATGACAAGATAAAAATCCAAAGCAAACCCACGTGCGCAGATACAGCAATGTAAGCCAGAAGTCGAGTGGAGGATTTGGTACCCAACAAAGTCACAAGGGGCTTTATACTGGTATCAGCAGGACTCTGGGTCAGGTCCTGAGACTGGTTTTCCCACTGGAGTCTGATGCTCTTCATGCAGTGGGCCAGGGCCTTTGTCACCAAATCCTGTGGTCATCTCCCCTTCTGCAATCCCTGCCAGATCAAAGGCATCTCTAGTGCCAACTCTGCAATTTGTGTTTTAGAAGTTTCAGTAACGTGTTTCTCTTCTCCAGTCACACACATTTTCTGGGCTATTTTGCTGGAAAATAACGTCCTCTGCTTATTGACAAGAATGTATGAATATGAAGACAGGGAACTGAGCAACCACTTCAGTCTCTGACTCTGATCCTCCATCAGAGGCAACCCACATCAGTTGAAACGGCCAGGGATAGCCAGCTCTTCTCAGCTCATCAGCCTGTGTTTTCCACACTTGGGTTACGGACATTGAAGAGTAATTAGAAAGTTACTCATCTGCTCTGCTATTGCCTAAAAACCTCTACAGGTCCTGTGGGACCTCTGTCATGTAAACTTAATCATTTCAGTGATATACAGTCTTGGCTCCCTTGATGGTAAATGGAGAGAGTCAAACACCACTGTCCCATCCTGGTAAAGATACCTTCCCCAGCTCAAGTGGAGGACCTAACACTGCTATAATTATTCCGGTTAAAGCTTATTGCACGCTGTCAAGTCACGTGCGCTGTTATTTACAGAAGTCTGTGATGTGATTAAAGGAAAAACCTCTAACCCTAGTTCAGTTTAAGAGGTGGCAAATGACCCTAGATGGTTTCTCTCCTTCTTTTGCTAATCTCCTTCTTGAATCAGAGAGACCACCCAACAAAAAACTAAGAGGTCTGGGCTATCTCAGGCCATACTCACTCCAGACGGGCTCGCTGATCCGCTGCTGTATGCCACAGATCTCCTTCACCCAGGAGTTCTTGATATTTACTGTACGTGCCTGAAGGAGGTACTTGCGGACCAAGTCCTCCCGTTCGTGCCAGATCTCAAACGCCCGGTCATCCCCTTCCACAAGGTCGTTCACGTCTATGTTGTTCAGCTGCACGACAGGAGGACAAGAAAGTCAACGCACATCCTGTGTTCTTAAGGCTGAATTTCCCACAGCTAAAAACCCAGAGTTTAGGACAGTTCAGATCCAGCCTTTGTGAACCAGAACAGTCTTCAATCACGGCTTGAAATGGAAACAACTATTAATCACCAGCAAGTCTCCTGCTACCAGTGTGTGCCCTCTTTGGTGGACATGAGTTGTGCCATTCCCATTAAAGCTATATCAGATGCTCCAACAGCAAAATGGATAATTTACACTACTTTTAAAGATTTTTCAGATTGCATGAGCAAGGCAACGTGGCTTTGGCTGAACAACAACCAGGGACACTTCGCAATCCTTTCCCCAGTATACTTGACTTTCTGGGTGCCAAACAGACATTTTCCTGGGACTAGTTATCGCATTTCAGGGAAGTAACATCTGGGATTAAAGTGTATCCCAAGGGTGGGACACACTGGCCCTGCAGTGCAGCGCTGTTGGGCCCAGGAACAACACGGTTAGGGGCTACATGAAAAGAAGTTACAGAGCAGGCACTCTCTGGACAAAGCATCCCTTTCTTCTTGGAAAATAAACTCTGCGTATGAATATCAGTGAGGACAGTGATAAGGACTTTTGGAAGGCCCCGACTGGGCTTGGTCAAGAACTCCATGGGTTTTTTGTTTGGTTGGTTAGTTTTTACTGGAGTTGAGCATCTGCTGCCTTGGGAAAACTCTTTCTGAATTTTCCTGCAGTTTTAACCTGAGCCCTGAATGTCTGAAGATGAGCTGGTCAAACCCCTTGAATTTTTCATTTCTAAACAGGAATTCGTGTCAGGGAAGGACATAACCAGCAGAAAGTACCACTGGGAATGTAGCATATGACTAAAACAGCATTTCCTCCAATTTACTACCAACATTACAGAGTGCCAAAACCGAAGATCTACCAATGCTAGCAAATACTATAGACAGCAAAATTTTGCGCACTTATGCAGTTAACTCAATGAGCTAACAGCCGTGGATAAACACTTGTGCATATAATCTCATTGCTTCACTGTAAAAATCCACCCATGCTTCTGACAGTTTCTGACATGTTTCTGACAGGTTTAACAGAGAGATTTTGGGGTAGACATAGATTCTACTTGTGGTTTAAAAACTTTTGGAAACAAAGCAATATCTCAAAAGGATTAGTGAAATGTCCCATTTAGATGACCAGAAGCTGGATATAAACATGAAGTTCTCAATGACAGAGAAATGCTCTAGGTGAGGTTATGATGGTCAGACCTTCATGATGTTCTTAAAGATGTAACTGTAGGTGTCTGTCTTTGTGTCTCGCTTCGGTTTGCAGATCACAATATAATTTTTGAAGAGAAAGACATGTCTTTTGTGTCCTTTCCATGCCACTCTAGCTCCTGGAGCTCCTTCCCACACAATGAAGTGGCCCTGATAGGAAAAAAGAAGGAATAGCACATAGTGATAACTCTGGACTAATTACCACGATGATGTCCCACCATCATTTTTCAGTGAACTGATAACAAACGTTTACTATTACATTGTCACTTTATGTGTCTCTAGTTTGTTACACCACAGCAGACTGTTTCTAATGCTAAAGCTGATGCATCAGACTGACAGCACCAACAGGGATGCACACAGTGGTTGTCATTACTTTGACCTTTACGTGGTATTCTTTGTTGCCAGAAAAATACAGAGCTCATGTCAAGTAGGCACACTCCACTAGTACTAGTGATAATGGAAAATTATATCCTGTGTGTTATACAGACACTTTATCCGTTCACTTGGTCTCCTTCACCAGAGCAGGACATTCATTTCATGTACCTTCAGACACATACAGGTCAGTTAGTGACATGGCTTCCCCCTTGGCATCATTAGGGAGAAATAAGTGCTCTTGGGGTATGATTCACTGGACTCTTTTTTTTTTTTTTTTTTCAGATGTCTAAATGTGGATAGATGAATCCCCACCAGAGGGTCTCACTATCACTGTAATTTAGTCTTACAACTCCATTCAGCAATACACTGTGATTCCCATGGAAGACATAGGATACAAACAGGCAGAGTAAGTGGCTTTCCCAGCATGACACAGTAAGTGTACAAAGAAACAGGAATTTGAGTAAGGTGCTGAAAGTCCCAGACTAATGTCCCAATAGCTGGCTCATCTTTCCTCTGCGCTCCTAAAACACACCTCTGTTTCATGAAAAAGACCTGGAGAAGCACACAGGTCTTTTGAAGATATATGAACAGCCGTGGGAGAACATCCATAATTTGATCTGAAGTTTTCACATGAAGCATATGCAACGTATGCTATGCTACCTTGGACTGACATCCCAGCCAACTAAGCTCTTTGAAAGAACTGTGTCAAATGGAGGCATGTAGATTGAAAAGGCCCAGTGAGCTTCTAACACTTGAGGAATCAACATGAAAACCCACTGATGCCAGTAATTCCAGGAGTTGGCCCATGTGGCTTGCCAATAATAAGAGAGGAGGAGAAAAAAAGAAAATGCTTTAAAAATCATCTGGGGGCCCAAAACAAGTCTGTTCCTGTTTGATGAGCAGGTTGGAAAGGCCAATAACTACATTATGTGTGAATTGCTCCATAAACATCTATGCCCTGGTGCTTCAAACCTTAATGAAGCCAGGAGCCCCATCTCTGAACAATAAGAAAGGCAATAAGCAAATACTCTCTTCCAGGTATGTTTTCTAAAGAAGTGTCTTGTAGGACCTAAGGCTACTTAGAAAGTAAGAAGGCATGCATAGCACTCGTACTGACTGAGAAATTCCAGTTACCTGTCGGATGGGTTCACCAAGGCTTTCCAAGGTCCCTGGATAATTCTCAATGAGTGAGACGTGGAGGTTGTTTTCTGCTCTTCGGGTGAGTGCAGACACAACGGCATAAGCCTGCTCCAGCAAAGTGCAGTTTTGGCTATTTCTTGCTTTGTTTCGGATTAATTCCTGTATATGAATGAAAAAAATGTTACCGGGAGGTCAGAAAAAAACCCAAAACCATTTCCTTGATAGCCAAAGAGTTTCTCAATATCTGTTCCAGCTCTTTCTTCTGAGCAACTTTTGTCCCATTCTTTCACCATGTGCTGTTTAGCTACTGAGGTCTCCTCTTTCCTACCCGTTCTGCAGCCTCATTGACTAGCCAGTCTGGCTTTTCCTTACATCAGTTGATATTAGACAAAGACAAAGTTGAAGCAAATACCAGATATGCATCAGTGACTGAAAACTAAAAACCCCAAAGCAATCCTAAATGTATCCATTGCATTTCTCTTGTGCTTACCCTGACGATACCATGAGGCAAGCAATTCATGTGGCAGTGCTAAACTAAGGGTCATTATTAGATTAAAAACAAGAGAGGGTGGAAAAAATATGAAATGGCAGTTATCCTTTTCTTCCACATTTGTTCCTGTTCCTCTCTTTTAGTGATGAAAGCATGCTCACTCTCTCTTCCAAGAGACCCTTTAAAGTGTTGGTGTTTGTGTGCAGGCAGGGGTTCAAAATTAGAAACTTAATTTGAACCTTCTTGAAACTATTCAAACTGCTCACTTCTGTGATGCTAGAATACAGAAATGTTTTTGCAGTCTTCTTTCTGACTATCTTAGTGCTATTTCCCATGAAAAATACTCTTAAAAAAATGCTACTTTGAAACTTTCATTTGTGGTCTTGGCTAGAACCTGAGATAGTAGGACAGATGAAAGCTTGAAAGATGAAACATTTCAGGATGGTAGAATGGGGCAAAGCATTTAAGAAAACAAAAATTTCATCTTACTATAGTGTCAGTATAAAACACAAGGAGATAAACTGGTAAGTTAGTATCTTACACATTGGAAATTGTTTTTTTTTATAACATACCTGTTGCTGAGTGTGAAGCAAATTCATACTTGTCTTGGATATATACATACATGTATTCATATATATATGTATATAACCATATATTCTTATATATACATATATCTAAAGATCATTCAGATAAAGCTTGCTGAACTTTATGTGGTTGGAGACTGTGAACCTCTACCTGGATTTACATTTACAAAACTATTTAGAGAGCACCATCACTAGCAACGATTACTGTCTTACTCAAGCAGCTTTCAACTGTAGTTGCATCAGAAGAAAGCCAAGTAATATGAAATAAAAATAGTCTTTTTCTACACAAGCTGCAGAGCACAGAACATAAGCTTATCAGATGTAAGTGTATAACAAAAGCTTTTCACCTTGATTATAGTCTGATACTGCTGGATCCTGTTTATGGGTTTTTCCAGGTAGTGCTGCAGTGGTGGGATAAGTGGCTGTGAAGGATCTTCATTAGTTAAAATTTCATCTGTGTATCTCTGAAAAAATACATAGAAGAACAAGGAAAGGTTGTTACAAAGAACAATAGAAAAGATTACTCCTTTGAAAATGCTCATTTGATGCTGGTTCATAGACCTAACTCAGCCAAAGTTGGAAAGCTCTATGAGACCTTACTACCCCAGATTTTGGAAAGCTGTAACCCTCCCCCATCCTTTACCAGCTAGTTATTATTTTAGACTACAAGATGTCCGAAATGCTGAATATGTCTGCTTTTCCAGTGCAGGACTGATGATGGGCAAATGTGATCCAAATCTTGCGGAACCAGATGGTGCAAAAGGAAAGATCAGCCTCTTTGGGGGGTGGGAGGGCAGGACTGGGTGAACTTGGTGCCAGCAACTGGTGCCAGACCTTGGTCGAGAGTGGTCCGTGTGTTTGCAGTGCAATTCACCGGCAAACTTTAAGCTGGACTAGCTGCAAGTAGGAGACCCAGGATCCGGGCATGGATATTAGGGAGGCTGAGAGCTTGTGCTGATAATTTGAGGGATCTGTGAACGTGAACGCGTGTGTTTGTTTTCTAGTGAGCATCAAGCTGGACTAGCCGGTGAGTAGGAGACTCATGGAGAGGGTAAAAGCGCTCAGGACCGAGGCGTGGGTATCGGATCCATGAACATGCATGTGCTCGTGGATCTGGAGTGTTGTGTGTGTTTTCACTAGTGAACTTCAATCTTGAGCAGCTGGAGCAGAGAAACAGGATTTTCCTATCTATACTTATGTTTTATGTGAGTTTGCTTGGTTTTACAATGTGGTGGCCCTTAAAACATCCTTTAATTACAGTTACATAATTACAGCCACATTTGTATCTGTATAGTCTTTATAATATTCATAAATATATCAGTATATGTAAATATGTTCTCATATTGATTGTGCTGATCAGGAAGAGCTAGACAGTGGATACAAAATTATTACGTTTAGCAATGATTTCCCACAAAAATATTTAATAATCCTTTTCAGGATCATATCTGTGATTAATAACCACATTTCTTGATGCAGTGGATTATAGGATGCATGTTCAGCAGGTACTTTGGCTACTGTTTTACCTTGTAGAAATCCTGGACGGCTTTGCTGACAACAATCGACTCAGCCTGTACCCTCCCCACGAGGTACTGGATGTACTTATTAAACTCTGCTTCGTGCTTGATAAAGCACATGGCCACATCATCATCAGTGTCACATTTCTGCAAGCCTTGGAGGAAGACACTGTGGAGACAAAGAAAAAAGGACATCTGAGGAGAAGGTGATGGAATGAGGCTAGAACACAGCCCCAGCAGCCAGACCTTTAAATCAGGCAATTTCAGGTTAACACACATTAAAGGAAATGACAGAGGGAAATGAGGGATATTGCCATGTTAGCATTAAAATTCTCAATGTGTCGTCATCCAGCATGATGCTGTCCCTCTTAGCTGGAATGTATGAAATGCCCTGCAAGGAAGGTAGGGATTCTTTTCAAGGGCTTAGCTCAAGTTGGGAAGTTAACCCCTCCCCAGATTCTTTTGCCTCAGTTTAAGGATCAATGAGCCATCCACGTGAGTGAAGATAGAGATCCTCATTCTGCTTCACAAAGGATGTTGAGACAGGTTCACATGCAGAAAGGTTTTTAGCAGTCGGTAGCTGATGACATACATCAGCTCTAGCAGTTGAAGTTACTTTTGGGGAAAAACAAAAGGAGAGGGAGAAGAAAGGGAGGAAAGAGAAGGGAAAACTCTTCTCGTGGCCCAGCCAGGAAAAGTGCCAGATATCCCACATCAGCGTCCTCCCCATTGCAGAAGCGGTGCCCCCCATAATGATTTCCCCAGAGTAACAATATATTTTTCATTGCAACCTGCTCGAACTCCTTATTGGTTGCTCCTGCTTACAATACCGCTAGCACTGATTGGAGCACGCGTTGATTGGGGAAGATGCTGCACGTTCACTGGCTGTTGACCTGTGTGCATGCATATTATTGATGCCCCCCTAAGGTAAACTGAAAGTGAGGACCACAGAGTAGGAAAATAGGGAAGAAAGGGCGATTCTCATGCTGTTGGCAGGGACTTCCCATGAGAATGATCGCTTCCCAAGAGGGCAAGGGTATCAAGGTGTAAAAGGAAGCCCCTTAGCAATGGAAAGCCTAAGGCACATAAGATATTGTACTACACCTCCTCTCCCTGGCAAGTAAAAGTATTTCAGCCTGGACCTTGGGAAGTCACTCTGTGAACAGCAGATCTGCAGTAAATCCTTTTTTGGACTAGGCAGAGGCGTTGTGCCACAGTGTTGTACCTGGGCAGCCTGCTACAGCTGGGTGTGTTTTGAATGCATGGGTGCTAGCATCAGTTTTAGATGAATGTATGTCTCTATGAAGACACCGCTGAAGTGCCTGTGAGACCATGCTGCCCTTTTATAATAATTCACTGTTTCTCTGCTAATTTTGCTTAAAAGTGTCAGAAATAAGCTGGACATATGAAGCCTTGAAACTCTGAAAGGTATTACGGGAGTCCCAGCCCTGTGCTCTGACTTAAGCTATGCCATCATCTATCATCCAAAAAGGACCATCAATTCCCTTGCATCTCAGCACTGCCCGTGCTCCACATCCTTCACTGTAATAATAGTTACCGCGGCTCTGACACCAGGTACTTGAGCCACTCTGGTCTCAGATGAAGGCACGTGGGAATGCCCACCTGGAATGAAAACGAGCAATGTCATCAATATTTCTGAAGATGGTGGATTTCTGACTGGCGACAGCTCCCGGGACATTGGGACAGGTCTCGGTGAACTTAAGATGATGAGTCTGGAGGAACTGTAGATCTTGAATGTAATCCTCTTCTGAGATCAACAGCTCTTGAATAAGAACGCTGAAGGGAAGACGAATAGGCAAAAAGAAAGCACAGAACATCACAATTATCCTTGACATGCTGAAAAGACTTCCTCAGATATAGGGTAGCCCGAAGTATAGACGTACTGAAGTTTAGGATTTTTGTGAAATCAGAGAGCTTCCAGAAGTACATCATGTAAACCCCTTCTTTCAAGTCACCCGATATGATTTAAATTGCCTGGGATTTTCCTAGGCTGAAATCAATGGTAAAAATCAATCAAAGATAAAAAATTACAGGTCTGAGAGAATCCTGAGAGAATCAAGGGTTTGCCTGATTCTGGGAAAGGGAACATGGCAGGACTCAGCAGAACAAAACCAGTGACTCTGAGGGAAGGGACCTAGATGCCAACATTCATGTTACTTCAGAAGGCAGAAAAACTCAAAGGTGCAAATACCAACTGACATAAGCTCACCTTAGCTTCCTTTTATATTCATCTTCAGAAACAAACTCTCCAGGGAACTCAGGAGCTTCTGTTGTTCCCCACTCTGGTGACAACTATAATACAAGAAAAAAAGAAACATTATTCTTTTAAGTTAACAGTGCTTTTATCAATGCACACTGAGGAATATTCCTTGTGTGTTCACAGTCCCTTTCAACAGTTCCTAAACTGGTGTGAAATGTATTTTTTGCTGGAGGATGATTAGGTCTTTCAAACCCAGACACCCCCACACATATACAGAAATGTTGTCTAATCAGAACATGAAAAATCCCAATCATGTTACAGGCCCCTTCAACAACCTCTTCATCCATCACTCCTTGCAGAAGTGATGGCACTGAACCGCAACAGGAGCAAGTAATTTTACATGAGAAATAAACACAGCGTGATCTGTCACCTTTAATTTTTTGTCCAGATAAGCTGGAGACACCCAACCCTGTCGAGAGGGGCTAGATTTTGTGGGTTTAGTCCTGACCAGCCACTTCAGAGGATGAGCTGAATCAAGGACTTCCACATATTGGCCTTCCTTCAAGGTGATGGTCTCCCTGTCAGGAGCAGCAGGCACGTAGTCAGCTGTGACCATGTAGACGTCAAAGATCTGCAAGCATGAAACGACAGTTACCGGGTGCTCTGAATACAGAATACAGTAACACCAGCAGAATGTAAGTGCTTATCTGTGTCTAATGTTTTATTCTCCAGCCCTTGTGCAGCAAACAGAATCACTGTTTGCATTTTGTAAGGAGAAGACTAAGTCTCTAGGAGGCTCAGGCCATATTTTCAAAACTATCTGAGGTGTTTTGGATTTACACCATGAAACAATGGATTATTTTCCCAAGGCAAAACAAACAGCGGTCCTGAAAATGCCAAAGGAGGTTAACATTTCCAAAGTTTTAATCTTTTTTTTTTTTTTTTATAGGAAGTGTTTGAAATGAACACCCAAAAAAGGTCTAATTTTCACAAAATTTGCATTTTTCTCATGAAGAACTTCTTAACAAAATTCTGCTGACCAACTCTACCCAAGGCCACAGAAAATCAAGCTCTGAAGCTCAGCCATGGGAGCAAAAGGTACCACATAATGGGTATGCTTTGACCACATTGACTTGAACAGTGAGCATCAGAATTTGTGTGAGCTCTGTATTGCAGACCCAATATTTAGCTATTAAATATACCTACTAAAGTGAAGTACATCCCTAAAGGGGATGGAGATCCTTAAAACACAGGAGATTGGTCATTCTAAGTAAAGTTTTCTCCCTGTGTCAAACTTGTCCATAAAGATAACATACCTCTCCTCTGGAATCCCCATCTTCAGATTCAGAGGAGGACTCCTGAGCAATGGATGAAGGTCTGGATCGTCCATGGCGAGGAGATGCAGAGGGAGTTTTTGATTCATCATCACTTTCTGCACCTGGCACTCGAAGTGTAGCTAAAAAGCAGAGCAACAGCAAAATGTGAAATCAAGGTCTCCAATCCGAACATGAACCAAATCTATAATAATTTTCAATTTCATAAAAACAAATATTCCCTAGGAAGAGCATTTGTAGTATTTAGTGTGATCTCCTATTGGTATTTAGGATTACATAAATAATTGGGATGTTTTAATGCGTGAGGTTGCATGCCTGCTGCATGTATTGTCACTGCACTGCAAGAATATTTGTAGGAGAGGTAATACCTCTATTTTTGCTTGAAGATAAAGTTTTGCTACAAGATAACCAGTATATGATACACAAGCCAGGATTTTTCATTGAATTGAGCAAATCATTGGATTACTGCACAGCTGTGCACACTTTTCAGCCTCAACTTGCTTTTAAAATCCCAGTGTGAGCTAAAACTTGAAGATGTGGGAAGTCTTCTAACCAGGATTGCTTTCAGACTGAGGAGTGATGAATATCTGAGGAACTCCAAATACCTAAGCTGTTCAAAATACACTTCCATTTTTACAACTTGCCCTCCACTCTAAAGCTTACAGTTACTCCCACTTATTTAAACAAACACTGTATGCATAAAATGCACATGAGCCATCTTAGTTTCCTGTAATAGCTTTTATCCTAGTTCAAAACTGTAGACTGAGACATGCAGTGGATGGAGTCTTACTAAAAATTCTTAGTCCTCATCATTTTACAAATGTTCACATGTTTATGTAGGATGACTGTCTCAAAACCTGCTTCATAAATCTCACTGATGTTTAAAGTCCAAATGATACCTTAAAAAAAGAGATTGCATGTTTTTCTACACTAATTAAATTGTGTTTGCCAGGTTCCTTACCCTGACTTATTTTTGCAGATACCATTTCTGAGATATGCGAGGTGAGTTTCTGGAAAAACTCTTCTGAGCCAACATCAGCTAATGAAATAGGGCTTTTGGGTACACCTTCTCTACCAGTTTCAAGATCTCCTGGAAAAGAGAATTTTCTATTAAGCAGGCAATGACATTGGAAAGTCATCTTTTCTAAGTAACAAAAGCTTCTGAGGAAGGAAGGTCTAATTTTCTTCACTTCCCCTGTTTTTAAAACTGTGCTTGCTCATATTTCATCCAAATAATTCATCCTTGAACAGAGACCAGTCCTGAAAAGTTCCAACCTTTCAGATAGTTTCAAGAAAACAGAACAAAAGCAGGTGGTAATCATGGAATACATAGACAATCTCAGCTGTAGATGTGAAGGGCAGGAGTAGAAGAAAGAAAATAGCTTCTCTTACCTTCTCCTGTTTCAGAGGGATGAATAGCTCTGAAAGAGTAAAGCAGAGTTAAAAGTTAAAATAAAATGTATAGTAAGGACAACTACATGAGAAAACCCCCTTTCTTCTCCCACCTTGTACGTGAAGGCTGGAAATACCTAAGTTAGGTCTCTGGTTTGGACTGCAGGTTCTGGTAGCTGATACTCACCAGGGCCACTAAGAAATGAGAATTGGGGCACCTGGCTTATAATGGACACAGATTCACTTGGGTGTCTCAGTCTTTGAGCCAAATCCCATCTGAGAATTCTCACTCTTCCTGGCTTTTATTTCAAACTGTTGCTTGAGAAGAGCTGGCTGCTCAGGGAGTGGGTTGCAGAACAGGGTAGCCTCCATCTCCCTGGTGCTACTGGGACTTTATTCCCAGCTGACACTGAAATAAAACTATTTGAGTTGGAGACATTATGTCAAGTGGAATCTGTAGTCTGAGTCAATTTTGAGTGAACTAATGCTCAAAGAGTGTTTGTCATGTTTCCCAAGCTTACAGCTCCGCCAAAACACTAATATCCTGAAGTCAACATCTCTGCTTTTTGGAGGCAGGATATAAATTATCATTGCACAAGCTGATCTGCCCCAATTCTCTGTTAGTACATAGGAGGCAGGAGGAAGGTCACTCCACTTGATATATGATAAACCATATATCCCTAAGTATGCCTAACAGAGCCTAGGCACATCCTAGGGACAGGTTGCAGTGGAATAGCTGAATTCACACTGCAGCTTGCTTCACTTTCTTTGCACTTCAGAGGAAGACTGGTCAAGCCTTTTAGGCTAGACATATTCTAGAAGCTAATGTGTGTTCAGGTGGACACCACATTTCAGGCTGTGTCTGCCTAGTATCCAAGCCAAGAATGGCAAATTGAGGAGGTTATTCTTCAGGTGCATTTGTAAACAAGAAGTTTGTGAACAGATCCTTTTCATCTACTTCTTTTTCTGTGAAGCATCAGTGTATTTCAAAGTTGGCAAGTAACAGTGAGACCTTGACCCTGTGAATTTTTTTAACATTCTACTTAGGAGATGAAAAAGTCGCAAGAGTTTTATATGACCTAACCATTTTTTTTTTTTTCTTTGTTCCTATCCTCCCTGATAATCAAGCGTAAATGGCTGACATTGATACTAGGGTATTTATAGCACTTTCCATACTAGGACCTCAAACTATTTTAACTCTGGTGCTGAAACATGAATATAAGATATGAACACTGCCTAAAAGTGACTCTTGGGAACTTCTACAGAGTGGTACCCGCATTGCTCCACTTCGGCCTGGGTGGCCAACCACTTACCCCAGTGTGGTCATGATGGCTTCTGACACCATCACACGCTCCTGGGTCAGAACTTCAGCCTCTTTCACTGCAAGATTAAGGTTTATCATCAGAGGACAGAAGGCAGAGAATGTTCTTTTTATGTATTTAATGTAAGCACATTTTCTAGACATGGATTACTGGGAACACTGGAATACTGAATCTGCCCTGTTAGCAGCTCCTAACCCGGGAAACCTGCTCCCAACTCATGATGCAAATAGTTTTCTCCTCTCCCTGTTCACGTAGACGTATGATTGCCCGATTTCTCCATGCTGCTCAAGCTATGCTTCTCTAGCTCTTGGTACAATAATACCGTGGGATGCAAGGAAGGATAACAGAAAAATGGAGTCCTTCACAGTGTAGCCCCTACTCCCAGCCTGTATTTGCTTGTCCCCTGTCTTACTGAAGGAATTGTGCCAGAATAGGCCCTGGAAAGCTCTGCAAAAGGGGAAGCAAATTACTCTAGCTGCCTTAAGGCAATTCTACAATGCCAAATACCTTAGCAGAGTGAAGAACTCAAAATAATTTTTCAAATGGTGACTTTTTCTAGTTACTTTACATTGCTTTTCTTCCTTTCATTTCCCTTTGTGCTTAATTTGATTGTTTCTTAGACTTGTCTTCTGTTGATACAGGAAGGGTGCTGCTGTTATTCCAAAATAGGGTCAGAAATCTACATTACTGTAGAAGTAATGAGTGTGATCATTTACAAGACAAGCAAAGTCATGGCTAATCTTGGGAAAATGCATTTTTTTTCAGTTTCTTTTCTTGTAGGCACTGTATAAAAGGTAACATAGAGAATGTGTTTGTATTGTAACAAAGATTTACCATCTGCAACTTCCAGGGTGGCGGTGCAGATGGACTGGCCAGCCTTGTTGGTAGCAATGCACGTGTAAGTTCCACTGTACTTCTTTTTAACATCCAACAGGATTAGACTGTGATGCATATTTGAACTGGCAAGTTTATATCCAGGAGTGTCTGGTTTGATCCACAGGATATCTTCCTGAGACTCTTCTTTCAGCCAAGTGATAGTTGGGGGTGGATGTCCTACAGGAAAACCAATGCAAGGAGCTTTAATTTTCCTAATGCTGTTCCTTCCTTACCGTTATGAGCCATGCTGTGAATAAATGCTATTTTGATCTGTTTCCTGATGCTTTCCCAACAATAACAGGCATAACATATAATAAAGAAACATAAACCTTTCTACAGCACACTCATAAGGACATTAAACCTTTTTGTAAAACCAAAACTGTTAATCAACACATTTTCATGAGACTAATAAGTGTTACTATCCCTATTTTTACATACAGGAAAATGGAGGAGGAGATGAGTAAGATGCTTTTCTGTAAAGCACATAAAGTCTCTTACAAAGTTGGGAGTAGGGTCCCAGACTTCAGATACAGGAGATGAGGTTTCAATGACTTGGGCCAGAGAAAGTCTAGAATGTGTCAAGAAGTTATGCAATTTAAGTGTTATGCAGAGAGGCAAGGTATCTATCCACTTACCTTCAACTTTTACAGATAATGTGATGCTTGCACCTTTTTTCACCTTTTTATTAGTAAATCTTTCTAGGAATCTTGGTGGTATCAGCTGCTCAAAGGAATCTGAAAATGACATTATTGATGAAATGTGGTGACACCTTCTGTGTGAGTTTAGACTACTGAAAAATTCCTAGGGGTTCTGTTACCACCTGCTATGGCTTCTCTCACCTGTTTCTGATGGCTCTTCTTTCTCATCAGGATCTATAACACAAGAAGAACAAACAAAATGACAAATACCTTTCTGTCCATGAGTTGAAAAAAAAAACCAAAACCAAACAGTGATTCCAGGGGATTACTCCTTGCAGGAGATATGACACAGAAATGTAAGTATAATTTATAGAGGCCCTCAGTTTTAAGAAAGTGAACCATTAAAGTTAATGAGGTTGGGCAGGTATAAAAATCTATGTTTATGAGACAACAGTCAGACCCTAGAGAAGTGACATATCTCATCTTCGGGACACACGGTAAATTTATAGGTGAACCAAGATTAAAGCATGTCATCTTTTATCTACAGACTTCCCTACCTCACTTGACCTACCTTGGTAGGCTTTTGAAGAAAAATAACTACATAAAATGGAAAGAGTCACTGGAATAGAGAAAAGCAGGTGCCAAAAATAGTCCAATACCTACCTTTGACTAGCAGCCTGGCTGACGAAAATGCAGAACCAGCAGAATTGATGACAAATATTGAGTACTGGCCAGCATCTGCCTTAGTGACATCCCGAATTTCCAGTGAGTGGAATTCCTGTTTATCAGTCTTGAGGATACGATCCGAGGCTTTTAATGGCTGTCCGTTTTTGAACCAATAGAGGCGAGGCTGCGGGTACCCTGCGAGGAGCAGTTACAGACATGGAGAACAGAATGCATTGACAACATCAATTTAGGAGCATCTCCAAACAGGCAGATCCTTCTGAGCAGAAGCTAAGGAACCCTCAGGTCTGCCCAGGGCTGCTGTTTCAAGGATTTATCCCATTAGGAATGGCTGCAAATTCATGAAATTCTATTTATCTGTTCAAGTTCTTTCCTCTCTCTTCAGTTTCTGGCACTCCCCATATTGGCTGCATGTGCAAACGCCTTCCAGGTTAGAAAGGTAACACTTAGGTCCGATTTGCAACGTACACAAAGAGAAAAGTTGAAGCCAAAACAGTTCGCATCATTTTTATAGGCAGCAATCGGAGAAAATAGGAGAATCTCTACCTCTCCCTACCACAGACAGTCAACACTGGGAGGACATTTTTGGAGTTTTTAGGTTGTAGCAGCAACCCCCTCATAGAGTAAGGCAAATCCAGGACTGTTTCATTTATTAAAGAGAAAAAAGGACGCCCTCGCTATCTTTTTTTTCATTCCTTATTGCTCCTCCATAACTAATGCTCAGAGAATTACAGGACTCCATTTTCAGAAGTGTATGCCTGTAATTATGCCTGGAGACATGGACACAGAATGAGACACTTGATCTGCCTGAGTCTGCTGGAAAATCAATGTTCATCAGCATGAACACATCCTTCTAGCTAGTTTGTGCAAACATGGTACAAGATGTACAGGCTGGACTCACAGCTGCAGAAAAGCACATCGGAAAAACTTGTCCAGCACTTCAATCTGACAGCAGGTCGAAGTGACAGTGACTGACAGTGCTGTGGGCTCCCCTCACCTTTCACTTTCAGGTGAAATTTAGCCAGTGATGCTCCAGGTGCCACATGAATATCATGAAGCTCATCGAAGATCTGGGGCAATTGCTCCTCCTCAGTGGTAGATTCCTCCTGTTCTCGGCTAAGAAGCAATTAGAAAGAAGAAAGTCAGCAAGCCAGAAAAGAATTAGGAATCAGAATCACCTATTTTAGGTTAATTCAGTCTGTGGGTTTTGTCATCATGACAACAGATTCAGCACCACATGGCATTAAAAGTAATCGACTGATACCGTGAAGAAATATCCAAGCTAGCCCGAAGGCAGCCAGAGCAAGTTTACACATGATAAATGTCCAGCTGTTGCAGTTATTGCATCTTGGCTGGTCTAGCTGTTCCTTTATGACATTAAATTGGCCCTGCTAGATGTAGCAAAACCAGGCTTGACAATAATATACATATTAATCTTTTCAAGTCAGAAATTAGAAAGAGCTACAGTTCAAAATTTTACCTTGAAATATATTCTTTGGCACTGTAGTAAGAAGACGTCTCTGTTGCATCTGCTGCTGTCTCATAGTCAGTGCTGGTCACTGTTAAATGGAAGAGGAAGTCTTTTCTATAATCTGAGCTTTGAAACTATTTTTCTTACTATAATTATACTTTCCCTACTGATTTGAGTGAGTGGCAGGTTGATTTCACACTGCTACTAGAGCAGGAACTCACATGTCCCTGGATTATGGAAAACACCTCTCTTTATTTGAAAAGCTTTGCTCTGAGCCTTGCCTTGGAGTTGGCAAAACCCAACTGAACCCAAGAGGTTTGCAAGTGAAACATTTTGTGGGCAATGCATACTTTTTTTAAAATGTAAATGGTGTTTTTCTTGAAAAAAAACCCAACTGTCCATCTCTCAGCAGGACCCCTTCCCTTGGTTTTTCTACAGTGACTTTGAGACTTACAATCCACTCGAAGCTCAGCCTTGGTTGAAGCAACTCCCATGTTGTTTTCAGCAAGGCAACGGTAAACGCCCATGTCAGTGGGGACCACAGCTGTGATGATCAGCTGATGGCACCCTTCCTGGTCCTCATTGATCATGTAATGATCGTTTTCTTCAATAGCTTTTCCATCCTTGAACCAGCGAACCGTGGGGAGTGGTTTGCCAACGACAATGCAGTCAAAGCTGACTGGATAGCCATCTTGTACCTCTTGGTTTTGGAGCTCAGTCATGAACATGGGAGCTAAAGTCCGGGTAGTTAGGAGAGAAGAAAGGAAAAACTTGGTTGTGTTAAAAGACGTATTTTAAAAGCACTGCTGCCCAGTGCCTGAAGACTTCTGGTTTCTAGTTTTTTTAATTGCAGAATGATCTCTTTTCTCTGTGACAACAGTCAAGAAGAAACTCCCTGACAAACACTATGAAGATATTCCATAACACCATAAGCATCGCAATACTACAGCTGCAAACCAGACATTGCCTCTGTTCCTCTCCTTGCTGAAATGTCTTGTCTGCCTCAGGACTGTTGTGAAAACAGATTCATTTATTTAAGTATTATAATAATCATAGCGTTTACGGCCATATCATTGTAGTAGGGGACATTTCTATTGTGAAAAGCAGCTTTGTAGATAAGTCAATACTTTGCAACCCCCTCCTTCAACACTAACCTCCCTCCTCTCCCTCAAAATGAAAAAGAATTAAAAATTCATTGGTTTTTCCAGAAGTGCAAATTTTCCAGAAAATTATCTGCACCGAATGAAAAACAAAGGCTTTTTGGAAGTTATTCATGAGTGAAAAGATAACATGATGACCTGCTCCAGCTGCCTTTTCCAAAGAATAAACAGCTTTGCTTCACCTACCTGTATCAGTAGTCAGCAAAGGTGGTGGAGGTCTCACTACTGGTGGTGCAAACTTCCCATGGGTGGGTGGTGTTGCTTTCCCAATACGCAATTCAATTTTTTTAGGGCCTTGTTCCAAAATGTCAATCTCCACGGGAATTCCCAGAGCACCAAACATCTCTCTGAATCGAGTGGCAGCAGTTTTTGCCTCGGACAAGATTTCAAACTTGATGTAGATGTACTGGTCATCCTCACGATATGTCTGATGGTCAACCACCTCTATGTCCCCTTCATCTGCACTGACAAAAAGCTCTTCCTCCACATCAGATATCTCTGTTGAGATCTTGGCCTTGAAGAGTCTGTGAAGTCTCCTTCCTGCTTTACGGAAAGCATCATCCAGCTCGCTGCCGGACGAGCTCTCTGTCTCACTGTCAGTGCTCTGTCTAACCTGCTTCTCCTCCTGAAGAACTTGAGGTTCCTGAGCGCCAATAACCACCTTAGCACTGTGTGAAACCTTGCCAAATTTATTGGATGCCTCACAGGTGTATTTACCTGCATCTTTCCTCTCCAGGCCAGTGATAATCAAAGAGCAGGTCCCATCACTGTAATTGTCTATGTGATAGTAGCGACCGTCTGAAAGCTCTTCCCCATCTTTCAGCCAACGGACTTTCATGTCAGTTTTGCTGTGGGCCACACACTCAAGGTGGAGAGTGCTTCCAGGCTCACCAGAGAAATCTTTGAAGGTCTCAGTAAACACTGGGCACTCTTGTTGCTTGATCTCTTTCCTGACCTTGTAGCCTTTGAAAGCAGCTTGTATCTTCACAGCGGCCTTGTTCATGGAAGGATCATCTAAATCTGGTACTTCTGGTTCAGCTGGTTTAGCAGCTGGGGCAGCCACAACAGTCTCCACGCTGGATTTCTCCCACTGTTTCCATAATTTGCCTGTGGGAATGGACTGAACCTTGCTAGTCACACTGACGCTTGCCTTCCCGGCTTTCTTGAGGTAGTTTACTAGCGAAGGAGTCCCAGCCCTAGATTCATCGTCTGAGCTTGTGAAAGAGAAATCTGCTTCTCCTGTCCTAGCCAGCTCATCACATGTGGAGTACTCCTCTGAGTAGTAGTGAGACATCTCCGCTTCCTCCTTCCTCAACTTCTGAAGCTTCTCATCCTCTTCAGGCACCTCGCTGATGGAATCCAAGGTGGGCTCCCGGCTCATCCGGCGTTTCTTGGCCAGGGCTTCCCAAAGGAGGTGAAGATCTCCCTCCTGAGCAGCCTCAGGGGGCAAGCTGGGCTGGACGTGGCCATCCACGAGCTCTTCTGGTTGGCTTGCAGAGGATGCTTCCTGGACAATCTCTTTTAGCATTGCCACTGTGGGAACTGAGAGGAATTAAACTGATGTTAAAAGACAATGTCTGTGAGTAAGCTTTGAGAAAGCACATGGAAATATCACTCTAAAGTCTGGGCGGAAGAGTATCAGTGGCATTTAAATAAGCATTCTGTTGAGAACAAAATGTGAATTTAATATAACTGGATGTTATCCTGGGCAACTTGTTCTAGGTGACCCTGCTTTATGCGAGGGGTGGACTACACTGTCTTCAGAAGTCCTTTCCAACCTCAACTATCCTGTGATGCTATACAGGCACTTAAAACATGGCCAAACAACAATTTTTTTATCCTTCACACACTTGAACCCAATAAATAAATGTCTGCCCTTTTTAAATGTTGCAGTTGATGAATATCTAGTTAAGACTGTCAGTGCAACCTGGTCATCCTATGCTCATCCATCATGCTCATCCTATTTTACAGCTAGACAGGGCTTCACTGACTGTCTTGAAGAGACCTCCACTGGCTATAATAGGAGCTGAGACTCGCAGCTCACATGGAGGTACCTACCTGTTCAGATTTGTCTACATCTGAAGGTTGTGACTCACCCTCTGGGACACATTGATCTGCCTCTGCATAGCGCCCAGTGCCTTTTGAGATGCTCCGGGCTGTCTGGGACATCTACATGTGGCTCTCAGATACAACACAGGATCTATGAGTGCTCTGGGTCCCTTTGGAGAAGGAGATGGAGGCCAGGGGTGATATCCTGAAGTGCCTCAGTGGCACTACATGCCTGTGTGTGGGCCACTGAATCCCACCTATAGGGCACAATTCAGCTTCCTAAACACTACGACCCAAAGCCATTTGGGATATCTAGGACAGGCGACTGGCAGATACTATGCAGAACATATGAAAGAGTCTTCACTTTCTGAAATGGTAGCTGAAGGCCAGGGAAGATAGCCTAAGACATCTCAAAAGGCACCAGAAACCCACGTAAGGCAACTGTATCCCATCTTAAATATTGGACTCAGGAAAATCTTATCTGAGCAGCTCAAAGCTGTTAGGGATTCAGAAACATACTGGGCAATACCGAACAGGAAGATAACAATTCTTTGTGGATTTTAGACACAGCTTGTAAAAGAAAATGAATTCCAATCCACGCGGTGGAGATGCCCCTGGATGTCCATAAGCAGAAGTGATTTAACATCACAGGAATGCACTCTCTGTACCTTCAAGACACAAGCTGGCAACAGATTTGACTTCTGGAGAAACCATGCAGGTGTATGTGTCCTGATCTTCAGGTTTAAATGCATGGATAATGAGTATCTGCTTTTTTCCATTAGAGAGGATCTCATATCTCCCTCCAGCTTGTATTTGTTCTTTTCCTTTGAGCCATGTCACTCTCTTTTCAGTTTCACTTGATAATTGGCACTCCAAGCGAGCCACCTCCCCTTCTGAGACTGATCCTCCCACCAAAGGATGGGTGACTGTAACTGGAGGCTCTGTAATTACAAAAAAGTGAATTAACACAAAGAACATATTGTAATCTGGCTTTAAGGCACTCCAGATCACTCTGTAAATTATCCAAGCATCCCATCCTTCATTTATAGATTCTTTGGCTGTTGTAGACAACCAAAGAAAAAAAGAAGTCACGGGAAGCATCCAAACTTTATACTTCCAAAGATAACACCAAAGTAACTGTACAAGCTCTCCCAGAGGTTAATCCAGATCCATTTAAATATATACATGCAAAAGCGGTTGCATTTTTCACATTCCTGTGTTTATTTGCTGATCTTCATTTACCCATCACCAGCATTCAAAGAGTCCTACAGATTCTAGCAGATCTTAACGTTTAGAAGGAAGAAGTTCTGAAGTAAGACAAGAAAGAAACAATAAAAAGAATAAAAAAGAAAAGAGATTATTAAAAGTGGCATTCATCCCAGTCTTGAAAGTAAAAAATGTATTATATATTTATGCTAGTTTAGGAAGAGTTTAAAAATTCTCAGAAAGCATAAAGAATTTTTAAAATAAAAATTCTCTGTATCTTCTTTACTTTGGAATGAGGCCTGACAATGGCATGCTGTTTGTATGACAGCGATACTCAAAATGAAGTCAAGACAAACACGTTAAACGTGGAGAGGTTGACTGGGTTGTAAAGCACACAACTGAGTTCCCAAAAGCAGCACACTCCGGACCGTGATCTGCCCCTCTGCACATTTCATCAGGGTGAGGGGACCGCTGCCCAAAATGCCTTGCGTTTGTTGTAGACAAAATCGACATATGCAGAGTTATCAGCATCCAGCTGACACATTGGCAGTTGTTATGTTGCAAAAAGAGGATTTATTGTTATTATTATTCTCACTTCGAGGAATTTGTTGGGCACTCAGATATCACAGAAAGAGTTGCAAGAAAAGAAAGATTGAGGGAGTGGCTTTCCATCCCACTGTAGCTTCCAAAGTTTCACCAACAGACTTCACAGCAAAGGTACTGTGTCCTCCAGCATTTCTTTGTGGGGGTTATTGTAAAAGATATGCAAATTATATGAGAGAGGAAGATGGGTGAAGAAGACAACACTGCCCACCCACTGCATTGGTACCAGGGTCTTGGTTACCCCAAATGCATTCCAACATGCGCCTTTTGACTCATTCCATCCTAATTCCATCAGAAGAGAAACTCATGGTGACCAGACAACACATGGATGCAGTGCAGGCTGCAAGACAGCTTGATACGGTTTGGAGAAAACAGTGTTGAGTACTAACAACGCAGCAGGTTTTGTTTGTGGCAGCCCAGAACAATTTTTCCAAGCTCTTTCTCCTCTATTGCGTTGGCAGCAAAGCACTGAAAGACGTTGCAGTGTGAACTCTTCCAGGAGATGCCTGGAACGGGTGAAGCAGGCATGCCATGCGAAACACAAGGTCTACAGCAGCTTGCAGTCGTCCATGGGAGCATCTCTCCATTCTCACCTAGCCGCACCGTCTGAGGGAAGTGCACCGGCTCACTCGCCCCAACTTTGTTTATAGCCGAGACACGGAATCTGTAGGGTTCACCCAGCGTGAGATCGTCCACCACAAACTCCGTGTTTTGAATAATGGCCTTGCTGCAGGACTGCCAGCCAATACCTGGGATTTTCCTCTCCACGTTGTAGCCTAGGATGTCACAACCACCGTCGCTCAATGGCTTGTACCAAGACAGAGTTACAGAGTGACTGTTCTTACTTAAAACTTCTGGTTCTTCAGGTGGATCGGGGTGGGCTGAAGGCACAACAGAGGTCCCGTGATGTACGACATGAGCAATAATCCTTTATACTAAAACAACCAAGAGCCTTCTACAAGCAATAAGAAGGAAGCGCAACAGATTCAATATTTGTCTTACTGTAAAGTTGTGTGGGTACCTGCCCATGACCATACGGCATCCATGGGCACCACTGAGTTTTCCTTTTTCTGCCTTGATCCACACTGCTAATGACAAACATTCATTTTCCAACCATCATCTCACACACCTAATATCACATCTTGTTGTGATTTTTTTTTTTCATGCTGCTTTGTCCCACCCAGCTCAAAATAAAGATGACCCTATGCTGTCCGTATTATCAGGGAACTTAGCTGAAAACTTCAAGTACATTTGGGCCTTTATCATATTTATTTCAGGTCTGGCCTTAGTGGAAATCAAGTTATCATTGGACTACAGTGTAACTCTAGTAATTCAATCCAGATTGGCTACTGATGATCATACTCAGTACATTGCAAAATGTTCCTCACTTAATTTACACTTTGGCTTAGAAGACAGACATGATTCTTCTAGTCTTCAAGGTCAAGGCATTTACCAAGTAAATGACCTGACACGATGTACCAATCCAACAAATTAGAGGCAAATAAGGTCAACAGCCAGTTCTTTAATTTGGGACACCACAAACATAACATAAAAGTTTCTTTTCTCTATTTTCAGCCAAATTTCATACAGAAAACCTATCAATGGGAGGAGTCAATGAGGACAGTATTTTGCAGTTCCTAAAATGAAGATGCCAAAATAAGATGTTGTTTTACATCCATCAACAGCCAGGTTTTTTTTGTGGAAATGACTGGAATATATCAGAAATCTCTCAACTCTCAGAAATCATTAGATAGACAGACTACCTGTAATAATTTAAAGAATGGATGGTCAATCAATGGCTTTTTAACATCTCAATTACAGTGTACAGCTAAAACACATCGCAATTATCTCATAACCATCACTGGGGTTGTGCTGTCATGACCATTGCTGGGTGACCCACCTATCCCAGGGTGGGAAGGAACCAGACCTTGGGTGCTGGAATGGACATTGATGAATCATTGGTCTAACCTGCCCTACAAGGGAATTAGGGAACTATCATCTTTTCTACTTGTGAAGTACTTCAAGAGCTATTAACTCTTGTATCTCTGAAGTACAAAGTTTGTGTTTCGTGGATCTCATCCATATGAAGATTTCAATATGCAACTCATTAATCTGGAAAACTGGTTGTCCTGCACTTGAGTAGATCAGCAGATTTCAAAGGGTTCTCTGCTGCCCTGCATGATTTTTCCATATGCATTCTAGTTCAGCTCCCTCCCATATCCACATGCGCTGAGGGTGATGTTGAACTCTGAGTAAACTGACTTCCGTTGAACTCTGTGTTACGTTTTACAAAAGACTGCAGCTCAAGAAAGCTGATGAATATCTCTACCATAGCCTGATAGAATTTTCTTCTGATGACGTGGGCTATTTCTGGTCAAAGAACAAGTTGTCCAGTAGCATCTCCTCAGACTAAGAAGACTAGCTTGGGACATGCAAGGCAGAGAGAAAAGAAGCAGCACAAAGATTAGAAAAGTCAATGTGGTAGCTCAATACCAAATTCTGAGATTTCAAGTGCCACTGGGCTAGAATGACAGACACTTACCTATCACAGATAACTTGGCTGATGCAATTGCTTCCCTGGAAGCAAAGGTCACCTCTCCAGAATGATGCGGTTGGGCTTTTTTCAGAATAAGTTTGTATTTGTTTCCATCTGCTTGTACTTCCCAGTCCTCATCTGACTGGATCTCTATGTCATTACTATACCAGGCAACTTCATTAATTGGCACAGCTTCACTTAGAACGCAGCTAAACGTAGCTTTCTCTCCTGGAGAGACTTCAACATCTGTGAGGGGCTGCAAGATCTGTAGGCGCCACCCTATAGGTAAAAATAGGTAACCAAACCCCTCAGCTACAGAAACAAATACAGGCAAGAGAGATTTTGTGAATATTTATGTTGAAGCTCTGGACAGTCAGGCCTTGGATACCAAGCAGGTCATTAAAAAGGAGGTTACGTATGTCACTAGAACAGACGGTATCTTTGGGGACTGAAACTTTCCAAAACTTTCAGGAGCAAACCCCAACCTAGCAATGTCTTTCTTTCCCAAGTAGCAGAAAACCACAATGGAGGTACCATGCTATGACTGAGGATGGCTGTTCTTGTACTCCGTAAGGGGCTCTGATCCCCACAGGGGTCTCCAATAATAGCATAAAATACAAGGATACAGAGAAAACGTTCATAGAATCATAGAATGGTTTGCGTTGGAAGAGACTTTGAAGATCATCTAGTTCCAACCCCCCTGCCATGGGCAGGGACACCTTCCTCTAGACCAGGTTGCTCAAAGCCCCATCCAACCTGGCCTTGAACACTGCCAGGGATGGGGCAGCCACAGCCTCTCTGGGCAACCTGTTCCGCTGCCTCACCGCCCTCACAGTGAAGAACTTCCTTACATCTAATCTAAATCTACCTTCTTTCCATTTAAAACAGTTACCCCTTGTCCTATCACTACATGCCCTTGTAAAAAATCTCTCTCTGGCTTTCCTGTAGCCCCCCTTTAGGTACTGGAAGGCTGCTCTAAGGTCTCCCCAGAGCCTTCTCTTCTCCAGGCTGAACAACCCCAACTCTCTCAGCCTGTCTTCATAGGAGAGGTGCTCCAGCCCTCTGATCATCCTCTGGACTTGCTCCACAGTCCATGTCCTTCTTATGCTGGGGGCTCCACGGCTGAATACAGTACTCCAGGTGGGGTCTCATGAGAGCGGAGTAGAGGGGGAGAATCCCCTCCCTTGACCTGCTGGTCACTCTGCTGGTGATGCAGCCCAGGATACAGTTGGTTTTCTGGGCTGCAAGAGCACATTGCTGGGTCATGTTGAGTTTCTCATCAACCAACACCCCGAAGTCCTTCTCCGCAGGGCTGGTCTCAATCCACTCATTGCCCAGCCTGTATTTGTGCTTGGGAGTGTCCTGACCCATGTGCAGCACCTTGCACTTGGCCTTGTTGAACTTTGCACAGGCCCACCTCTCAAGCCTGTCCAGGTCCATCCGGATGGCATCCCATCCCTCAGGTGTGTCAACTGCACCACTCAGCTTGGTTTCGTCAGCAAACTTGTTGAGGGTGCGCTCAATCGCACTGTCCATGTCACCGACAAAGATGCCAAACAGCACCGATCCCAATACCGACCCCTGAGGAACGCCACTGGCACTGCTCTCCACTCGGACATCGAGCCTTTGCCTGTAACTCTTTGAGTACAACCATCCAGCCAATTCCTTATACACCGAGTGGCCCATCCATCAGATGCATGTCTCGCCAATTTAGAGATAAGGATGTCACGAAAGACTGTGTCAAATGCTTTGTACGAGTCCAGGCAGATGACATCAGTTGCTCTACCTGAACTTGTGCAAAGCGTTTGACGCTGTCCTGCGTGACATATTGCTGCTGATATAATTCTCTTCTCTAGAGCCTCAAAGCACCTGTAAACACAACCCTATTCATCAGAATAATGACAACTGTAAGACAGTAATTTGCTGCTAACTCGTTGCCAACTGATGCTGCTTATATCCATGTCATGGCATACAGAACAAGAAAAAAAAGGAAATTGTAAAACAGTTGTGTGGGAAGAAGATTTAGGTGAAACAAAAGCAACAAATGCAACTTTTCCTCTCTCCTACTCATCATATTTTCCTGGTTCATTTGCCCTTTCCAAGACTCCCCATGCACAAGTGCTTCAGTTCTTACCTTTCACCGTCAGGAAGGCTGAGGTCATCGCATCGCTGCACGTAAAAGTCACCCTGCAGCTGTCCTGGGGAGTTAGGTTCTTCAGCAGCAGAAGGTGCCTGCGCCCATTTTCAAAGTAAACCATCTCAGTGTTTTCTGTAGTTTTGGCAGGCTCATCGTCAATCAGCCAGTTGTAGTTGTAGCATTCAGGTTTGGAAAGATAGCATTCAAACAGGGCTTCCCCTCCTTCCACGGCTTCCACGTTCTCCAAGCCCTGGAGAATGCTGTTCTTGGCTAGCAAAGAAGGACAATGAACAGTATTAATTGTTTGGCCATGCATATCTGAATATTAACAAGCCTCGGAGCACTGGATGATTCCCACTGCTGGAAAGCTGATGGAAAGGATGTGGATGGGATGAACTGTGCTTGTAGGTTTAGTTGTTGATTTCAACCACGCTCTAACACAATACTATATTTAAAAACACTTTAAGTAGTGAGAGTAAAAATAATGATAAACCTCTAGGACCTCTAGCATTTCATCTAGATTTCCTCCAGAAACCTGACTTCCATTTTTACAAATAAAGAAAAAAAAAGCTGGTGTTTATATGAATCAGGCCAATAGTCGATAGGAAGGGATAGCTCAGGAAGATAAATTATAATCAAATTTCTTCTGTCTCATAGCAGGAAACATTTCCCACAGATCTCCCAGGCAGTGCAATTATCCTCATAACTGGGGAGATGTGAAACCACTGACAGCTTGTGATAAAAATCTTACTACCTTTCATGCAAAGCAAATGTGAGAGAGTATTATAGCTGGCAAAGCTATAGTGACTGTCATCCGAGTTAAAAAGTCTGCCTCTAGGAAACACACAAAAAGTTAAAAAATGTAGTAACAGTATTTTGAATAGTAAATTTCTGAATTATTACAAAAGCTCTGTGATAATGTATTAGGTTTATTTTCTCATACCTGTGTGGTGAATTATGTGGTCAGAAACATGCACATATCTACACACTCCATTTGCCCACAGAGTCATGCATCAGTGGGCATTTATACATAAGCAATCAGCCTGATGCAAAATTAAATGTGGGCTGGTGCATGTGAATATTGTTTGTGTTAGACCAGCTACATGGACAAATTACATGCAGAACAGTGGGAACACATGGTTGAGTAAATACAGTTTACACAAATACCATAAAATGCTCAGCATGATCTATAATATAAACCAATGCCCTGAAATATTCCTGTTTAGATCTCTATAACCATTATCTGGAACTGTTCTAAGCACACACACACACACACACAAAAAAAAAGCTGAACAATTTATTTAAAAACAACAACAACAAAAAAGAAAGCATGATTTACTAAAAAAATTCTGTATTTTATAATATTCATGCTTATGGAGAACAATGAGGCGTTTGTAAATCCTTGGAAAATGTATAATTTTTTTAGAACAAATCTGAGCTGTTTATTTGTGCAATTCTGGAGCGCTGGTTTCCCTAACTGTGAAAAGCAGCCAATTGCAAATCCTACCTCCTCTGGGATGCTTTTAGATTATATTAATTATCACTTTTTTAAAATCCCTAAAATGGAAGGTGCTTATCAATGTAGAAAATATTATAATAAATAATACTCTGCTCTTCTGTACTCACAATTCCGGTTAAGGAAGAATGCATAATTGCCTAACAAAAGACAAATATTCAGAGAGCAAATCAGAACCATTGCTTTTGCTGACCACACTAATTCACCTGGTGACCAAAACCAGTAATTCCGTACACAGCAGAAAAAAAATAGGAAACATTAATATAAAATTCTAAACCTGTTGCTAATATTTTTATTTACTGTTTCTCAGGGCCCTCACAAATGCTGATGTCAAGTGAGAAGGTAATTCCTGAGTGATCAGTATTTGAAATAAGAAAAATACCAAGCTACCTTAGTTTAGCTGAAAATAAAATAGAATTCCGCACTATCCATTAGCTACTGGTTTTAAGGCATACTGTGTGTAAAAACCACTCTGTAACAGCAAAAAGTACTCTTATGATTCCTTTGTGCCAACACTACATCCGCGATTTTACAATAATTCAGCAGGACACATCCCTTTGCACCGATGTTCCCGTTCATTGTAGAAGAGGTATGATGCGTAAGTGGTGTAATAAGTGAGCATTGATTAGAACTAAGCTGCAGTGAAATGCTGCGGTTTCATATTCAATTCCCATTAACTCCCAACTATTTTTATCATCGTTATCAGTACTGGAGTGAACACCAAAGAGTGGGTATATGATGTGTCACTTATGGAGGTGCTGCCATGATTTTTCCACCTCTTTTATTTGAACCCATGATAGTCTTCCTCTTTGGCTGGAAGACCTCACCTTGAACATCAAGTGCAGCCATCACTTTAGTGCCTTCAGCTTCACAAGAATAGATGCCAGTGTCTTCTGGTACCGTAGGTTTAATTTTTAGTATGCTTACATTCCAGTCCTGATCGATAATCACTCGCTGCCCATCTGCATGTATTTCCTGATCATTTTTCTTCCATATGGCGTGTACTGGCCTAGAATATTGGCATATGAACTCTGCTGTGCCATCTTCATCAACAGTTAAATCCTGCATGGGACTGACCACTTCAATGGTTGGATCTGTTAACCAACACGTCAGGAAGGACATGCATTAGTGGATCCTCATGGAAATTGCAACTTAGAGATTTTTGACAAGCACAGAGCCTGCGGGGAGCAAGCAGAGTGACAGTGCAAGCAAGGGAGCTGGCTGGGCACACCAGGGATTAGCAGTTTAGTCCATGCTGGTGTCAGCATCAAGCAGGATTGAAGCAAAACTGGTACATTAGAATATAACTATCACACTGGAAAATGGGCCACCAGCAATTAAGGCTGGTGCTTTAACAGTCCTGACTACGAACTTCTGTGCAGAACATCTGCTGGGATTCCCTCCAGGCTTAGTTTTCCTCCCAGCATTGCTGAGACCCTCTAGGCTAGGAAGCACTGGATGTGAAACCCTTCTGCGTCCCAGAACGTGGCAGGAGTGCAGGTCTGAGATGGAGGAGTGCAACGGGTGGGCTGCCGTGAGTGCTTCCCTCTAACACTCAACCTCACATAAGCAATAGGAAAACGCCACAAACTCTACTGGAGGCTCCTTGTATGAGCAAACTGCAACCATTTATTGGAAAGAAATGCAATAATCGAATGCAAATACTCATTCCTGCCCTGTGGTGGCGATGGCTATGCATGAGGAGTCATTGGCAGCGCGAGGAGCAAAGCCCCAGGACAACTGTAACAAAAAAGGGCCCTTCACAGGAGACAGGTACTTGTTGTTTTGCTTAACCGTGTGTTCCTCTGCAGCAGAGACATAGTTCAGGGAAAAATAACATGGTTTCCTTTACAGCAGATGATCTAAAGATGCAGCATGAGCCATTGCAATTTCAGATTGAGAGCCTGTAAGATGCTGGGAGCAGCTGGATACACAGTTTCTCCGAAGAAGGTGAGATCCATGAGGCTGCTTTGCTTCCAGTCTTTCTTTTAAAATACTAGTTCTGCTTCTCAGGAGGCAGCTGTAGAGCACAGTAGATATATCTAACCTCAAAATATAGTGAGCTTCCAAAGCAGCTAAGGAGTACCTCCTGAGACAGCAAATTGGACCCACTTTGTACAACTGCAATATCTATGCTGAAAAGAAAAATCTCAATGAGGTCTGAAAATGGAAGTCTCTCTGCAACATCCTTCTCAGCACAACTGTCAACTCCCCCCCCCAAATTTATATGGCTACAACGGGACGTAGAAAGATAACAAAGCAAGCTGATATATGTCCTTATCTTTCAAATAATTGTTCTGATCACAAGCCAGCTAGAATAAACCACACTGGACCTCTGTCTGGAATGCTCCTCTTGAAACTGGTGCATCAGGTTGAGGATTTGGGATGCTACTGGCAGACCTTGGGAAGCAAAGATAGTTTTGCAAATGTCTTTTGGAAAGTTGTTGCAAGGCTTGATCCTGCTGCCTAAGGCTCCCTCGACCACTCCGTGTGTCTGCATGTGTTTATGGAGAGAAGGCATCAATGGCAGATCATGGAGATGTTTTGGTTACACCAGGCCTGAAGAAGCAAGAAGGAATCTGTGCAGATGGGGCGTACACTGCTGTCCCTTTCCATAAGATGCGAACATGTGCTCCTCACAGCAAACGTCACCTGTGGTCTTGGAGAAGGAAGGTGTCCTGGTTCCACTGCCCCGTTCCTCCTTGCCACTGCTACCCTAAGACCTTGGTGGCCCTATTCACCCATGCAGAAGGGCAGAAAGCTCCTTGGGATTTAGGAGCCAACGTGTACCCTGGGGCCTGTAATTCTCACGCTGACCAAGGGGGACAGAAGGCAGCAACAGCTCCTTCAACGTTTTCCATCTCCCCGCTGCCCGTACGTGAAGATGCCGTCATACTGGGCCACTGACTGAGTGTAGTTGTAGGGCAATGATATTGTGAAGGCCCAACAAGAAAAGCTGTCGTGAGATCTCACTTATTACAGAATATATCCAGTTACAAGCATGCCTTACACCAGGAGAACGGGGCACACAGAACAGAGAGAAACAACTTGTTCCTTGATGAAGAACAAGCCATGGATAGCTAGATAGACTGAAATACACCTAGTTTGAAGACAGGTCTATTTTTCAATTTCTGGACAAAATAAAGTGCATGAAATTGGCTGTTCATACAAGCACAGTTAGAATTTCACTAGTGTTTTACTTTCCTATTCAATCAAGTGTTACTGAGAACAGTGTAACTGGGGTATTTTTTAAATACCTTTCTCATCCTAATCCAATTATAGTCATATACTACTGTGGTTCAGGTTCACCTTCAGAAATCTTGTCTTAATAGTAGCACAAAATACATGCATACATATGCGTACTAGCATGAGCTGTGGGGTTGGACTAGATGATCTCCAGAGGTCCCTTCTAACATCAGCAATGCTGTGATTCTGTGAAATGAAAACTTCTCAGGAGCCCTTTATTTGACTGAGTAGAATACCTAACAATGTATTTATTTTTAATTTACGTTTTAGGCCCACTGGAGTTCTTTGCCTAGAGAGCTCAGAACCAGGTTCTGTCTCTGAAAACATGAAACTCAAAATTGATACAAATGGACTTGTGATTTGGGGGGGTTGCACACTCCGTTGTTGCTGCATCATTCTGATATTAGGAAGAAGTGATTTGGCATTTTATCTTTGCAGAGAATTAAATTTTCTGAATGTACAAGGGACACATTGTACAGAGAAGGAGACATCAACCACTGACTACAATTCCATATCGTGGATCATTCCTGTTATGGTAGACAGTTATTGCATGAGGGTAGATTTTAATAAAGAACACTTAACCCTTTATGTCTCCATATATACAAATCCCTTTTCCAAGCAAGGAATAAGTGTTACTTTTGTCTGAAAAATAACAACTTTTCCCAATGGCTATAGAAGGGCTGGTTGTGAAGGAGCTTGCTTTATCAAGTCTGGAGCTCAGTGTTATTTGCAGCTTGTGGCTACCCTTACCAAATGAGAAAAATATTTACCCAACAGACCAGAACAATTTGCTGGTGCAATGATGACCATTACTATTCTGGCAGTCAAACAATGAGGGTCATTTTGTCACTGTGTTACCCCAACGTCATATACCATGTGGTTACCATGAAGAGCTCTGGAGCCATCGATATAACAGCCCAAAGTCTTGTCTTGGGAGCATACTGAGCTCAGCGTCAGTAGCCTAGCTATGGAGCAGCACAGTGGTATTTTTGTGAATTTCCAGCTACATAATATTTTGTGGTATTATAAAAACCGTTAAGGGGGGGGCTAAAATATCAGGTGATACCACAGTGGTTTGTGTTGGGCTCTACTTAGATGTCAGGTGAAAGCAGCCCTGACGCTGCAATCCTTCCGCACCTGAACCACTGAAAAAAATCATGTGGTTGTATCTATAAGAATTCTGGCATGAGTATGAGTGACTTGCAGAAGTGGAGGGTTGCAGGACACAGAAGACCTGTGAAAACATTTAGTAAGGGTAGCCCGGAAGGCAGAAGCGCTAGCACACTGAGCAAGTCCAGAGGTGGCTGTGTGTTTCTTTCTAACAACGAAATACCTTTGACTAATAATTTAGCTGAAGATATAAGGCACCCAGCTCTGAAGGTGACAGTGCCTGAGTCATGGCATGCCACATCATTTAGGGTTAAAGTGTGGATCATCCCGTCCTGCTGAGAGATTTCAGTCACAAAGTTGTTGTGAAGGGGAGATCCATCGAGCCACCACTGCACGTTCTTCACGCCCGGGTGCGAGAGCTCACAGGTGAACGTGGCTGACTCACCCACAAAGACGTCTGTGTTCTTTAAACCAGAAACTATGACTGCTGCTTCTTCTGTATAACAAAGCAAGAGAAGGTGCCAAAGGAAAACAAAAGCATAAACAAATACATGTCGCTTCTTGCAGAACCAGCCCAAGCAACAGTGCAAGTTGTCCAGGAGAGTTAAACTTGTAATGCTGTTCCAGGGAAAAAAGAGCTAAAATTTTCTTTAAGGGATTTAGAAGCCACCTTCCGTCCTTCACCCGCTTGCAAGTGCAGTGTGTGTGTCTGCAAACACTGTTTCATTGGGAGGAAACTCTACTCCATGACCAGGCCATGACTGGCTCTCCTGTGTGTTGCAACCATCTGCACTGACATCGTATGAGGTAGGAGGCAGAGAGGTAGCTTAAGATTTAAATGCTTAAAGTGCTTTAAAAGAGGAATAAGAATATCAACAATGATAGAAGCTGTAATCAGTCATAGCAAGAATTTCAGGATTTTTTTACGACCACTGCTCCAAGCAAATAGTTTTTCAGCGGTTTTTCAGTACCACCATCTGCTATGGTACAGAGTACAGTCAATACTTTGAACTACCTTAACTTATAAAGATTGGTCCAACCTCAGCCTGAATGTGTTTATGTCTCCACTGAAATCAGGAAAGAAACAAATGGACTTTCAACTGTTTGCATCTGAGACAAGTTTGGCCAGTTACTGCCAAAGATTTTGGAATAATATATTCCAGGCAGCAAAATCAGATTGTTTCTACCACATTTCACCTTACCTTGCACATACACAGAACCTGTGGTGATCTCGTATCCAGTGCTACAGGTATAATCCCCACAGTCATCAGGCTCTACACCGTGGATGATCAGCTCGGCAATGCTGCCTTTCAGCTTCATCTCGTACTTGTCGCTGGGCTGAATGACCACCCCTCCTTTTCTCCACTCAACGGGGGCGTCTGGCTTGGAGATCTCACAGTGCAAGACAGCAGTTCCCCCTTCTTCAGACTCTACATTTTTCAGCTCCTCATTAAACAACACGGGTAGTACTGCAGTGGGGAAGCAACTGCATCAGTGACAGTGTTCAGAGGTGAGAAACTTGCTTGCAACTTCTTCGGCTCGGTAGTTCCCCTCTTTCTGAACCACAGCTTGCCTGCTAGCGATGCCAAGCCCAAAGCAGGACTTTGAGTTGTGCCATAGCCAGACACTCATGGGAATCAGGTGCTGATACAGTGAAGGTGTCCACTGCTGCTCCACAAAGGATTGCCATTGGTCACAGGAGCTCTAAGGGGCTTCGCGTAGGCATACACCCAATTTTCAGTGTAAGCAGTTAGAGGCACAACAGTACCAATCACAGCATTTGGACATTTAATCACTGAAACCACGCACTCTGAGCAGGAGCTGGTTTGGGGGGCCAAACTTGGGATCTAAAAGCATGATCTTGTTGCTTTAAAATTAATAAAACTATAAAATCCGTATATAAAAGCATAAAATGAATAAACCTATAAAATCCCAAAACATAACCACTAGAAAAAGAGCCACAAATCTTGGGCTGCTCAGGCTCCATTTAAAATGGGCCTGTTCTAGGTATGGTGAAATACTCCAATTTCTTATTGTCAGGTAGCAGGAAAGTTTTCTAAATGCTCTTGTACATACCTTCTATTAGCAGCAGCTGCACTTTTGCTCCCAGCTCTCACAGTGAGATCAAAATTGCAACTGCAGAAATAGAACTGGGTTTAAAAGGCACTAGATTCTTCTTTGAAGAACAGATTGCGGACCAAACCCTCTCCGGCAGTAGTAATTCACAGATACGACGTTGATGATAGATAATTCAGCGATAAAACTTCCTTATCGCCCCTATGGAGAACAGCCAGAGCCATAACTTCTCTGCCTTCAAGCGAGGCTTCTCCTACCTTTGACTTGCAACGACGCGGTGGTCTGCTGATCCCCCGAGTCGCACGTATAATCTCCGGCATCCCGAGCCTCAGCGTCATAGATGAAGAGCTCAACGTGTGTCCCCTCTTGCCGGATCTCGTACTTGTCACTCGGCTGCAGGACCGTATCTCCTTTCCTCCACTCCACGGGTGCGTTGGGTTTCGTCAGCTCGCAGTGCAGCATGGCTGTGCCCCCTTCCTCCACCTCCTCGTTTTTCAGCCACTGCTTGAAAAGCACGGGCAGGGCTTGAAAGGAGGGGGGGGGACGGTGCAAAAATAGAAAACGGAGGAATGTTTTATTTTTAAGGTACTGATAATGCCGTTCGTGAAGTTCATGCATAATTCTGGCTGCATTTAGCTAAGGAGACCTGCTGGGGTGGGGATGCCTGGGTCTAAGCCAGACAGAGGAGGAGGAGGGAGAGGAGTTAACCAGCAGGAAAAATTTCAGTTCTACAGGAGCTGTATTTCTCTTCCTATATCCTAGACTTCTTTTCCCAAAGAATTCCCAACTAACTTAAATAATAATTTCTGAAGCCCAGAGTTTTTCATCCCCAAAATAAAACCACGGAGCAGGATAAAAGCACTCAAAGAATACATACCTGCAGACCTGAGGCTGCACCATTTTAAGAACAACTTGAGAACGTGCAGCCAGGGATCAATTACAGAATAATTAAGGCTGAAGGGACCTCTAGAGGTCCTCCATGGATGGAGATTCTTCCCCCATTCTGGGTCCCAGTTCCAGTGTCTGAACACCCCTTCTTTGTGAAAGGTTGTTTTTTTTCCTAATACGAATTTCTCTCGCTGCAGCTTGCAGCTGTTGTCTCATCTATTTACTGAGCACCCCAAGGTAAGTCTGTCTCTCTCTCCTCTGTAGACCCCCATTAGGAAGCTGCAGACAGCAACGAGCTCCCCCCTCAACCTTCTCTCCCTCAGGCTGAACAAACCCAGCTGCCTTTGCCTCTCCTTAAGCTCCATTGCTCCAGCCCCCTGACAAACTTGGTGGCCTTTACAGCACTTGCTCCACCACCTCGATGTCTGTCTTGCACTAGAGAGCTCCAAAACCTGACACGCACACCTCTCACTACTGCTGAACGAAGAGTAAGTCATACCTTTAACCTCTAGTCTGGCAGTGGTCTTCCCATCAGCTGCGTGGCAGCTGTACTCCCCCGAGTCCGGACGGTTCACGTCGTGAATGACCAACGTGTGCACGTTCCCCTCCTGCTTGATGCTGTACTTCTGGCTGGAGCGGATCACGGACGTGCCTTTCTTCCATTCCACCGGGACATCAGGCTTGGACACCTCACAGGACAAGTGAGCCGTGCCACCCTCCTGTAGCTCCAAGCTGTGGAGTGCCTTTACAAAGCTGACTGGAGCAACTGTGGGGAGAGGACACCAACACTGCTGCAACTGCCTAATCCAGCATTGTCCCCAGCTCAGAACTGGGTGCCTAGAGTTACGTTTTGAACCAGATCAAAGAGGAACAAACAAGATAAGTTATTGACATGGCCTGTCTTTTAAAATCATTCTATATAACTTAATGGAAAGGTTTTTCAGAATTTTTGGACCTTTTTTGGAGTAAGTATGATCTAAAACCATCATAAGTAGGAGATTAGTTCAGAGCATATTCTTGACATTCTTCAGCATTGATTCTGACATATCTTAGCTGCTTGTTTCAGGATAAGTCGGATGGTCTTCAAAGGATGCTTGCTTCACTCCATGGACTATAAAAAGAACTGAAACAACTAGCTCAGATGTACATATCTAACTCATAAATGCCTAAATTAGGTTAGTAGAATCCCCCCAAATGTCCAAGGACTCCTCCTCCCAAATACACCTCTCCAGAAGCTAAAGCAATGTTGACCGTGCTTACCAGTACCTTCTAAATCCCTCTTCCTAGGAGGTTGCTCACCTTGGACCGTTAGCTGTGCTGCTGAGGTATGCTGCCCGACCTTGAAACTGATAGGCCCACAGTCTTCTAGTGTCACCTTCCTCAGGATCAAAGTGTGACGTGTCCCTTGGACTCTGATCTCATTCATTTCATTGGATTGCAGGGGAACATCCCCCAGGAACCACTGTGCATCCTGAGTGGTTTCTCGGGACAGCCTGCATTCAAACACCGCGTCTTCTCCTTCATACAAAGTGACGTCCTTCAGCGTCTCCACTATGGCTGCTGCTGGTTCTTTATGGAAAGGTCAACAGAATTTGATATCTACTTTCAAGTGATGCCTCCTGGGTAAAACATTTCTTTATGCTTTCTTGACAGTACCATATTATTTGAAAGAACGACTACAAAGCACTAAGCATTAAATGTATGGAAATGTAGTTACATGGGCATGTAGTAACGCTGCATTCTTACAGATGCATAATGTGTGCATATATATCATGCACGTCTATATGACAGTCTATAAAATATGCATGTTATACTCTATTGTGTGTATAATAAATATATACTATATATTTCTAATGCAATCTATGTATTGTGAAAACATTGTCAACGGATTTTAGTGGGTGACATTAACATCAAACCACAGATCATTGACTAAAGACCCATTTCTGATTCCCTAGAGATAACCGACCCAGTTCTGATCCCTCTGAAATCACTCTCGTCTTTGAGATCCCCATGATTCAGTTTGGGCACAGGACAATGTCTAGCTGTCAAATTACTTAACCATGTGCCCCTGCCACGGTACCAAGCTCTGTTCAGCTCTTCCCCACGCAAAGTCCCACCTTTCACGAGCACAGCTGCAGTGGTTTGCTGGTCCCCTGCATTGCACGTGTACTCCCCAGCATCAGCTTCACTCAGGTTCCGAATCGTCAGCTCAGCCACGGATCCAGCTTGATGCATCTTGTATTTGTCACTTGGTCCCAGCACGTTCCCGGCCTTCTTCCACTGCACAGCAGCATTTGATTTTGAGATTTCACAGCTCAAAGTGATGGTGCCACCTTCTTCAGCTTGCTGGTTCTGGAGTGGTTTTGTGAAGGTTACTGGCAAAGCTAAACCAAAATAAATCAGAGGAAAAAAATTATATTTCATTGCTGACTGTGTCACTAAGTCTTGTGTTTAATGAAACTCTGGTGCCATTCCAAATTTGGCTCAAACTCAATTCCAAAATTATTTTAAAACCCAAACAAGGAATGACAGAAAGTGCTGGATTTCCAGGAGCACTAAGCACTCTGCACTCCCCAAGAGTCACTGGGCACTGCACACCCCGAGCACCTCTGGGAATGTGTTTCTTCTTACACAGGAATGGTCACAGGTATGGACTTTTGAGCATCTAAGTTCACGTACCTCCAAAATGGGTACCAAAGCCACAACGCAAAAGCCTACACCTAATATCTAAGTTCTTGGGTATTTGGCAGGGTGCATGGAGAAACATCGTTATATAATGACCCTCCTTTGAAAATTGGACCCAGAAGAGAAATGAACGCTGGAAGTCTCTGCACTGATGTGTATCACTGATGGGTCGAGATGGAGTTTTGATGGGTTGATTTAAAAAGCGCCACACATACAAGTCTAGTTCCTCAAGTCCAGTTCCCTAGAAGAACCTTGGTGGCTCCACACTCACGGCTGAATTGGTATTTACAAGGGAAAGAGATGGGGTTCCAGAAATCAGAGTGAATTCACAGGATGACAGGTCTGTATAAGAGGAGGTAGATCTGAAGTTTCTTGTGGCTGATGTAGGAATGGATGGTGTATGTTGTCAGACAGCTGGGGAATAGCTGGGGTCAAGTCTTTTGTACAGTTGCATTTGCAGTGAAGGCATCCCACTGTGCAGCTAAGTCCTGCAGCCCAAGGGCTCTTAGGAGCCAGCAAAGGAATGAGGAGGAGAGAGAAATAGTCTTTGTGAAGACCTACTCTGTCAGACTGTGTCACTGTTGATTCAGAAATCCTCATCATAAAAAAGGACCAGACCCTGCCACAGTGTCCCTGAATCTTACATATAGAACACCTAAACTAACCTTTAGCTCTCTAAAAGGTGAAGCAATAGCTTTTTGTCTCCTTTCACTACCAAGGATGCCATAGTTTGCTCATCGCCAGAATCACAGATGTAGCCTCTAGCATCCTTCAGCTGTAGATCGTGGATGAGTAACTCCACAGCAGAGCGCATCTGCTGCATCTCATACTTGTTCCTGGCTTAGAGCAAGACTGACCCTTTTTTCCACTTCACTAGTGCATCGTGTTTGGAGAGCTTGGCATGAAGGGTGACCTTAGAGCCTTCCTCAGCTTCCTGGTTTCGGAGTTTTTTTTTCAAAGACTGCTGGAGTGGCTGGGACCACAGGTAGAGACACAAGCGGACAGCCACCATCAGAGGATCTGGCATTTTACACCTGTTTTTAAGAAGCTAGGCACTAGAACTATTTAGGTGCCTTGCTCGTCAAGCTGGAGTGCCCAAGTAAGTTTGAGCACTTTGACTCTTGAGCACCATTTTCTCAGGTGGAACTACAGCTCCAAGGATGGTTAAGCATCAAAAATGGTCTCATTCTAATTTTAGTTCCAGCTTTGGTTTTCTGAGTGACCAGAAAGAGGCATTTGTGTCTAGGATTGTGGAAGCAGTTGCTGCACTTGGGTCCCTCCATGTTCATTGCTCAGGACACCACAGGACTTAACATAACTTCTGAAAGCAAAAGGACTCAGCTGCTTTATGCCAGCAAAGTACATCTGAGGACACAGAAGTCAAGCAGATAGCACCCTCTTGCTAGTCTTAAGCTAACGGAGTGGAACAAGTTTCTCATCTTAAAAAGAAAATGAAACAACCTACCTTTAACAGTTAAAGTGGCTGTTGTTTGTTCATTTCCATTATCACAGGTGTATTTGCCAGAGTCTTCTGGTTTTAAGTGATAAATCTTTAAAGTATGAATTGTTCCCTCCTGCCTGATTTCATACTTGGAGCTTGGGGAAATGACCTGAGTGCCCTTCTTCCACTCCACTGCAGCGCTAGGCTGGGAGACCTCGCAGCGGAGGATGGCTGTTTCTTCCTCTTGCAGTTCTGTGCTCTGTAATTTCTCCTTAAAGACTGGAGGTGGCACTGAAATTACAAAAACAGCAAAGGCATTTACAGTCACCTTTATCTTTTTTCCCTGCAGGGTTAAAGCTACAGCTGAACAGTTAAGTACTAAACTTTAACTTCTGTGCTATATATTAGGGGGTTAAAACAATCTTCAAAGAGGGAAGGAGAAGGATGTTTGACTGAGAATTTCTTCAAAACAGTGTTTAGAGAAAGAAAGACTAAAGAAGAAAAAGAAAAAAGAAGAAAAGGGAGAGTGGAAGCAATGAAAATTACAGGTCTATCAGTCTACCCACTGCAGCCAAGCTAGTAATTTCTCTAGAAACCAGCTAGCTTCAGGACCCTGGTGACATATCCACCATCCATCCATGGTGATGACAGTCTATGAGACCACATGTGCGGTCTGAAGTACCCTACTAACACAAGGTACACAAGTACCCTACTAACATGGACCTAACAAGGGGTGAATGACGGCCTTGAATTTACTGTTAGCATAAGCAAAATGCCACTTTTTCTCACCAATCTTGTTGCTTTCCCACATGACAGAGGGCCCTTACCTTTTACCGTGAGCTCTGCCGTCGAGGTGTGAGGCCCCACTCGGAAAGTGATGGTGCCAATGTCCTGCTCAGTCACCTTCCTTAATGTCAGTGTGTGAATCTTTCCCTTTTCCACTGAGATCTCATTCATTTCATTATTTTGCAGCACAACATCCTGTAGCTTCCATTCAACGTCCCTTGCATTTTCATGAGAAACCTGGCACCGAAACGTGACATCATCCCCTTCAAACACCACCATGTCCTTTAGGCCACTCACGATGGTCACGTCAGGCTCTGCAATAGTCAAACCATGAAAGGGAAAACATGGATGAAATCACAGAATCATCGAATAATATAGATTGCAGGGGACTTCTGGATGTCATCTGGTCCCACCACTGGTCAAAGCAGGGCCAGCTTACAGCAGGTTGCTCAGTGCCTTGTCCAGCTGAGCTTGAAGTACCTCCAAGGATGGAGATATCACAGCTTCTCAAATCACATTTCAAATGCTGCTGGTTCACTACTTTCAGCGTACTAGGTAACATGGCCAATATCTTTCAGTCAGTGGTTTTACTCTTTGCCCTTTCTCAGAGATACATTGAGTATTGATTTTTTTTTTAATTAATTAATGTAATTGGGTGAATAAGGTGTGAATGTGATACCAAATTCAGGATTTTGAAACTTATTACATTTGCACTTAGATATCTTCACAGAACAACATGAAAACCTCATCCCCTCTACTGGCTTTCATGAACAGAATTGCATATACTCGGCGCGGGCACTCCAGACTGGTTGGGAATCTGGTTGGCTCTGTGCTCTCAGCAGGATTTACTGGATTAACGTGAGCACAGGGCAGTTGCGCTTCAGTTTGCTCGAGTCCTGCTTCTAGGACAGCGGGACACCTGCAGATCTGTGCAAAGATCATACAGACAGCCTGCGACAGGCAAAAGCTGTATGTACCCCGAATCTGCAGGGGAATACCAAGGGAGAAGCAGCGCAATCTTCATCTGAGCAAACACAGTACGTAGTCAGACAGCTGAGGTCACCATCTGCATGAAAAATGGTGCAGCTGGGCATAATGTAGAGTGTATCTATAATATCGAGTAGCCTGTAGGGATGCTAGCGGTGATTGTTCCATGCTAGTGGTCCAACCTGAAAGCAAGCTCTGTCTGTAATGACATTAAGGCCAGATGCAGCTGCCATGTGACTGGAAGCTGGGGGTGAACCATCTGTTCGCTCATATGCATATGATGTCAAGCAAATATTTCAAGGCATGAGTCAAAAATTACGGCTGCCTTATCCTCTCCTGTCCACCAAGTGAATCTTTGCTTCAGTGCATTCATTGACCATAAGATTTTTTTGTGATACCCTTCCTATGCTCTGTGTTTATCACAATAGTAACAATTACGTTGCAAAATCTTAGCATCCTAAAGTGAAAATCCCCTTGCCCCAATAAACGTGTCTTGCCTTTCACGGTCAGTTTTGCAGAGCTCGTCTCATCCCCAGCCTTGCAGGAATACTCTCCAGCATCTCTAGGCTCCAGGCGGTGAACACGCAGCTCGCGGAGCGTGCCGTCCTGCCACATTTCATACTTGGAACTTGAGTGAAGGACGACTCCATCTTTCCTCCACTCCACTTCTGCTTTGCTAATGGAAATCTCACAGCGCAGCCTGGCCGTTCCTCCCACTTCCACTTCTTCGTTCTTCAGCTGCTGCTTCAGCTGGGGTTTGATGGCTGCAAAGTGAAAAACAATGAATACACGAGCCATTAGCTTGGAGGCCAAGTCTGCACAATTCAACACAAGGCACCTGGGGTCTGATGCTGCAGAACAAATTTGCGTTAAGTGGTTATATGATAATAACAACCCTTTTTTCTCTATAAACAGACCTATATTCTGGATATCCAGACAAGGAGAGGATCAGAAAGTTCCTCAAATATGTTTGTTTCCCATAAAGTCAAGGGCATCCACATTACACCTGTTGTATATCGTCTCTGGATATTGGAAATTCCAACACACATAAAAATTTTTGGCTGACCAAAACCTGGTACTTTCTGATTAAAATTAGTGCAAATCTGTTCATTTTTATAGAAATACTCATGACTTCAAACACCGTAAATGATGTAAAGCTTTAAACACATTTCTGATTTCTCTGCTATCTTTTCAAGACCCTAGACCATCAACAGCGAGTCCTTCCAGATGACGCACAAATAGACTACATTTATCCAAGCAGGGCATGGAACAGGTCAGACGACAGCTTGTCCCTAAGGAAAACAAGAAGGGAATTTCCGTCGTGTGTGTGTGTGCAGTTGTGAAAACAGGAATCTCAGCACTTGTGGTTCCTCTGTCTAAACCCTACTGTGATAAATGTAAAGCAAGCACAGGGCTCTTTCACTCATAGTTGACCCAGTGGCTGCTTTGTGGGTCAGGTTCAGCCAAGAGGATGTAGTTTGAAAGGTTTTGGCTTAGGTCAAAGCCGCAAGTTCCACCCAAGAGTTCTGACCCAACAGTCAGAGATGACCACAAACATTTCACAGATGGTGATTAATCACAGACATTATTCCTGGTTTGTTTAAACAGTGTTCCCAGGATATTCATGGGACAAAAATTGAAAATAGTAAATTTTTTTAAATGCTTCTGTAAAAGGCTTATGATTAGTTATTGATTCAACTGAGCCAGCAATGAATGCAAAGTGCCAAAAATAAAGATCTATTAGACTTGCAAAATCCCCATGATGCAGAGTTTCTTGCTTTCATCATATCAGAGGAAGGGGTCAATACACTATACACTGTGCTTTACAGGCTTAAATAGCCATTCTACAAATCCTGTCCCACAAGATCCACTTTCTGTATTCTGGTTTATGACTGGGCACCTGCTTTCCTCGTTAACTTTTAGAGGGGTTTAGTCACCAATAAATAAAAGAATATCATTCACACAATTTCACAAATCCCTTTTATCCTCTCTTCCATTTTGATGCAATGCTAACCATTCACTCTGAGGACTGCTGTGCTCTGCTGGTCTCCTGTATCGCACGTGTAATCAGAGGCATCTTCTGGTTCTATATTATGAATCACAAGTTCAGCTGTGCGACCACTTAGTTTAATTTCATATTTGGCGCATGCGAAGAGCTGCATGGTGCCTTTCCTCCACTCCACCGTTGCATTATCCTTTGTCAGCTCACACTGGAATTTCACCGCAGCTCCTTCTTCTGCCTCCTTGTCTTTGAGCTCCTTTTTGAAAAGAACTGGCAGAGCTAAAGGGGAAAAAAAGAAGCAACGAGAGCTTTTATTGAAGCCTGAGCCAAGTCCCGGTTAACACAGTTAGACTGACACTTCGGAGAACAAGATACCGTGCTCTGCAAATGTCATATTCCTAGGCAGGATCCATGTTTTCTAATTTGCCTGGAGCTACTAGGAGATCTTGCTGCGTCAGAAGCAGCCATCTGCACTTATAACATTTATTTCCTTTGTTCTTTGACTCAAATTCTTCCCAGGGTTGAATCCTTTGAATGAATTTATCCCTCAGTTGATCTAAAAATGATCTCAGGAGTAAAGATGTTCAAAACTCCATAGACAGCCTTGACAGATCAGGAAGGTCATTGTTAGTCTTCTTCCAGGATTTGGAAGAAAATCTTTTTTTTAAATACTTAAACCACATGTCATGTGAAATGTCCAGATGTTATGTTAAAGCATTGCTCTTTCTGTAATTTATCCCCAGCCATAAAGCTAGAAAGTATTTTTTCTTAGAACCCAAAACTCAAATGCAGCACTGGAAGAACAAAGTATCATCCTCTTCCATTCTCATTTGGAAAAAAAAAAAAAAAAAAAAAAAAAGATATTCTAGTATATCAGATGAAAAGGAAAATATTTATAGGGGAAGAAAGTCAAGTACTTAAAAATATTCATATTCAAACTGTTGCTTTGCACGTTGGATGGAATATATTGATTTAGGAGTCAGCTCATACCACCTACCTTTCACATTTAAAGATGCTTTTGTTTCCTGATCTCCAGTATCACAGCTGTATTCTCCTGTATCTTCTAATTTAAGATTATGAATTAAGAGCTCTACCAGGCATTCCCTCTGCCGCATTTCATATTTCTGGCTGGGCTGAAGCCCCACTCCTCCTTTCCTCCATTCCACTGCAGCATTGGGTTTCGACAGCTCACAGCAGAATGTAGCTGTACCTCCTTCCTCTGATTCCTTATTTTGTAGGGGTTGCTTAAACGTGACAGGCAGTGCTGCAAAATTTGAGAGGGAAATGTTTTAAGAGTGTTTCAGTCTGGAAAGGACCCAATCCTACCATCATTCTTCAGAAAAGGCCTATTCTAATGATTCCGCAATCTTTGGGCTGCAGCTCTCTTACTTGGTAGCAACTTTTGAGAACCATTACATGAACCAAGAGCTGAGGACAGATGTGAAGTTAGGAAAGTTTTAGTCTTAGAAAGTGATCCATAGAATGGCCTGGCTTGTGATCCAAAGGAGTCAGACTTTCCCATGGAGGCGTCTCCACACCAAGTATGGATGCTTTAGTCAAAGATCACTGGGACATGCTCTCTCTTAAATGGATGCTTATTCCTTAATAAAGGTCTCTGAGTTTGCAACATTAAGCAAAGAGTATTCTCCCCCCCCCCCCCAAAAAAGCTTCTATTTTCTATCAACATATAAAAAATCAAGTTAGCATTCAAAACACAAGAAGAGGCAGTACAGTAAAAGATGACAATAAAGTGATAAATGGAAGAGGAAATTCAGATTTCAGGCAAGGTCTTGCTCTGGATGGTAGAAGGGGTGGAGGAAAACAGATGTGGATGCAGCTGTTTGCACTCAAAGCCTCAAGTAATAATACAGCACATTCACATGTTATAGAAATCCTTTAACCCCCAACTGTTGCACCTCTTATCATCCCAATCAGGCATTATGCCCAATTAGGCATCCCTTATGCCTACTGAAGCAACAACAACCAAAAATAACCATCAGCCTGCCTGGCTTATTTTCCATTATCCTTTCCCATATGCAGCCACAGTCCCTGCATTCAGAGAGCAGAAGGGTTAATCATACTTTGACATCGTGGCAACATTTAATTGCTTTGATGCTGATTAATCACTGCAGATACTGCAAGCAGAACTTTTCTAACCTGACCATGTGTCATGCTCAAGTAGAATACGTATGCTGGCATGGGCCAGCAGCAAAACAAATAAATGCCTGTAGAGAGCACTGGGAGATGCCCCTTTCACTTCATCTCTATTGAGCCAAGAGTCAATACTCCGCCTACCATGTACGGTTACCACAGCCGTTGTCTGCTGATGTCCAGAGTCACAGGTGTACCTTCCTGAATCGTCCAGTTCTAAGTCATAAATGACCAATTCAGCAGTGGAGCCCTGCTGCTTCATCTCATATTTCAAACCAGGGTAGAGAGTAATATCTCCTTTTCTCCACTCTACTGGAGCCTTGGGTTTGGTAAGCTCACACCTCAGTGTTGCTGTACCACCTTCTTCTGCCTCGGTATTCTGAAGTTCTTGTTTAAAAAGTGCTGGTAGGGCTATAAAATAGAAACATAACTTGCGACATACTGCAGTTGAGGTTTGGGAAAGAGAAAGTAGAAAGAAAACGAAAGCGCCAAAAGAGCTTTTTTTGCAGATGTCTCTACGCCTCAGTGCTCTAGATTCAAAGTACATGGCTATTTCCCCAGAGAAGTAATAGGAGTATCTGCAGAACAAGAAGAAATCGATTTCAAGAAGTTACATTTGCCATGAAGTATATAGAAGCTTAATCTAATCTATGATCCAAAAGTGGCAGAATATTTTTTCCTACTATAAAAATAGCCACTGTGTTGCCCTGATCACTGAAGAGGTATTCTGAAGATCAGCAGGGATTTGTAAGAGTTCATATTGCCTCTTAAGATAGGCCACTCGCAGGAGAGATTACAATTATCCCGACAGCAACATACTGACAAAATGTAATTTGTTCTGCATTGCAATTCCCATTTTCTACCTAGTCACTCCATTAGGCTGTATAGACCATGCTATTCTGCACACCTTATGAATTGTAGTCAGCTCTTCTCCATAAGTGACACTAGAGCACAGTTTTAATTTTCAGAAAATATTACAACCTTTTCCTTTTTTTTTTTTTTTTTTTTTTACCGTTGACTGTCAAAGTGGCAGTTGTCCGCTGATCTCCACACACACAGGTGTAATCTCCAGTGTCCTCCATATCCAGCTCATGGATAATCAGCTTTGCAACAGCACCATCTTGACTCATTTTATATTTGCTGCTTGCTTTGAGGACCTCCTGCCCTTTCATCCACTTCACCACAGCAGGTTTAGTCAGCTCGCAGTGCAGAGCAGCTGTCCCACTTTCTACAGCTTCTAGGTCCTTCAGGTCTTTTTTGAATTCCGGAGGCAGTGCTGAAGAGTAAAAGAGTTACCACAGAGGGAGTGAATATTCCTTAAAAATCAGCTAGATGAGGTCCTGGGGGAGAGGATGCATGGTACACTACTGAGCCCTGATCCAGGTTAGTGGAACAAACCGAAAAATCTCTCCCAGCTTCCCTGGACTCTGCATCAGGGCAAGGAAAGTGAGAAGAACCAGCACAGTTGACAAGACGAACACCAACAGGCAACTTTTTTCCCAATTCTAACACAAGGAGGAAGCACATAAGTTGAAAGGAACACAAAAGCCCAAGCAAACAGAAAGGGAATAGGAACAGACCATGGAAACAGGGACTTGGGCAGGTCCAAGGTTTGGAGGACCTTAAATCCCAAGGGTTACTTTACCATGCACTGTCAAAACAGCTGTGGTTGTCTTGTCTCCACACACACAGGTATATTCTCCAGCATCATTCAAGTCTAAATCGTGAACTACCAGCTCCACAACGCAGCCTTCCCGTCTCGTGCTGTACTTCTTGTCCGAGGTGAGGACACGAGGGCCCTTCTTCCACTGAACGCGGGCAGATGCCTTGCTGAGCTCACAGCGCAAAGTGGCCGTTCCACCTTCCACCGCTTCCTCGCTGGTCATTTCTTCTTGGAAAAATGGAGGCACAGCTGAAGGATGCAGGTAAAAAGTATTACGAACTGAGGACATCTCCAGGGATGAGTGAAAGTAGGAAGTGACAAGGGAAAGTGGTGAAGGTTATGGAAGGGCAAGCAACAGCAACAAAGAGAGGAAAGAGAAATGAAAACATCCTAGTGGGAATATATACCCTAATCCTTTTGGGTTTTATGCTGGCTTCCTACTAGCAAAATTGCACTGTCCTCGAGAGATTTACATCTGCTTTCTACCAGTTTCCATGTAGGAAAAACTAAGAATAGCATCTCTGAGGTCCTTACTTCACACAAGTGTTGGTGTCTTCCGCAAACTTCGTGCCTTTTTAGTCTCCTTTCTTACAGAGCAGCCCTGCTGAGCTCTGATTTTTGGCACAGCTCCTTACTCATCACCATTCCTTCTTCCTTGAGATACCCTTGAAAAGATGCAGCCAGGGCTCACAGATTCTTCTTGGCCCCAAAGAAAATCTCCAGATGCTGAATCTCAGCCTGTTTTCATGTCTCAGAACATATTTTCCCCACTTTTATTTCCTTGAAATAAATTTGGTGACCTTAACATATGTCCCTCTATTAACTAGGTGGGATAACGAGACATTCCACATCCTTAACAGGGCTGTATATCTCAGATCTCAGACTTAATCACTTGCTCCACAGTGGTGGAGCTAAGTTAAAATATCTAGTCTAGAAACCACATTTAGCCTCCTTGATTTGGCACATTTCCCACCACCAACAACGTTAAGCTGAAACACCAGTTTTATTTGCACAGCAATTGGTCCTTGCAACAAAATAAGACCAGAAGGAGGTCACATAAGGAATTTATTCTTTCCTGCCTAGAAAAATCAGACTCCTCAGACAAACCTATCCTTGTGCATTAGGACACTGGTTCTGGGCACAAAACCCAATATAAACATAATTTAGCACAGAAGAAATTATAACTAACACAGTCTTATTTTGAATACTGCTTATTATGCCAAAAAGGAATGGCAAAGAATAAACAGATGTGTGGTTTAGAGAATAAATGCAGGAAAGGAAAGATAAAAGAATAGTGGGGTTATATGCTAGGAAAGGAATGTCAGAAGGGAAAGATGAAAGGATAACAGGTTTGTGTTTAAGGAAAGGAAAAGACAAAAGGATGGCACGGAAAAATGCAGACCGGTATTTTCCAATATACACAGCCTGCAGGTCATCAAAGGCAGGGAATAGGATTTCAAATTAATGGAACTTCAGTTAATAAGTTTGAACAGACAGACATGGAAACTTGAACACCTGATGGTAGAAGACAGACATTTCCAGTTAGGAAATAGGAGGTCAGGATAGTTTTTACCCTGTACTGTTAAGACAGCTGTAGTCTGGTGCTCTCCACACACACAGGTGTAGTCTCCTGCATCTTCCTCAGCTATTTTATGAATCACCAGCTCTGCCTTGGTCCCTTCCTGCCTCATTTTGTATTTCTCACTCTCTTTGAGAATCCTCTGATCCTTCCGCCACTCCACCGGAGCAGCCTTGGTGAGCTCACAGCGCAGGGCGACTTCTCCACCTTCTTCTGCTTCCTTGTTCTTTAGCTCTTCCTTAAAGAGTGGTGGCAGAGCTGAAGGATGCAACATGGACAAACGGTCATCAGAAAACCAGAATTAAAATCCTAATTTCTTTTTCATGCTTGGGATTATTTCCCCTCATGCCTCCCCTTTTCTGCCTATTATAAACATGCTCAGCTATAGCCAACTTCAGAAACTCCGAAAGCATCCTTCTTCGAGTGTGACGTGGTTTCACTCACCCTAAGGGATCAGTTCCCTGATTGTATGTTGATTTTCATGGTGAAAGAACAATACAGAAAGATCCAGATCTTGGGTCAACAGCACTCACAAATAATACTGCTGGATACAGTACTATTTTACCTACACAGGTGTGATTTCTTGGAGGCTAGTATTGTTATTTTCTGTTTTGTTTTTACTAAAAACTTATAGCACCATCTAGATGAAATCAGCCAGATTTCAAAAGAAAACTATTTCTAGTTTTAAATTGAAGTTTGAAGGACCATTACATGTAATAAGAATTTCAGGTTCTCACTATGTCCTATTTTGGAAATCAAAACCCAAAGACAGACCAACCTGTGGGAAATAACCTTCAGGAAAACTAATTATTAACATTTACCCACAAGCGTGCCTTGTGCACAACTACTGTGAGCACGTACAGAATACAAACAGTACTCCCCAAAGGCGCCAGAAAAAGTCCATGTCTCAGCTAAGGCCAGGGGAGGGTCAGAACTTTTTGGAAAAAGCTGGAGGGGACAGAACTGGGTCTCTGACCAAGTAAGTTCCTCACAGCCAAGGACTGTTACACCATTAAAATGGATATTCATTAATAAAAGGAGAGCAGAACATCAGGTAATGAGATCATTAATGTAACGCAAGGATTTATCTATGGATTGGTTTATTGGGAGCTGATAACCTGTGGCGTTGGTGTTTTATTTAATACCTAACTGTCAAGGTAGTCCTGATCCCCACATAGAGGTGTAGACCCCTGCATCCTTCAAACCTAAATTAAGGGTAACAGGCTCTGAAATGGTAACTCTGATCTCATTCTCCATGTCTTCTTGCTTAAAGAATCTGGTACCCCCAAGAGCAGCCCTGGCCACGTCACACCACACAGGGACATGTCCTCCTTCTGCTGCTGCCCCAACCCTCACTTCTCCTTTGAGCAGTGCCTGGAGGGCAGAGAGCCTGACAGCCCATACATGTGGGTTTTGGAGAAAACTGTGGTTGGCTGAAAGTGAGCCATGGGGACTAGGGGCAGGGGGAGAAAGAGCTGGAAAATATAGGTGTCCAAGAAGAGGGCACCTGGACAGAAAGAAACATCTCATTTTCTCCTTTTAAAGGGGGACAGATTAATAATGACCCCAAAATTTGCCCTGAACTATTCTTTCTCAGTAAGAAATTATCTATACATAGAATGAAGGAAGAGAAAGTGATAAAAACACATACAAGCCTATAGAGCTGTTTATCAATTTTAGTAAGGACTTTTTACCATGAACCGTTAAGGTTGCTGTTGTCTTCTGGTCACCACACACACAGGTGTAATCTCCAGCGTCCTTTACTTCTAGGTCACGAATGACTAGCTCTGCAGTGGTGCCAGGCTGTCTCATTTGATATTTGTCACTTGCTTTGAGCACTTTGGACCCTATTTTCCACTGTACTGGAGCTGCTTTGCTTAATTCACAATGCAGAGAGACTGATGTTCCTTCTAGGACTTCTTCATTCTTCAGTTCTTCCTTGAAAACCACTGGCAGGGCTGGGAATGGAAAGTAATTAGACAGTGTATATAAACTAAGACATCTGCATTTGTGATCAGCATCATGAACCCTCGACTGAAGTTCAAACCTGGCCGAGTCAGGGACTTTAACCATTGAGGTTGTGGTTATCACTACGATGATCTGGAAAATTAAATCCAGCAGTGACAGTAAGAAAAGAAATGCTGAGCTAACAGGTCAAAGTACAACAAGCTGGATGGATTCAAGAAGCAACCTAAAAAAACTTATCACAAGGCCACCCTACATGGGGGCAGGACAGGAGCACTTCCTAGGCGCTGTTCCCTTAAACTGACGACATAACAGTTTGTCTGCATGGAGAAATAGTCACGTCCTCAGCTCCTTTTTCAGGAACATCAGACCAAAATTAAATGTCAGAGCGTGAAGTTCTCCTTTCCTGAACACAAATTAATACCTAGGAAAAAGCTGGTAGGTGAACACCTTGTACAGCAACAGGATGTTTCAGAGAAACAAAAAAATGAACAGTCATCCGCGAGATGAATTTACCATTCACTGTCAGAGAAGCCGTGGTGTGTTGGTCTCCACACACACAGGTGTAATCTCCTGCGTCCTTCAGCTCTAGATCACAAATTTCCAGCTCAGCAAGGGTATTATCCTGCCGCATGATGTACTTTTCACTTGCCCTGAGTATTTTGTTTCCTTTCTGCCATGACACAGCTGCAGCCTTGGTCAGCTCACAGCGCAGAGTGGCTGTTTGGCTTTCCGTGGCTTGCAGGTCCTTCAGTTCTTCTTTGAAAAGTGCAGGCAAGGCTGAAGGTCACAAAACAGACAAAGGACGTTAAAAATGACACGTAGCACACAGCTGATGGGAGGGATGGGGTGGTACAGAAGCAGAGAACATTTTAGGGTGGAAAGAGTTTCCTTTCCTCATAATTCTGGGACATTGGACAAACCAATAGACAGAAAAGCAGCCTGGATGCAACCAGATCTTAGAAACAGCTTACAAATTCAAAGAAAGAAATTCAGCTACGGGTGAACACACAACCAATAGTGATGAGCTGGTAGAGAAACACACAATAATACAGATGTGTGTGTGTATATATATATATATATATATGTTTTTTACCATGCACTATCAAGGCAGCTGTCGTCTCCTGTTCTCCACACACACAAGTGTACTCTCCAGCATCTTTCAATTCTACGTCATGGATCAGCAGCTTCATGACCGTGCCCTCCTGTCTCATTTTGTATTTGTCGCTGGCTTTGACCAAACGGCTTCCCTTTCTCCACTCTACTTGAGCAACCTTGCTCAGCTCACAGCGCAGAGTGGCTGCTTGACCTTCTGTTACCTCCTCGTCTTTCAGGCTTTCCTTGATGCGTGCAGGCAGCGCTGAGGATGCAACGGACAGAGGGTTAAAATGGAGCAGCAAACACAGCGTGCCGGTGAAGGGTAGGGGTGGGGGAAGAAAAGGCGAGGGCATCAGTGGGGAGCTGTCTTCGGGCCTGGTCTCACGTCTGCTTTAGGGATCAGGTCCTAAAACCACTTTCTATTAGGAAACGGGATGAAGGTTTTTCCCTTAAATGACAAAATGTAAATTAATTCTCATGACTATGATGTGCAAAGTCAGACTCAGAGTAATTACGCAGAGATAACAATGAACATGGAGAAAAAATGAATTCAAACCATAAGCTCGATAATGAGGACATCTAGATGGAATTGGTTATTACCATGTACTGCTAAGGAAGCTGTGGACTGCTTATCCCCGCACACACAGGTATAATCACCAGCATCGTTCTCATTTAGATTATGGATCACCAGTTCTGCAGTGACATCCTTCTGCCTCATTTTGTATTTCTCGCTAGGTTTGAGTACTGTGTGTCCCTTTTTCCACTCCACTGAAGCGGTCTTGGTCAGCTCACAGCGCAGAGTCACCACTTCACCCTCTGTGGCTTCCTCATTTCTTAACTCTTCTTTGAAGAGAGCAGGAAGGGCTGAGAAACAAAGGAGCAAACATTTTCGTGATATGCAGTTCTTGGCCACCAGAAAAATGAACCTTGATGTTTACCAGTATCTATCCATGCCTAGTTATTGACAGGAGGTTCATCTCACAGAAGGAAGATACTAATGTGTATCATAGCCACAAAAGGGTCTCAAACAGTGGGTAAATTTGCCTGTTGGTTTAGAGATGTATGGAGAATAAACAGCAGGAATGTGAAAACTTTATGTATGGTCAAAAATATAACTTTCTCAGTGTAATTCAGCCCAGGAAAAGTGATACAGCAGGTTACACCATGATGAGGGGAAAAAAGCTAAAGAGAAAAAGAAAAGGCTTTAACCTTATGCGTTAAGGATGCCTACAGACCTAGCCTGAGAGTTGGAATGAGGCTGAAGAGCAGAATCAGAGAGACCTCTTGGAAGTGCTTGTGTAACAATAAAATGGAAAAAGAAGGATGATGTCTCCATTGTGGAAATCTGCTGTAAGACCTTCACAGCGGGAAGTTCAGATGTATCCTAACACCCTGTCCCTTTTGGAACAACCAATAGAACCATTCAGAACATCAGACTGGATGGTAATGTTATAATATGTACTATGGGAGCAGTAGGATGGGACAATGTCTGCTAAGCATTTAGAATGGGGTGGGGACCACTTTTGGATATAGAATATATACACAAGAACAGGAGAGGACTAGTCCTGATTCTAACCAGCAAGAAATAAATATTTGAGAATACAGATGTGGAAGATAATTGGGTACACACCAATTATGAAGCGGGAGAAGCTCATGGACTTTAGGACAAGTAACAATGAAGAAGAGCAAAAAGAAATTCTGTGGGCAACAAGAAAGCAAGCTTCAATAATTCAAGAATTGTTACTTACGATGAAACAGAAGCAAATGTAAAGGACAAGGTAGTTTAAGAGAGTGGAAAACTTCTCAAAGAAACAATATTAAGGACATAATTATAGAGACTACCTCACTCCAAGGATCATCAGGAACAGCCTGCCTAATCCCCAGATTCTTCAATGTCCTGAAACTCAAGAGACCTATAAAATACGAGAGGTTTAGATGAGCACAAAAGAAATACTATGGAATGTAGAGGCAAAACCAGAAAGGGCAGGTTCACTGCATGTCTCAAGAAGGTGAAGGGCAGTTCCCCACTCCTGGACTCTGTCACCTCATGGACAAAGAGACCAACATGAAAGAGGGGCTGGAAGGTAATCTGAAAAATAATGCTGATACCAACTGTCTCCAGATGCAGCTGAATGCTGTATGTAGTTGTACCCAGTAACCAGGTGGCAAGATCATTATTCCAGGAGCTTTCTTTGTCCTTGCTCACAGTTCAACTTGTGGCTCTCGGCTGTATCAGAATATTAGCATACAAGTCCCAGAAACCTGGCCAGCCTAAACTAGAAGGAAACAGAAATAATACAATGACATTCTGTAAGTAGATTAGAAGGAAGAAGGGAGAAGTTGGTCTACCTCTCTTTCAGGAATGTAAGTTGACGGTGAGTGATACGGGGAAAGCTGAAGTGTTTAATTCTTCAATATTAAAGGTTAATGTTAGCTAAGAAAGTAATAGGAATTCTGGCTAGGATAAGGGGAAAAAAAGGGATTCAAGAATATTTAAATAAACTGAATATTCTCAAAGCACCTCGGTGTGATGAAATTTGTCCTGGAATACTTAAGGTACAGGCTCAAGCAATATCAGACATTAACAGTTACATTGCAGAAATCAAAGAGAATGAGTGATGTTCCACAAATACAGAAAAAATAGAAACTCAGAGGTGAAAAATGTCTCACAGATTGAAATATACACATTAGTTCTTACCATGTAAACCAAGGGTCTAAGCTTCCAGATAGTCAAGAAAGATCCAGGCAAAGTCAATGGAGCCAATAGAGCTATCTGCTGACCAAATGTAAACGTCTGCTGTAAGGTGAACTGGATGTCTCGCTGACTTCCATTGACTGCGTTGACTAGATCTCCATTGACAAAAATGTGGATTTAGGAATACTCACCAGTCTTGATCTACAAGCTGACTCCCGTTCACAGTGCTTGTCTTGGAAAAAGAGAGAAGAGGGGGGCAGCAGAGAGAGGATCCAAGGAATTATGGCCATTTCAGCTTAACTTTAATTCTTTGAAGAACATTGTAGCAATACACTTGGACTTGCCAAGAGCTTTTCTCTTCATGAAGGAGTGGTCCAGTGTAATATTTCTTGATGTAGATTAATAAGCTTCACTGATAGAAAGACACAGTATATGCTGCACAATTTTATTTTAGTAAAGCTCTTACTTTAACTTAGGTATAAGTGGAACTACAGTAGGAATCACTACTAATTTGAAAAACCACAGTCAAAGAATATTCAACCGTGATTTACACTCACAATGAACGAATGAGATAAGCAGAGTTCCTCAATACTCTGGAGCCCAGTATTATTCAGCATTTTCTTTAGTGACTTGGACAATGGAACGCAGAGTTGTCATTAACTTTGCAAATGATGTCAAGGTAGGAAGGGAGGGAAGGTGAAAGCACTTTGTTAAACTGGATTAGGGATAGAAGATCTTGATGAAGCAGTGGTGAAAAAATAGGCTGCAATTCAGCAAGAGCAGGTGCAAAATACTCTATTTAGGAACAAACAACACCACAAATACAAGATGGAGAACAATAGGCAGAAGATCTGCAGAGAGGGATTTGGGGTTACAAGAGATCATGGAGCAAATGCAAGTCAAAAAATGCATCTCTGATGTGAATAAAGCAGTCATCATAACAGGGATGTATAAAATGGAGTGTCACATGCAAGACACATGAAGTCCTTCCATCCTACTCCACTCTGGCAAAGACTCAGATGGAACGCTGTAGTCTGCTTTTGGCCACCACACTTCTAGAAAGAGGTGGATTAACTGAAGATGGTCCAGAAAGCAACAAAGATGAGCTGAAGTCTAGCAAACATGACCTATGAAGAAAGAGTAAAAGTATTGAAGGTGCTTAGTCCAGAAAAGAGAAGACAGAAGTGAGACACGATGAAAGTTTTCAAATCTGTAATTTCAAATCTTAGTTTCACAAAGAAGAAAAAAGTAAATATTTCCCCACTTCTACAGGACATAGGACAAGAAGTAATGACTTAAGCAAGCTCGAGAAAGACTTTTGTTGAAATTAGGAAGAACTTTCTGGCAGTAGTGATAGCTAGGCAGTGGAATGAGTGTCCCGGGGAACTGCAGATTCTTCACCGCTGGAGGTTTTTAAGTGCAGGCTAGATAGAGGTGATGGCAAATTGGGGCTCAAGAATGGACTAGATGACCTGTAGAGGTCCTTTCTAATTCTGTTTTCCATGGTTAAATTGGAAGTTCGAGGCTGAACCCATCCTTGTTTTATTGGCAAATATGATGATAAAGAGGTCTGGGCAGTAAAGCAAAGAAATCGACTCATTGACCTACTGAATCTCCAGGTGAGCAAGATGGCTGAAACTACTTCTTACTGTCCTATGTTAATAGCAGAAATAAAGTTTCCCTCTCTTCCAAGGAAAGCCTGCAGATGAATTTGACCGAGGACTGTGAAGTACTCTCACACTATAATGCTGAGTATTCTGCAATACCAGAATACAAATCTACGTGATCCTTGCTCAGAGTTATATAGAAAAGTTGCATTGAATCTAGTTTTATTTGCATTATTTAAAATTATCTGTCAAATCCTAATATAACTTTAAATCTAAGATCACTCTTTTTTAAGAGGTATGAATGTTCCTGCTGCTCCATCTCTCTAGGCTCAAGTCCAAAGTAAGTAAAACGGAACAAAAACCACAAGCATGTGGCACCCTTCAGCCTTCAGTGTGGTGCAAAGCAGCATAGCCGTGCACCACCAAGAGCAAGGAGAAGAAAACAGGGAAAATGTTAGTATAATCAATGGAACTACAATTCTAATTAGAATTAGATAAAATTCACAATAAAAAAAACCCAAGAAAATCTGTTACTGACAGAATTAATGATGGCAAGATTAGAGAAAGAACTCATTGCGTGTCAGTACTGAGGCTTCCAGAGGAGATGGGAGAAACATCACACAAAAATTTCTCATTTCTGATTTCTTTACCATGCACTGTCAGTGCTGCAGTAGTCTTCTCGTCTCCACACACACAGGTATACTCCCCAGCATCCTTGACTTCTAAAGCATGGATCAGCAGTTGCGCTGTAGTACCTTCCTGTCTTATAGTATATTTTTCACTCAATTTGAGCACTTTGTGTTTCTTTTTCCACTCCACAGAGGCAGCCCTAGATAGCTCACATTGTAGCGTGGCTGTTCCACCTTCAGTGGCTTCTTCATTCTTCATCTCTTTCTTGAAGTGTGCAGGCAAGGCTGAGGAGTTCAAAATGAGCAGAATGTATGACCATGGCAGCTATTCAAGAAACTTTATCTGTGGTCTGTCAACCACACGTGACAAGCAATGCCCTCCCTAATCAAGTAGGATTGATAGCCACTCTGAGAACCATAAAACAGTGACTTTGGAAAGCTGGAAAACACGTGATTCATAAGTCAGAGCTTTTTTATGGTATGGTCTATGGCATGAAATGGAGAACCAAACCAATCTCAACTTCTTCAGACTCTGCAAGACTGAGCCCTACCTTACATTAAGGATTGCCTACCAGAATAGAAAATAAAGCCTAAAACTAGAGTGTCTTAAGTTCTATCACAATGTAAATCATTACTGCAAAAGTTCATGAATGAAACTATACCTGAGGCAATAATCTCACTTTTCCGTGAGATTTCTCCTCAGTTAGTGGTCTAGCAGAATTTGACTGTCAAATTATTCTGAAACACTGAAAACCGTATCAAAAATATCTCATTCCCAAATAGTAATAGTCTCAATTTTAGGATTGTAACATCTTTACAACCAACATCACAATAATATGATTTTCCTTCTTTAGCAACTGCTACTGAACATGAGCAAAAAATGAGTTAGTACCAAGGTGAATATCTGATTTTTTTGCAACAAACACCTGATCTGCACCTGGTACCGACTAGCGCATTCAGGCATTTATGCCCATGTCCAACCACACATTGCTAAATTCATCAGAAACACAGGGCTGCAATTTCAAAGCTGATACAACTATGCTCTTAAAAAAAAACCCAGCTGGTTGAAAATAATCCAATTAATTTGTAATTTTTTTTTTTAATTTTTTTTTTTTTACCGTTCACTTTTAGCGCAGCGGTAGTTTTCTGATCTTCATAACAGCATGTGTAATCTCCAGCATCTGTCAGATCTAAATCACGGATCACCAGCTCAGCAGTTGTGCCCTCACATCTCATGGTGAACTTGTCATTTGTCTCGAGGGCCCTGTCTCCTTTCCTCCATTCCACAGCAGCTGCCGGCTTGTTCAGTTCACAGCAAAAAGTGGCCATGCCATTTTCTGTGGCTTCCACGTTCTTCAACTCTTTTTTAAAATGCGGAGGAAGGGCTGAAGATCACAGGTGAAGAGAGAGCACTTTAAAACTGAGGAAATACTGAATCTTGACTGCTCCACTGGATTAAAACCCTTTAATCACTAAAAATTTTAGAACATATAGTACCCGAGGGTCAAACAATGATTTCATCCCTGCCTTCTGCTTTGCAACACACCACACTCAGCATGTCACAACTGATTTGGAAATCAGTGTTGTAAAACTACAATTTCAGTACTGCAAGGTATGCTTTAAAGGCATTTTAAGATAGAACAACAGAAAGCTGATCTCAAGATTTCAAGGAACTACGCACAGCTCTGTCTTAAGATCAGATGAACAATTAAAATGAACAGTATGTTACTTAAAATTTCAGGCTGCGATGTTTTGTTCTCACCTGCCTTTCTCAGCTCTCATCATAACAGAATACCTTTCAATTCCATTCAAGAAAAACAAGTAAAATCTCAGTGATATGCCTAGAGAAATTAATTAATGGAAATACTGAAAGTGCTATTTATGACTTCACCAAGTTTTTCATTATCTGCTTCCAGACTCCATTAACATGAAAGAACAGGGACAGAAAAGACTGTATGGTGCTAATTCTGAGTCCTAAGAGAAGGACTTTCAGTAAAAGATATTCCCAGTGGTTGATACAGCAGCATAATCATTTAAAATAACAGACGGGATCAAGACTGGTTTGTGATCCTGTATGAGATCACAGATGACAAAGCACAAAATCCCTACTAAACTCATGTATTTTACCATGCACTGTCAGGGATGCAGTAGTCATCTTGTCTCCGCACACGCATGTGTAATCTCCCGCATCTCGTTCCTCCAGGCTATGGATGGTCAGCTCAGCAATGGTATCCTTCAGTCTCATTTTGTACTTCTCGCTAGGCTTGAGCACCTTTTGCCCTTTCCTCCACTCCACCGGAGTGGGTTTAGTTAGCTCACACTGCAGAACAGCCGTCCCGTTTTCTGTGGCTTCCATATTGACAAGGTCTTTTTTGAACAGTGCAGGCAAAGCTATGGGACGTAATATAAACAGAGAGGACGTCAAAATCATTAACCAGACCTTGAGGAACTTAGGACTAGGTCCTGAGGCCAGTCCTTCACTATTACGGGAAGACAAATCATATACTCTTGAAAACTGCACCTATTAGAAAACTACTGCAGGTTCTCACTGGGGTAATTGCCACCATGACCTGCTTCTAACATTGACTTCTGCAGCGTGCTCATCACTTCCCAGCTGATTCCAGTAGTCCTCTCTACCTATTTCAGACTGAAGTCATTTATCTTGAACATTAATGACCTGACTTTTGATTGAAAGTCATCGGCCCAGATGACAGCACTGCTAGCTGGAGATCTCTACCTTTCCTGACACTGTAATTTATCTTTCTGCTTCAGAAAAAAAAAAATTAGTAATATAACTTCAGGTGCACCTTTCAGCCACCACTTCCAAGGACATAAAGGCTCTGATATCAGGAATACAGGGTGGGGGCTAGCAGCATTCAGCAAGTTGCCTTGTGGTGTGCCACTAAAGTAAAAAGGAAACGACTTGCACAGGGAAGAAAGTGCCAGCTCAGAGGAGGAGAGGAATAGAAGTACCTCCAGCTGGGAGAAAGAAGAGGAAGTAAAAGCATGAAGAAAATCTGAGAGAAGAGAGTTTTGCCTCCACAGTTTTGCCCCTGTCCTTAGAAGCATCTTATCTTTAAGACATGTCTCCAATAAAACCCATTCTTTCATCTGTTGGAACTGTATGTGAACTGCTTCTTCTGGAGGGGCAAGCAAAGCTCATCACTAGTCACTACGGCAGACACAGGAACAAAATCTCTTTCACTACTCCCTGAATCAGGACCTGTGGAATAATGGTTTGGGGCTTTTTTTTCTTTGGAAAGTACCATTTCCTTGGCAGAATATATCACAGTCCTGAAAAACAGGAGGACAGTCATACATTCCTGAATGGAAAAAACCTCTCACTAACTGAGCTTAGCGTTTTTGAAGAACCTGAAGGAAAGTTACGCACTGAAATCCACTGATGTCGGTGAGACACGAGGACAAACCCTCTGAGAATAATCTTATTGCTGGAGATCTGCTCACTCTTGGCCTTACATGCAGATGCCTTTTTCACTTTCAAAAAGTGCAGTCTAAGATGAGAAATTCTCACACCTTTTCTTTACTTTGCTATAAAGCCATCAGTTTCAAACTAACAGACAGTGGGAGATGGGATGAAACACAGCCAGCAAACCAAGAAAATGCTGCAGAATCAAAACATCAAAGCAAGTGGGAAAGAAAACTCTCAGAGAAAAGGGATCGCCTGAGATACTGCTATCGTAATGGAGAATGGCTTTTTACCATGGACTGTCAAGACAGCCGAGGTCTTCTGATCTCCACACACACAGGTATATTCTCCTGTATCTTCTACCACCAGATCTCGGATCAACAGCTCTGCAGCGGTGTCTTCTTGTCTCATCCTATACTTATCACTTGGTTTGAGTGTCTTGTCCCCTTTTTTCCACTCTACTGGGACACCGACCTTGCTCAGCTCGCAGTGCAGAGTGGCTGTTGCACCATCCGTGGCTTCTCTGTTCTTCAATCCTTCTTTGAAAAATGCAGGCAAAGCTGAAGGACAGCAATATGAGCAGTGAGATGTAATGCTCCAAAGAGTTAAAATTAAACATCAATGTTTAATTTTCCTTTTCCCTCTTATCTTGAACTGATTTATCGATACAAGAACATAGATTCTCGATAGTCTCCATGAATCAATATGAGGAAAGAAATGTCATCACCAGGAAAGGTTTCAATGCTTGCAGTAATCTGCAGAGGTATTTTACATGTAGTCAGAGTCACAAATCAATACAAACAGAAGTAGAAAACCCCATTTTTTTTTTCCTGTGAAATTTCAAGCAAAAAGAATAAATACTAATTTGAAATTTCTGGAAAAAAATGGTTTTCTTACATGACTTTTTAAACCATAATGGGAGGATGTTTGCTATGTTTTCACATATTTAAGCAAACAAAAAGACATTGTACATGGAAAAAAAAAAAAAAGAAACACTGGAGTTTCATTCTAAATGTCAGTTTGAAATGAAATTGTTCATTTCAATACATGGTGGGAAAACAAGCATTTTCACCTGAACTGACATATCCTTTGAAACTTGTCAGTTGCAGTAAAAATCAAACTTCTCCCTGAGCATGGTCGTCCCTTAGAAGGTTTGGGCTTGCTTTACACAGGACTGTGACTGAATGCAATGACAACTGGCCAGTACATATAAAAGTACCTTGCTGTCCCAGGAATGAGGTATGGGAATAAGATTCCAGGGAATAACCTAACTGTTTGGAATTTTATGAAACCTTAAAATCCCTAAATCATAATCCCTTCAAGGCAACCCATTTTAATGGGCTTGAGCATAACGGGGAGTCTAATAAAGGAACTTTCAAGGGAAAAGCAAAATGACGGACCCTAATTAAAACAGTAGCAGCAACCCTGGTTGCCTGTACTCTGAGCTTGCACACTGATACCCCTCTTGTGCCATGCACCCCGGCTGCACTGACACCAATGGAGCAATTCATTGGCATCAGCGAGCTGGGGATAAGGGTCTGGCAGTAAGAAGGAGATGGTAGGGTAACCAGGTATCTGTCCAAAAGAACAGAGAAAACGGGATAGTTACTTTTAGTATGTGTCTTGTTTTGTTTGTTTTACCATGTACTGTTAAAACTGCCATAGTCTGCTGGTCTCCACACACACAGGAATAATTCCCAGCATCCGTCACGTCTAGATTTTGGATTATAAGCTCAGCAACGACGCCTTTGCGTTTCATTTTGTATTTGTCGCTTGATTTGAGCGTCTTGAATCCCTTCTTCCACTCCACGTTAGCAGCAGCCTTGTTCAGCTCACAGCGCAGAGACACACTTTTACCTTCTGTGGCTTCTTCATCTGTCAGTTCTTTGGTGAAAAGAGCAGGCAGGACTGCAGAGTAAATGCAATACGGACACAGCATCAAAGCTGAGAAAGCCATGACCTACTCGCTCTCTTCTCTTATCGCCCTGAACCCACATGTCTCTGAAGCCACAAGACCTTCTTCACGCTCCAGGATTTTATTCCAATCTCTAACATTTCAAAAGAGAATTCAGTCTAATTTTTTATTTTTTTGTCCTCACGCTTTACAACTTGCTTTAAAAGCAAGTCTCTCTATCTGCAAACTTAGTTGACAAGCCATCTATCCTTTACTTTATACACCATAAAAACAAAGGGGTAAAAGTAGAGGCCGTATTTCAATATGACAGCCAGAGCATTTTGTTTCCCATGAGAAAAACAGCAGTTCTACAGGAGTGCCTGATTCACGGCACTGTCTGTATATTTATAAATAAAGCCCCTTAAAACAGAGCAGTTACAAACACACTGTCAAGCTTTCTGCAGAGATAAAGTAAATGCTTTGGAAGAGTTAAGCCAAAATTGGTAAAAAAGGGCTGGGAATAGCAGGAGCTTAGAAAAAGGCTATTTTTCATTAAGATAGTCCTTGTGTAGCATCATACATTGATGAAAACTTGTTCCTCTTAGGAGCAACAAGTGTAACCGTCTAAGTTACAAAAAGTAAATATTATTCCCACTTTTAGGTCAATCCCTATGGGAAAACTTTTAAACAAGCAGCTCTACTGGACTAGGGAGATTGTGTTGAGCTGGGGACGTGTACTCCACTTGTCATTTGAACATAGCACCTAGGAAGACAAATAGCGCATCAGGAGGGCATCAGGTGAAAGGAAAGAGTGAGAAGGAAAACAGGATAGAAAAATTAATCAGCAGGGGGAAGGATAGAAAGTATACAGGGACCAGATGAAACAGGAGAAAAAGAGGAAGAGATCTTGGAATTACACAGGTTTACTTGGGGCATGTGCTGAGAATTTCTTTTTACCATTTACTGTCAAAGCAGCCGTAGTCTCTTGATCTCCACACACACAGCTGTAATCACCAGCGTCTGCCAATTCCAAATCCCGGATCATCAGCTCTGCAAAGGGACCTTCCTGCTCTATTTTGTACTTTTCACTTGGCTTGAGGACCTTACTCCCCTTTCTCCATTCGACCGGGGCCGATTTGCTCAGTTTACAGTGCAAAGTGACTGCCTCCCCCTCTGTAGCTTCCTTTTTTGACATTTCTTCTTGGAAGAGGATAGGCAAGGCTGAAGGATGCAATACCAACAGAGAAGGAATCAGCACTAGATTGAAATGAACTGGACTCTGCTGCGAGTTACTGGGCTGCAGTGTATACATTTAACCAAAAATGCACTACTGCTAGGTGGATATAGTTGAAAGGGGGGTAAAACCTCCTAGAGTAGAGAGAAATAAATTAGAGAAAACAACATACAACATAGCTGTGCTGCCTTACAGAAAAAAAAAAAAAAAGAAAAAAATACAAGGGGATATTCTCTAATAGGATGACTCTTTGGCACCACAGAGTCGAGAACATGAAAACTCTAAGAAATCTCACTGACCAGGCTTCGGATGACCAGCAACTGCTCTCAAACACGCTACGTTTGGGGCTTAATGAGAAACATGGGTAGAACGGTTACCATTCACTCTCAAAGCAGCTGTTGTCTTCTGGTCTCCACACACACAGGTATAGCTCCCAGCATCCATCAAGTCCAGGTCTTGGATGACCAGCTCAACAAAACGCCCTTCCCGTCTCATTTTGTATTTGCTGTCCGACATCAGCACCTTCCCGTCCTTCCTCCACTCGACCGAGCCCACCGCCTGGCTCAGCTCGCACTGCAGCGTGGCCGTCCCGCTCTCAGTGGCTTCCTCGTTCTTCAGCTCTTTTTTGAAATGGATTGGCAGGGCTAAGAGATGCAGAACGAAAAGGGATTGCAACCCAAGGCCCTGCCCAGATCTCTGGTCAGAGGCTGAATTGTGATTTATTGTATGACTACCTAAGCCTTATTTCAACACCCTTATCCTTAAACCCATCTTCCTTTTTTTTTTTTTGTGGCTGGTAAAAAAAAATCTCTAGTAAATTGTTCTGTGGGAATCACAGGATGCGTGATCTTGATTGGGATCATGCATACAAATGACACACTTATCCTCACCATTAAAGGTGATGAACCCTCCTTAACAGAAAATCCCAAGGAATCTTACATTTCCATACTAATTCAGAAAAACATGCATGTATGTCAGCACCCTTCACTTGAGGAAAGGTGAGAAGACGACACAACACACACACACACAACATGGGGCATAGTGAAAGCTGATCGTGGATGGAGACTTGCGAAAGGAGTGACATGGCAACATGAAAAAGTGGAAGGATGAAAAGAGTAGAAGCAGGACATAAAGGTAGGTGTTGTGAGGAAACGCACAGAAAGAAGGAGGGAAGAGATGGACAAAAACATTCCAGAGTTTCATGGCATATTTCTGACTTTTTACCATTCACTGATAAGGCTGCTGTGGTTTTTTCGTTCCCCACTACACATGTATAGTCTCCAGCATCCCTTGGGTCCAGATCATGGATCAGCAGCTCAGCCAATGTTCCCTCCTGCCTCATCCTGTACTTGTTACTCGGCCGGAGAAGAGCGTGCCCCTTCCTCCACTCCACGGGGACCTCTCTGCTCAGCTGGCATCGCAGGGTGGCAGTCCCACCTTCCACAGCTTCCACGCTCTTCAGCTCTTGGATGAGCGCAGAGGCGGCTGAGGAACGAAGCGTTCTCATTTTAATTTAGGAACAACATGACCAACTGGTGATGTCATACGGGACTTAAAACCAAAATAAATTCTCTTGGCACAGCTAATAAGCTCTGACCTACCTGCATTTCCAGGAGTCTACTTTCATTTACAATAGGACACCATGAGTTAGGGAGGAAATAAAAACAAAACAATTCTTTCCCAATAATTAGAATATCAAGGTAATTACCCTTCTGCTGCCCAAATGCTGATGGTCACAGATGCGCGAAAAGCTTGCAGAGAAAGTGCAGAAGAGAATTGCGTATTCTTTAACAAACCATGTAGCTAAGACCCTTCTTACCTTCCCGCTTAGAGCTCAGACAAGCACCTCTGTCCGGAGCAGAAAGCAGAACAGTTATTTCAGAGGCAAGGAAAGATATCTTGTTATCAGGTATATTTCATTTTTATTTTTTAACATGAAGTTATTGTCCTAGAAAACAGAGAACATAACGGACCTAGCCAGAGCTGCCTTTTGTTTGTACTGATCCCTTTCTTTTTTTCTGAATGCTCACTATAAACGCGCAGGAGCTAGCAGGACCCTGGCAAGAAGAACAAAAAATGGTCACAAGCAGGTGTCTTATTCCTACCATGGATTTTGACGTGGGCTGTGCTCTGCTGGTCTCCAGTGTCACAGGTGTATCTTCCCGCATCTTCTGGCTCTGCATGATGAATCACCAGCTCCGCCACTGTCCCCTTCTGCTTCATTTCGTATTTGGCACTTGCCTGGAGCGTGGCTTCTCCCTTCTTCCACACCACGGTGGCATCAGCTTTTGTGAGTTCGCAGCGCAAGGAGACAGATTTCCCCTCTTCCATTTCTGTGTTCTCCAGGGCTTGTTTAAAAAGGACAGGGACAGCTAGAAGACAGAACCAGAGATTAGGAGATGCCCTTTTGACCTGCTGTACAACGACAGCTGTCACCTCTCACCACCAGTCCTTTTCCAAATGAGCCCTAGACCCTCCTTTGGCTGCGTGGCATCAAGGTGATACTGCTTGGGAGCAGGAAGAAACCTCTCGCCCAGATGTTATCATCTCACTGGGGATTCCTAGGAATATGGGGGAATTTTCTCTAATCTTTAATAAGGACCCTTGCAGAGGCATCTGGGCATCCTCACCTAACGAATTCCCTGCTGCTGCAGGGCTCTGAGACAGTATTCATACTCTATATCTCTCCTGCTTTCTGCTCCAGCACATACTACTTTTGCTCTACTACTAAAGGTACTGTATTTTTTTTTTAAGGGCTTTGGGGAGTTCAGATGGCATCTGAGAGCCTTTAAAAAGGATGTTTGGGGGAATTTGGGGGTCTAAACTTTAATCAGTTGGCCACCTGCAGTTTGCCAGGGACTGGACTTATGTTTTCATCTTCTTGTGCTCCAATGCTCCTGGTCACCATCTCTAACTCTGGTCTTAATCACAGACTTGTAAAATAGCTGTTAGGTCAGGAACTACAGCACGTAGGGTATAGAAAATGAGCCCTCTGCATTTACGTATTTTCTGCTCAGTGGAAAGTTACAGATTTAAAGTCCCAGGTGCATAACTTGAGATTACATGAATGAAATATATGCAGGTGCTTACAAGTATGCAATTTTACCGTTAAATTTTATGCATGAATTTGTAGATTGCACTGCCACAAAGTGCTGTGTGGTTTTAATAGAAGCTCTATTAAGCAATGCATTAAGAAAGCGTGGTAACATATCTAACTCTGCCTACCATTTACTTTCACCCGAGCAGTGGTCTTCTGTTCCCCAGTGCTGCAGGTATAGTCCCCAGAGTCTATCGATTTGACATCTCGAATAATGAGCTCTGCCACAGTACCATGCTGCTTAAATTCATACTTCTCGCTGGCATAGAGAACAGTGTCTCCTTTCATCCATTTCACTGGTGTATCAGGTTTGCTGAGCTCACAGGTCAGCTTGATTTGTTTTCCTTCTTTAGCTTCTTCATTTTGGAGCTCTTGCTTGAAAAGAACTGGTAATTCTGAAAAAGAATATTGCAAAGGTTTAAGGAAACACACAAGATTGGAAATCGCTTTTCCCTTTTTGTTTCAGGCTTTGTTATCGAGATAGAAAACCACAGGAATGGAAAAGCACTAGCAAACAGTAAACACGTTCTGACAACTCACATCTGGCTGCCAGTACTCTACAGCAGCAAAAAAATATTTGAAACCGTATGCTTATTTTCCTTTAAATCACTAACTACTGTTGACGACATTGCTACTATTACTGTTGTCATTATTTACATTAGTGGCAAATGCTGTACTGCTATTCATGATACAGCATGTTGCAGATGGTTGGTCAGAGCTTGACCACTGGCACAAAAACCATAGAACTTTACTGAGGCCAATTTGCATGTAACACAGAGGACACAGAGAAATGGCAAAGCACTTTCTGTCATGACAAGCAATATTGATTTCTCATTATAAAAAAACCCACAACATACTTTTATCCAACATGAATGCACACTTAAAAACAGCACAGAGCAAACACAGAGAGGAAAGCACAGCTGTACGTGAAAGGGTCCCTGTGGAGATTCCTGTGCAAGCTCTGTCACAGCCTGGGACTCAAGGCTTTAAGGTGAGCTAGTGTAGGGAAGGCACTTATTGGGAAAAAACCTCAACCGAAATGTTTTCCCCTCAGATCATGAAAAAAAGTCAATTTCTTCCTGACTTCTGATGTCTTATGAATATGCAAGTCAGCTACTGATTTGTGATGCAGAGGTCCTGTGGCTATTGAGAAACTACAGCCTATTCTTCTGTTCCCATTTTACCTCTAGTTTGGGACACTCAGTGTTACATGGCTAATGACTTTTTTTTTTTTTTTTTCCTATTTTTGCATTTTGCTGTTCTGGTGTGACCCTAATAGATAAAGGAAAGCTACAATAATGTAATTTGTTGTAGTTATTCTTATGACTTGACTCCTTCACATCTACTGGTGATCTGAATCTGTATGTTTAAATCCCACATCCATCCACGCCCTTCTCTGTGAAGGGAAAAATGGGGCTGTTGTGTAACATTAGGAATGCATTTTTTTCTAACAGAAAATTGTTCTTCATCATGGGTGAGACCCAGGTCCTGCTGAAGTCAACACAGATCTTTCTTTTGTGTGTAATGGGTGTTGGGGAAACATCTTAGTGCTACAGAAAGACATAGAAGATCAGAACCATTAACCATCACCTCTCTTCTTCGTTACATCACCAAGGTCTTCTCTTTCCTTGCACAGCAGATCTCAGCCTTAAGTTGGCTTGTTTCTTTGTGCTCTAGATAAATACTGTGAGCAGATTTCCTTCCCTCTTCATGCTCTGAGGTTCAGGCTGACTATTCCAACAACCCAAATGCTTTTTGTTCACAGTGACTTCTCTAATCCAGGTGCAGCTTGCGATCCACCCTTCCCAAGTGTGTTATACCAGATATATGCAGGACAACCACCGGTCAAGGCTAAACACAGCCTGTGCCATTCACAACCTCCCTCTACCTGCTCAAACCTCCCCATGTGAATGAGCGATTTTGCTCACAGAAACCGAGCTCCTCCTCAACCTCAGGCTGGGGCAGCGACTCAAGACAAGTAGAAGCAATTATAATGTGGGTAATAGATGAGCCCGGTTCTGACCCAGCTCAGACCCAATGCTTGCCTGACATACTCGGTGCTTATCCAACATGCTTGGGGAAGTACACTGAAGTCTCATGTGTCTAAGAAAAGAACTTTTGCTTCAGCTCAGAGAACAACCCTTCAGATAGCACCTCCTGCCTGATCACGCTCTTTGGGTGCGTTACTCTCAATAAATTTGGCTGCCTAAAGCAATTCCCCAGACAAAAGTGGACGTATGAGCTCCCTCCTTGGAGAGGGCCTTCAGTGGAGACAGCTTCAGAAGGTGATTTATTCTTTCTCTGGATTACCTCTTAGGCTGGGTGGATCTCCTACGGAGATACCCACTGTCCTCTACTGACCCATTGCATTCTTCTCTAGAGAGCTTAGGCACTTAACTTTCACAGAGCTAAAAGCAGGTAAGATGAAGGATTTTCCTATTTCGCATTCTGTCACCCCTCTGGGTGCTGTTCCAGATGACTTGATGAGAACCTCTCCTGCACTGTGGTGCAAAGGCGTGAGGTTCCTTTCCAGTATAGTTTCGCGTTTTTAATCATTTCAATTTATTACTCTGACCTCGGTGTTAGATGACGAGTTAGGACCCAAAGCATCACTCCAAACGTTCTTACCCTTGACAGTAATAACCGCACTACTTTTAGCTGCTCCAGCCTCACACTCATATCTGCCACTGTCTCTTTCTTCTGCCCTGTGAATGACAAGCTTGGCTTCAAATCCCAACCGGCTGATGTTATACTTGGAAGAATTCCTAAGGCTCTTCCCATCTTTGCACCACTTTACAGGGCTGTCTGATTTGGAGGTTTCACAGTGAAGGATCACATCCTCTCCCTCAGTGACTTCAGTATCAAGGAGCTCCTTTGTGAAGATGCAGGGCTTCTCTAGAATCACATAAAAACCATCTGAGATGTTTCAGAAGAGGTGTGGATTTTCAGATCACAAGTAATCTGTGAGATTTATACCCAAGATTATTTTTATCAAAACTACAGGTCAAGGTTAGTAACAAATAATTTGTTGTTCATGACTATAAAGCCCTTGGGAAGGTACCAGTCATGCCATAAAGTGTCGTTCAGTAAATACGTAATGCCATCTGGGAAAAACTGAGAAGACAATATCCCCGTTGAAGAACATAAATAAGATCTCTCTCACATCTAGCTAAATAGGAACAAGATGGAGGCAAGATTTTCCCAATCCCTTTTCCATGTGAGCTGATTAGTTTGAACCTTCTAACTGAATGTGGAAAAGTTAATTCTGCATAAAGTGAGGTGTGATACAGATTTCTCAAAGCCACTCATCTAGAGCAGGTCTCATCTCATCATTATGAGTCCTCTAAAAACCAGGCAGATAGCTCAAACTGGTCATGTAGGATGTCTCTATAACTGCTGGAAGATGAGCGACACCTCCAGAGACCAGATATGCACTTCCAAAATAGGTCATTAGGACAGAGAAGATGAACTGCTCTTTGGAAGTGCTTGTCTTTCCACACAGCTTATAGAAGTGGCCTAAACTAGATACCAATAGCTAAACTGGCCAAGGTAGATCTTATCCCCCCTAGCTTAATGCTTTTTAATTCATAAAAATCCAATCAATCAGGAGACCAAAACCTGGTTTTGGTACTATAGTGTCACATATTAGCATTACCAAAAGGAATCAGCTTTTTCAAATAAGACCTTTAATTTACCTCCAGAAATAATCTGTTTGCATTTCTGTAGCATGGCAAAATTTGGGCAATTTTTTTTTTTTTTTTTCAAAATTTGAAAAAGCCCTTTGCAAGAAATGTGGCAATTCTGAAAAGAATGAGAATATGATCTGACACAGTGGAGACTGTGTGTTTTACACTCTGGGTATGAGAAATATTTATGTTTCCAGTAAGAAAACACCTCTCTAATCCTGAGGTCTTGGACTGTCTGGCATTCATTTTATTCCTTCGCTATAGAAGTAGACTAACACTGCAGTTTTAACTCAGTTTAACTTTTCCAGATAAAACAATTCATTGTCAAGAAGGAATAGCAGAGAACACACGTAATGTTGCCTTTCAAACAATGAAAACTAAATTAAAAACATATTGGTTGAACTTTTTCTTTTCCCCTTAAACTAATTGATTTCTCCTCATTTATCATCACCCTATCAGCTCGGCTCAAGGAAAACTGGGCAAAGCATCCAATGTACCATCACTACAGTATAACATTACCATCTAAGGTCCAGTAAACACTCTGAGAGTTGCCCAGGATTACCAAGTATTCATTCCCCAGCCCTACCTTCATTATATAGGTAATGCTATTCTTGAACGTACACAGATATACATATGATAGGGCCATATTTGTAGCATTTTTGTTCTTTTTTTCACCTACCCACACTAACCCATACTTATTTCTATGCATTCTTTCCTCTCCTGAAGTTTTTATGATTGAATTACCTTTAACAACCAAACTGGCAGATGTTTTCTTATCACCAGCTTCAAATGTAATGACCCCCGAGTCCTTCAGTGAGAGTTTTTTCAGCATTAGCAGGTGATATCCACCAGGCTGAGACTCGATCTCATTAAGTTCATTGGTATGGAGTGGGGTTTTATCCAAAAACCACTGCACTTTGCTATAGTCTACAGGAGAGATTCTGCATTTAAACACGGCAGATTCTCCCTCTAACACAGTGACATCTTCCAGGTCTTCTGTTATTAGCACTTTCTGGCCTGAAAGGAACATAGATATATCAATTACAGGAATCTTCAGTTACTAGCATAAAAATTGATACGGAAAACTCCAAGATTCCCCATGTGAGTATTTCAAGAAAGAAATATGTTCATGATACAGAAGACTGAAACACAATTCCACTGTTACGGAACACAAAAACCATTCACAGGAAGATAATATATATAGGACACACACCAAAATAGGATGAAGACAACTTCAAAGCACCAGAACACATATAGCAAAAAAAGTAGCCAGTACAATGCAAATCCAGCATCATAAAGTTTCTCTTAATGAAACTACCTGGAAAGGCTGAAAGGATGCATCTCTGACAGCATCACTGGGCTCTAGACATCACTAAGCAGATGATCCCTTCTGTGACAACCCCTCTGATTTTCTAGAGCAAATATAACTTGCTTTCTATGGGATAGGACCACCCAGCCCCCACCTTCTTTGAGCTTAGTCCAACCATAAACACAGTGGGAAGTGGAGGGAGTGTCTGACTGCAGCTTTAGTAAAAAGAAACAAAACAACAGCCCTGAAAACCTGCCTGTATAGACATAGATAGATATACACCTAACTATAAATAAATAAATAAAATAAGTTTATCACTGTATGCAGAGATATATCTGATCTTGCTCCTACTTAGAAAACCAGTACAGGGAATTTTTTTACTTTCATCTTGAGCTTTGCGACAGACAAGTATTTCTTCACTCAGAAAAGTTGGTGTTAGAAACCTCGCCGCGAGTTCAGGTAGCTCAGATCCTGAGGCCATGGTGGGGATTAAGCACACTTCTTTGCTTCTCAAGGCTGCTCTAGCAGATGATCAGAGGTGGAGGAGCCTGGCTTTATTCCTTAGTCTTTAAGAACTAACTATAATAATTAATAAGTGGACACCGCCACTGCATCTCCATGTGACTGTTCTTGAGTCATTCCTCCTATTCTCTTCATTGTTTCATCATTTTCAGCTCAAGGGTTTCTCCCAGTCAGGGCTCCGGTGAGGGAACTGTGTGGAACAGTAACAACCCGACCTCACTCCTTCCCCTTAAACACTACCCTGCTGTTAGCATTGGCCACCACAGCTCATTTACAGCCATAGCATCAAATAAAAGCTGCTGGGCTGTACTCTTCAGTTGGAGATTGGGTTGTACTCTTCATCTCTAAGGGGCAGAGGGACATTAAGCACTTAAAGATCCCTGGAGCACTCATTCACCCATCCCCTCCTGGAAACAACTACTGGAAAGAGGCATAAAGGGACATAGAGAAAAGCCTGGAGGCAGAATAATTTTTCCCTCATCTAATAGCAGGCACTCTGAATCATATCCATCGTGTGTACACGCAGGAACGCCAGCCTCTCCTCACATCAGTATTTGGGGTTTTAAATCATACCCAAAGTACTCCAGGTATAATTGCTTCAAATTGACAAATTGCTCTGCATGTCCAGCTCCATGTTGCTATATTTTTGTCCAAATGTCCTGTGCATATACATCATGAGTGAGGTGGAGCCAGAAATCAGTGGACCCGCTACCCATATGCTGAGAAACAGATCTGCCTACACATATGATGTTTCCTGTTGGAGAAATGCAATGTACAATCATATTCCTCTCATGCGTACCTTGCACGACTAGCTTGGCTCTGGACTGGGCATCACCAATGTCGCAGGTGTAAGTATCACTGTCATTTTTCTCCAAGTTCTTTATGGTCAGCTGGAGGATTTGTCCTTTCTGTGTGATCTCGTATTTCCTGCTGGTCCTGAGTTCAGCTATGCCTTTCCTCCAGACTACAGAGGATGCAGCTTTCTCACTCTGGCACATAAAAACTGCAGTTCCACTTTCATCAGCTTTCAGATCTGAAAGTTCCTTGACAAAATAATTGGGTTTTTCTGGAAGGAAAAAAAAAAAAAAAAAAAGAGAGAGACAGAGACAGATTTGTTACCCAAACAAGTCCTGAGCATACAGAGTGGTCTTGAATGCCCTCTGCCCCTACTTGTAGAGTCACAGAATGTAGAATCATAAAATCGTTTAGGTTGAAAAAGACCCTCAAGATCATAAAATCCAACCATAAGTCTAAAACTGCCAGGTCCACCACTAAACCATGTCCCTAAGTACCACATCTACACATCTTTTAAATACACCCAGGGATGGTGATTCAACCACTTCCCTGGGCAGCCTGTTCCAGTGCTTGACAACCCTTTTGGGGGAGAAGTTTTTCCTAATATCCAATCTAAACCTCCCCTGGCACAACTTGAGGCTGTTTCCTCTCATCCTATGAGATGGAATGGATCTAACAAGATCACCAGGTCCACATTCTGTCACAGGACAGAGCAGGTAAAATATTTCCAGGAAAGTTTAATGCCATTGCACGGGTACTGGTGAGGTCTCGTCTTAGAGACCATACATAGTTTTGATCACCCATATTCAAAAAAGTCTATTTCAAATTGCCATTTTTGAATGGCTCGTTACATAGGACATAAGATTCTTCAGTACCTACAAGGTGTTTTTTCAGAGGTTTTTTTTTTAAAAGCTTTTAATCCATGACATTTTTTGAAAACTAAAAATTGATCCTGTTTAGGGAGATGATAGAAGAGAATATCTCCCACAGGTTGTAGAGATTTACCCCAACCTCTGTGCATGCCAGCCCCTGTGCATGCTTCAACTGACCTTGCACCGTGATCCTGGCTTTTGTTTTAGAGACCTCTGTCTCACAGGTGTACTCCCCACTGTCCTTGACTGTGGAGTCATGGATGATCAGAATGGCCTGTGTTCCCTCTTGGTGCAAGTCATATTTCTGGCTTTTTCGGATTGCTTTGCCATCCTTGTACCACCTGATGCTCACATCAGGTTTCGACAATTCGCAGCTCACGCTGATGTCCTGCCCCGCTGTGGATGTTTTATCCTCCAGCTGTTTTGTAATCTCAGTAGGTTTTTCTGAAGAGAGGGGAAAAAAAAAAGGCAACTGAATAAAAATCATGATCACTATACAGCTGGGGTTTTTGCAATTCAAATATCCAGCAGGTTCCCCAATGAATGATTCATATTATGTTAGGGAAGGGAAAAGCAGTCTTGCTCTTTAGTACATATTAAATGCAGTTATGAGCTCTCAGTGAATATTAATGATTGCTTACAGGAACTAAGGACTTGTCCTGATGGCATCCATTTCAGGGGATGTCATTTTGTCATCACTGAAGCTACTGTAGGCATGCACTTAGGGTGGGATCTATCTCACTAAATATAGATATCTATGCTATAGAGATAACTAGCAGAGGCACTCCCTCCAGGGCCACACTGCAGCCAGCAGTGATCTGCTAAGTAGAGGCAATGGACTTCAAGGAACAATTTCTTTTGGCTTAAAATAGGTCTAATTGTGCATAATGAACCATGTCTGAAAACTACCTGTTTCTTCTCTCCACTGACTACCTAGGGAACCTTGGGTGATTATCTCCGATGCACATAGTCTGGGTAGTAATTGTCTGTACAATTACACTACCCAGTGTATTCTGCAGTTCTCAAATATCTATTAAAAAATGTCAGCTTTTCACTTGTTTTTAAGGAAAAACCTCAGTGCTTCAAGGCTCACAGAGAAGGCTGCTATTCACTTTGATCACAAGAGTTTGCCTTCATGGCTTACTGACGTACCTTATGAAAAGACACCCGAGAAATCAAACTCCAGAACCTTTCTGATCTCATTACCTTTTACAACTAGAGAAGCCTTGGAGATTAGACCACGGGCAGTGAAAACGACTTCTCCAGAATCATCAGGAATCACACTTTTGATATTGAGCGTATATTTCCGACCCGTGTTAGAGGCTTTAAATCGCCCACCACTTTTCACTTTGCTCCCATTCAGCGTCCAGTTGAAGTCATCAATGCTTTCATGGGACAAAATACACTCAAAAGTGCAATCTTCTCCCTCCTGGATTTCAGTGTTCTTCAGCCGTTTGGTGATGCCAATGTTCAGTTCTGGAAGACAAAAAGTAGGTTAATACAAGGAGAAAAGGCTTTTATGATTGATGTGAGTAGTAATATTGACATTTTTAGCTCATAGACCAGTTTATCTACTGGATTGACAGGACACCACTGCATTCCTTACGGATGTATTTGACATGGGAAGGATTTCTCAGACATTATCCACTCAGAATTATCACAAAGCTATGGAAAAAGGGACATGTGAATCTCCTGGATTTCTCTGGAAGGAGTGCATGAAGAACAGCTCACCTAGTGGAGAAGACTCAAGATTCAATAAGCTAGAGGGGAGAAAAGTTATCAGACAGGAAGCCTCTGGATGTTGTGTGAGGTTTTTCTCCATGCTGGTATGAGAAATGGGATGTTCATATTTGTTAACTTGTTAACATCCTACCCACCCTGGTGTTCAAAATCAGACAAATTCAAAATTTGTCTCATCAATATGAGTTTGAAAGCCATGAACAATTCTCTTTGCTTCAAACAGCCACAAGGATTAGAGGACAGGCTGAACTGCTGGGTTCTTCAATAGGCAATGTTGTCCTACTTTTGTGTTCCCACGATGGACTCTGAATTAACAGCTCAAATATGTGAAACACAAGCTGCTTGGGGTTTTTTGCAGTGTTTTGGGGTTTTTTTGTTGGGCTTTTTTTCTGAGAAATTATTTGCTCTTCTGGAAGGATTTCTGCACAGTGGGGATGTTCAGGAAGGAAACATTGTCACTACATTCTTGATTTTCACTGAAACACCAGATATACTTACATCAAAGAGTAACACAGATTGTTCAGGCATCACCGTGTGAGACTTACGGAGTCTCATATAGGTGTGAGACAAAGTGACCAAGCCCACCCATATTTGCAGAACCCCTTGCCTGGCCATCATCTACAATACTTACCCTGAACGCTGACCTTTGACTTGGCAACGTCAGTGCCAATATCACAGGTGTATAAACCTGCATCTGTCTTTTCAAGGTCATGGATAAGGAGGCACAGGGTCTTCCCAGACTGTATCTGCTCATACTTGTTACTAGAAGTGAGTTTCACACCATCCTTTTTCCAAACAGGTTTGACCTTCTCTTTGGAGACTTCGCATTCCAGTTTAATCATGCCTCGCTCCTCACCAAAAACATCATCCAAGGACTTCATGAAGACAGCAGGCTTCTCTGAAGATTAATGGGCAAAACAGAGAACAACCAGGATATTTAAGTGGAGACATTTTTGGTTGCTACCAAATATTTAAAGAGAGCTTAAGTTAACCCTTGGCAACGCTGCTGATACTAATGCAGAACCTAAAGCAGTCTCACACCTCATGATTGGAATGAGTTTTAGGGAAATCAGAATTTATTAATGGGAGGATGCAGGGAAGGAGAGAGCAGCCTACATTGCCGTGGACGGGTAGTGGCATTCAGTGCTGTAATCATGGTCTCTCTTTTGACTGTGCACCTATGAGATTGCAAGGTCTCCTTTTTTCTCTGCGTTGGAGCATCTGTCAGGTACAGGAGATCCCATCACAGAGAATGGGGCTTGGAGCAGATGTGTAGGGCCCTAATGAAAGCCAGAGGGACAGCTATGGAATAGCTACTTAATAAGACAGACTAAGTTTAAGGAAGACCTTGTCTGCATCGTGGAGGAGCAGAAAATATTCTCTGGGAACATCCTTTCTCATTGCAGCAGTCTACAAGTGGAAAGGGGTCAGGTGGTTAGAGGAAAAATGTGTGAAGAGAAGTAATTGGGATGTAGGTCTTCTAAAGCCAGAGAGCTGGCACTGCCGTTTCATGAAGCAGGATTCATGCAGTAGGGGCAGCAATAAAAGGATGTGCTGCATATTCTCCTCGCTCTTCTGAACAATTTTGCCCTTGCCTCTTTGTTTTATTGATTCTCTTTATCTAGTTGAAAATATATTTGACACTGAATATATTTATACAGGAGAAATTTCTGACCAGATATAAAAGAAAGAAGGAAGAGGACATCCTGCAGACTCTCTGAGTTGATAGATTAAAGGAGTCAAAATATTCAGACTCTGGGAAGAACAAATTAGTCATGAGCAGGAGGCAAAATGCAAAGGAAATCAGAGAGATGATTCTCTAAGAGGATACGGAAGATGTCAGACTGAGTTTCAGAGAGAATGGCTCAGAACAATTCCCACTCATGTTTCCAGATACATGAAGGAGTTAATTTAGGATAACAAATCACTGTGACTTACCTGAGCATGCATGTATGGGTGTGCTGCTAAAGAAAATGTGATTTTGAAATTTTGGTGAGAGTTTCACCTCATGTTTCTAACATGCCTAAAATAATTCATGCAACTTACTGTGGCTTAGCTGATGCACAGGAACATGTTAAACCACAGCAACTAAGATGTTTGACCAAATTTTAAGGCATATTAAGGACAGCAGCAAACTGCCTTCTCTTTGCTGAATCAGTCCAACTCCAGAACTGATCTACTGAAAGGTGTGCCCTACCCTTGGAGGTACACTGAAGCTCAGCTTCTTGTAGACAAAAATCTTTATCAACAACAGTTTATAGGCTATATACTACTGAAGATACCTACAAGAAAAGGAAATGGCTCTTGGGACTGTCTTGATGACAAGTAACAGGATGTTAAATAGCTATGGAAACTTTTGGCAGGAGACCAATACAGTCTTCCTTAGAAAAATCATCAGCTACAGTTAGAAACTTACACTGGAAGAAGAAAGCCCTTGCACACTTATTGCTCGGCCCCAGAGAGGCGAAGCTTACGAGCAGGAATGCTGCATCGATGTGGTAAATAAGAGCTCCTTTGCGTCTCTTATTTACATTCAGGAGGTGCGTGATCATGACCCACCTATCACCTTCAGACGCACGCTCTCTGACACCTTGTCTGACTTCATGGTCACTGTGCCAGCGTCCTCAGGCTTGACGTGCTTCATCGTCAGCGTGTAGCAATTGCCAACGTTCCTGATGTCATTGAAATTGTTGGTGTAAAGGAGGGTGCCGTTGAGGAACCATTCCACATCCTCGTCGTCATGAGACAGCTCGCAGGAGAAGACGGCGGAACTCTCTTCTTCAATTTCCACGTCCTGCAGGTGTTTGAGTACTTCTACGTTGCGGGCTGTAGGAAACCAAGGTGCACCATCACCACTGTTATCGTAAATCAGGACTGCTACCACAAATAGATTTCATAGTGGTTAGAGTTTATTTGATGATTTAGTCTGGTCTCCTGTACACCATGGGTTATTACATTTCATTTACTTGGTTCTGCATTTGGTCCAACAAAACCCCATCCATTAAAAACACTATATTGTCCGGAACCCTCAATTCTCTTTTCACATGTAAAAATGTTTTGGGTTTTTTTTTTTTTCTTTTTATTTTAAAAGTAAGTCTTTCTAAAATGGTAATAACATCAAAGTGATGCCTAAATACCCCACAGAGCTCCAATTCCTGTGTGCTCATCACTGCACATACACATACACTTTATAACTAAATTGTCCCTGACTCACTGCCAGGGAAGCACAGAGGATGAGGTAGAATATTATTATGAATAAGAAACATATAGCAGATATAAAAGCTGGCACAGTGGTCAGGAAATGGAAACCACAACCAAGATCACCAGAATCAGAGGCCTGTAGCAGTTTAACACAAAGGATATTTTTAGCTAGAAGTACCAGAGTTCTAGTTCCTTGGTTGAAATGGAAAATAATGTGGCTTGAGAAAGACACGTGAATTTCTGCCTTACCCAGATGGTGCCCGTCCACATGCATTACCTACTTCATGGCAAGTGCTGGAATTCCGTATAATGGAATATCAGTACAGTGCATAATAAGACCGTTCACTTAAGATACTGCATTTATATAAAATTAGCAGAAGATAACTGTGGGAATCTACCTCTACTCAAGAAGAGAAACCCAGAGTGAAATACTGAACCATAAAGACATGCGACAGGCAAGCCCTCCCGCTGAAAATCGTTCCTACCTTCAACGGTCAACGTGGCTTCGGTCTCCGCGTTTCCAGCCCTGCACTTGTACACACCAGCGTCTTCGGGCTTCACCTTCAATATCTTCAGCTCTGCCGAATGCTGCTCCCGCTTGATTTTGTACTTCTCGGAGGGCTCAATGGGTGTGTGGTCCTTGAACCACTTCACAACCTTTGGAGAAGGCCTGAAGTCGCAGGACAGGATGACTGAATGGCGCTCCAGAGCTGTCTTGTCCTCCATCTTCCTGGTGATCTGTATGTGGTAATCTGCAAAGCAGGGTTGGGAAGGAAGAAAGGATCAATCTGAAGAAGAGGAAAGATTCTAATTTGTATTATTTCATGCCAATTAATTTCATGTCTGTCATTCACAACTGTTTTGTGAATTGCTCGGATGATGCTACAGGTTTCTGTTACAGAGCTGACTTGCTTTGAAGCTAAACCAACATGATCTACAGGGAATGCTGGTTTCTATAAGATAAAACTTTACATTAACTACCAAATGCATGGTCCTGTTCTGGTTCAGTGCTTACTGAACTGCTCTCTAATTAAAGTTTTCAATGCAAGTAAGAGCAAATTAAAGACAAAACAAGGACTTCAGGATGTGATTGGAGATATTTACTATGGTGACAGCAGAAGATAAAAAGCCTTGAAGCTTTGTCCCAGATCAAGTCAATGACAAAATGGATTAAGTAAATGAGCTATCAAACTTGTCTAGTTCAGAAATGGGACAAAATAAACTCTCCTGGCAAATTTCATCTGTTTTGTCCTCTTTGGTAAAGTCAAGAAGAAAACAAACAAAACAAAACAAACCCACCAGTCTTAGCTCGATAGGTTTGAATACTGGGCTTGAATACCAGGCACACCAAACTCGTTTAGTCAGATCCCTTCCTAAGACATTGCTGTCATTTCATGCATTCATTGTTGTGCCCAACAACTTGTAATTGGGAACTAAGCGGATCTTCCAGGTACACATACATTTCCAAGACCCCAGGCAGTGGAGCCTGCACATTAGACAGTGTGTTTGAAAAATTACTTTCCGGGTACTGTGAGAGGGATGATCTCTCATGATCTAATTCAAACCAGGACATATCACATTACCTCTGACAAGCAAGTTTGCTGTGGATTTTGATTTGCCAATGGAGAACTGAACGGTGCCTGTCATATCAGCACTGGTTTTCAGTATTATCAGCCTGTGGATGGTGTCTTCTTGCTGCATTATAATGTTTCTGCCAGCCTGTAAGACTTCTCCACGTAGAGACCATTTGGGGGGTTTCACGGATGGAATGGATATCTCGCATTCAAACTTGGCTTCTTCAGGCTCAGTCACATCCTCATCACACAACTCCTTTACAATACTAATGGATTGCTCTGGATGAAGGATGGAATGGGAAAGCAGGGATTTAGGAGTCATGAAAGAACTCTTCTGTTAGCATCCTGCACACTCATGCCGTCTTTACTGCACTTGAATACTGCACTTATTGGCTCAAAAGGCTTTAAAACATTCTTTTTGCATAAAAATAAACATATATTGCTAGTCACAGGTCAGACAGTGAGACTGTGACACTGCCTCAAGAGAATCCAAATCTCCTGATTCCCAGTCCTATTTCTAAAGCCACCTTCCAACTCTGATATCAAGCACTTGGCACTATATAAAATGGAAAAGAAGGTTCATTGAAATGCAGGGACTGATAATAGGAAAGACTTTGGCTAGCTACAGCAACTTTTCTCTGAATAACAAACTTTCTCTAATACATCTGTTAAACTACTCTGGAACAGGAATTTCCTTAAGAGAATGTACCATGTATTCATTTTCTAGGATGTTCCTGCCCTTATAATCCTAAAAGGAAGCAATATCAGTGGACTTCAGAAGAAATCAACACTGAATTAAAATAGTTTTAAAGTGGTATTTGTGTTTTCAAAGTAAATGACAAGGGTTTTTTCAAAGCCAATCCTCCTTCCAATCCATTCTAGAAGGGAAAAATTGGTTTACTACCTTCAACAAAGAAATTAGCACTGCTTTTGTCATCAAAGGCGTCACAAGTGTACGTGTCTTCATCTTCATAATCTGCATCATTGATGATGAGTTTCCGATAGACACCATCGCTCACAATTTCGTATTTGTCACTGGGGTGAATTTCAACGTCCTTTTTGTACCACCTCACTTTGGCATTGGCACGAGACACCTGGCACTCCAGGAAACCCCGATGTTTTTCAAGAGCAATCTTATCTCGTAAAGGTTTCACAATTTTTACAGGCAGCTCTAAAAGAAGTAAAAAAAGATGGAATAATCAGTACAGTTTCCACAAAAGGTACCAAGTAAAAACTTACTAGCAATTTCTTTTACGGTCAGTTATGTGGACAATGACAGGAATCCCCGCTATGCTAAGCACTCAACTAACACACAGTAAGTGAAGAGCTAATGAAAGGAAAACTTTTTATGCCTATTTTACTACTTGGACAGCTGAACTTCCAGGGACTGATCTCAGATTTCCTGAGCTCCTCATCAGTATGTTAATTCAAATGTCTTCCTTCTCCCCATCTCTATCACACTGTTTAAGTTAAACACAAAAAAATGCTGTATTCTTTTTTTAAACATACATCAGAAAGAAAATGCAGGAGAAAGTCAAACTACAGCTTTTTGCCCCTTAAAGTTCAAACATGACTTTTAATGTCTTAGGGTACAAAATCAACCTTCTAAGAAAATAAACTGTATTATTTAACAAAAGTAAATTCCCAGCAGTGAAGCTGATATTTCACATGCAGTAAGTCGGCAGGAGGTTTTTTCCCCTGAAAGTTCTAGGTGGTGTTTAACTTTCTTCATGTTAGAAGTGGGGGAAGTTGGTTGGTTTGTAGCATGAGAGAGCTTAAGCAGTATTGGCTTGAAAAGCATAATTACCTTTTACAGTAAGCTGGGCACAAGATTCTGCTTTTTCTGCAACAAATTTGATCTCTGCTGCGTCTTCGACTTGGACGCACATGTAAGTCAGTGAATAGGTCCTTCCTGAGAACAGACACACAACCAGACATAACTTCCCCTGAGCAAACAGCTTCACTCTCCAAGACACGCTGCCAGGCTGAGCATCGCCCATCTGGTTTTGGTGCTTCACCACCTGCTATCACAGCAGCAAGACCAACCATTCCCCTATGTCTATGTCCCTGTATCAAAGGATAACCTAACCTCAGCTCCTCCAAGGACTGACTGTATGTGGTCCCCACCATCTAGAAACTAATTGAAACCGAAGGATTCCACCCAATGTCAGATGATACAAATTCCTACCTACTGGTGGCAGCATGGGATGGTGGGATGACACCAACTTTGCCTTGTTAAAGTTCTCACCGTGGCACTGTCCCAGCCTAGTTGCATCCCCAAAACAAATGGGGAACTCTCTGCTGAACCTTCTTAACTTGATTTTGGAGGTCAAACTCTTCTGCCTAGTCTCCCATACCAGCACATACTCCAACCCACCCCCATTCAAGAATGAGATCCCACTTTTTCATCCTACCGTCTTGACGCATTCTAATATTGTCGGCAGCCTTCATCTTGTTGTCATTTTTGTACCATTGGGTTTGGACCTCATCGTGTGAAATCTCACAGACGAAAGATGCACTCTCATATTCATTCACTTCCACATCTTCCAGTGGTTTAACAATCTTGATATCTCGGGCTGTGAAATTATAGAGACAAATATTTATTTGGGGTTTCTCCATAACTGAGTGTTGTGTGTTTACCTCCTGCATAATTACATGGAAAAAAAATGGGACTTGTTTTATTCTAGACCAGCCTCCCTTCCTGGGTAGTTTCTCTCTTCAACACAGTAAATCTATTTTATGCTTGAACCTACAGGTAAAATTACCAGCTACAGTGGAGCTCACTGCAAGAGGATTTTATGGTTGCTGGAACTTTACACAGGTTTTAAAAGAAGTCAAACATATCAATGAAAGAAAATCTGCCAAGGAAAACTAAGCTCAAGGATACAATCTTTTGTGTCACTATAAACCTGTCTCATTCACATGCTTCTCTGCATGCTCTCCTCCTACTCCCCTGCTTGTGCGTCCGGACTCTGTCAGCCACAGGGACCTCAGCCACATGTTTTACCTAGGAGATACCTTTTCTTCAGAGTCCCCTGAACTCAGTATAAACCTCTTTAACTCTGCAACTTTGCACTAATTTATGTCAGAACTGGCCCGTATTTCTGTGCTCCTGCAGTCCTTTCTTTTTGAAAAGGAAAGCCTTGATACACCTTTGGTTAGCTTCAGGACCAGAGTTCAAATGCAAATCAGCCAGCATTCAAATAGCAACCCATCCCAGTCACAAAGTCAGGGAGAAAATGGGGAGTTCAACACAGCAATGGAACGGGACAGATGTTTATGAAGATATTGCTGAACCCAAGTGGCCACATGAGGACAGCATCTAGTAAGCAATAAGAAAAAGCTGATCTGTCTTTTCAGATGTCCTTCTGGAAAATAACATCTGCCAGGGCACAGCAGACCTGTCCGTTCAGTAACTGGCCTTTAGCACTAGCTTATGTCTGGTGCTTCGGAGCCTGGTGACAAAATACAACCGGTGCTTGACCAGTTGCACAGCGCAACACACGGAGGGAAAAACTGTCTTGAGCATAAAGGAGAGGTGCAGTCAGAAATCATGACCCTTTCCTTAGTATTTACAACATAGGGCACTTCTTGAGATCATACCCAAGGCTCGTCCAGTCCCTATTCAGGCAAAGTACCCCTGTGATAATGGCAGAAGCTAAACCAAACCATGTCAGCACCAGCCATTGAATCCCTGCTTTGTGCCAGGTGGTCTGGTATTTGCTAACTTGCCAATCTAGAAACACCATTCAAATTCCAAAGACCAGAAATCACTTATGGTAAATGGAAAACTAAGTTAGCACCTCCTCCAAAAATACTCCTCTAAGGATAGAGCAAGCACAGGACAGCTCTGCCAGCACTTTCTTGCTAGGAAGAGAAAGTTATCCAAAATGAGTAATTGCGAAATACTCAAACTGTCCGTGAAGCACTTCTTGCTGTGTAGTCAAAATACTACAGTAGATGTGATTTGCTATTTCAGTCAAACATACCATGAACCTTTAGGGTAGCTGATGTCTTGTCTTCAGCTGCTTCACATGTATAGGTTCCCTGGTCTTCATATTCACACTTGTGAATAATGAGGCTTCTCTTATTTCCCTGGGAAATAATCCCCACTTTTTTACTTTGCTGGAGCTCCTTCCCATCCTAGAAGGGAAAAGGCCAAACCAGATCACCATCAATTCTTCTACATCTGCAGTGAGCAAAACAAACTTTCAGATCTATGCTCAATTCACCTGTCTCATTGGACTTAATGGAACTGTGCTTACTGGAACATATGCTGAAACTTAAGCACAGTGCAAAGTCTTCAAGAAGTAGGAATGGCTGAAGAACATGCATAATTTCTGGTTGATCTTGGACACCTATTTGAAGGCTTAAGGCACTATACAGGGTTGGCAATAAGCTTCTTCAGACATTACCTTGAAGAAATGCCATTATCTCCATTTAAGGGAAGTATCAGCTGAGCCCCGAGGAAGGTACGTGAAATGCCTGAGCTGATCCCCAAAATGGGGTGCAAAGGGAATTGAGGCTTCACCTTAAGTCAGAGTTCCCAATGAGGCTATAAATCCTGGGTGAGACGTGCTAGGCATGAAATAAAGCACAAGGCTGCATTGCTATCAACAGCAGCGCTCACGTTCTGTGCAAGAACAGAAAAGTCAAACTTTCAGCCTGATAAACACACCCAGTAAATAAATAACAGAGACTGACGAACTGAGGAAGTAAATGAACATAAGGACAAGAGAGCAATGCTAAAAGCTGTATAGCAAAGGCTCAGACTCACGTCCCATGGAAGTGAAATTAAGGGCTCTCATTCCCTTCCAGAGAAGTCAGAAACTGAAATACCACTATCCGTTAAGTGCTGTACCTTGAACCACTTAACATCCACGTTGGGCCTGGACAGCTCACACTCGAATGCGACCTTGTCCTTCTGAGTTACACTGATGTCTACCAAAGGTTTGCTGATTTTCACAGGCAGTTCTGCAAAAAAAAGGAGAAAGTCCAGTTAGAGGGGAATTAGGTCTCCAGGACCATCTGACACAAGCAATAATGAACAGGCAGAGCCTAGCTTCCATGCTTAATAAATCTTGTGACAACAAAATTGTATTGTTTTGAGCACATTATCACGAGTTGTTCTGTAGACAATGATGTTACAATAATCCTGTTAACGTTAGAAGGAGACGTTACTGATGATGGTCCAGTGCTTAACATCCTTTGCAGTTACAAGGAAAGCTTGTTCCTCTCTCAAAAGCTCACGCTGTGGGTCGGGAGAAGACAAGCACGTCCCACACCAACCAGGGCCTGAGACTTTTGGGTCTGCGTACCTGTCACAGTGAGCCTCCCTGATGAATGAATGCCATCTGCTTTGAAGGAGATGAGTCCTGCATCTTCAAGAGTCACCGAAGAGAGAGTCAGCGAATGTTTCTTCCCCAGGACACCAATACTGACATTCGGTGAAGGCTTCAGCCGAACGCCATCCTTCTGCCAGATCCCTTCCACGTCCTCATGCGATACCTCCACCTCGAAGGTGACGGTCCCTTTCTCGGAGACTTGGAGAGGCTGAAGACCTTTCACCAGCTTGATCTGCCTCACTGAAAAACAACAAGGAGATGTTGGAGATCTCACACCGACAGCTGTGAAACAGCCTGAGGACTTCCAAAATAGATTATTTCCCTATTCCTCATGCAAGTACATGCCAATTAATTGGTATCTGCCAATTAAACAACCACCTTTGCGGGAAACAAAACCTGTTCATGACCATACTGCTAGCATGGCTGCTATTCTTAAAATGGATACTTTCAGCTGGGACAAACAATTCAGCCAAAAGTTACAAAAAAAGGGCAAACTGGCCCTTTTCCTAGCAAGATCCACCACACTCACTGTCTATGCCAGAAATGAGCTTTGAAGTTGCACACACACGTACATACAGAGGAGAAGGGGCATCCCTGTGTTGGGCGAGGTGGTCACCAACAACTCTTCAGAAAGAAACACTTTAGAAGAAGATAACACTGTTATTTACACTGGGACCTTGCTCTCTGTGCTCAAACATCTCCTGGTGGCATCTTCCCCTATGCCACACGGGGGACGATAGGGAACAAACTATTTCTCCAAAGGTCCCACAGAGGTGATACGAATAGACTATGAGTTTGTTTAGATTGGATCTTAGGAAAAATTTCTTGACTGAAAGGGTTGTCAGGCATTGGAACAGGCTGCCCAGAGAAGTGGTGGAGTCACCATCCCTGGAGGCGTTCAAAAACCACGTAGACGTGGCATTTCAGGACATGGTTTAGTGGCCATGGTGGTGTTGGGTAGACTGTTGGACTCAATGATCTTAGAGGTCTTTTCCAAACTTAATGATTTGATTTGATTTAAGAAACTGGGTAGAAGCTCAGTACTGCTCTCCCCAGGAGGGGAGTGGTGGTGGACTCCATGGAATGCCAGCTCCTTACGCCTTTCCTGTCCTCTCTGTTGCTGTTACACCTCACAGCAGGTTTACAGAGGAACATAGGCAACTTTTGCAGGATCCTCTCTAATTCCTCTCTCAAGGAAACCACACTGATTCCTCTCTCGCGGTCTTCTCCAAGGTCATAATGACTTAAACACAAATTTGCCCCAAGGACATGTCTTGAACCAGACAAACGAGGGGAGTGCAGACACCTCCAGGAGCTTGTTCTTTGCTTCCCAAACTAAGACACCAGCTCTCCTGACTTTGCTCACTAAAAGTTTCACCATTCCCTGATTTCTGAATTGATTTTGCAGCTGGTCCCTATCACCCCAGGGTGTCTTATTCTCTAAACTGAACACAGTGTACCTGCTACTGTCTAACCTTTCCTCTAGGTTAATAGATACTCCAGGCCCTCAAACAGTGAACGGACTGAGGATCAAACTGAAATTATTCCTAGGAGATAGTGAAAGGGACTTGCAAAAACATTAACTAAATAGCATAGCCATGTCTAACTCAGTCAGTGGCCTCCTGGATATATCCTCACCTGGTGTAGTACATAACACAGGGAAAAAGAAAAAAAAAAAAGAGGAAAAAAATAACTTTTTCAAAGGTCTTGTCATAAAGCAGCAACAGTTGGGGAATGGTAGAACTCTTACAGGATTTATTTTAATAGACAATATTTTGTGTCCAGAGATTTGAAATTTCATACTCATGTTCCCAGTATAATTTTTGCTATAATTAATTGACCTAATTATGCTTTTCCCTGCTGAAAGCTTAGAGGTGTATCAGGGGAAGAACCACTTTACCCATGACTTACTTATTTAAGTCTTCCACAAACATCTCCTCCTGGTCACAAATAAAAATATTCAGCCACATCTATTATTGGTTTGAGCAGCTCATTTTCTTCTAGGATCTGCTGGCATCTTAAGACCAGAACAGATGCTTATCTTTTGATGAAGCAACTTCTATACTGGAGTAAATCAACAGATTTTCACATAGCTATTCCTTATATACCTTGCTCTGAAAGCAATCTCAAACCAAACAGTATCAGTCCAGCTTTGTGTTTTTTAAATAAAGGTCCTCTAAAATCAGGCTGCTTAACCTGAAGTTGAGCACCAAACACTAGTGGCTCTATTCCCCAGACTGTGAGCATTTAAAGAACTTCTTGTGACCTCAATGTAAGCTCTAACACATTCCACTGAAAAGAGGACATTTGCTTAAATGCCAAAAAAAATGGAGCATAATTTTAGACTTCTACTTGGAGCCCGGCTTTTGCTGTAAAGCAGTGTGAGAGCTCGGTGTTGTCTCAGCTGGAGGACTCGGATGCAGAATACATTTAGTCTAGTGAGATTCTCATATATGTCCCCTTCCCTGCTGCATCTCATAACTAAGGCTTGGATGATCATATGCAAAAAGAATTCCCTGCTACAGTGAGCTGATTCCCCTTTTTGATCACGGTCCCTCTCAGATCACCTTGAGTTTCCATCACTGCAAGAAACTATCTCATTTCTTCAACAGAGGAGCTACTTTTTACAGTGACACTAAGCATAAGTGATGAGAATGCAGCTGGGTGACTGGGAAGCACAAAGCAAAATCCTCTTTCTCCATCAGAATAGGAAGTTTATAAACCAGAGACAGATACACAATTATGCTTGCATGACTCACCTTGCACAAAACACTGTTGACAGCTATCAGGACTACCCAATTACTTCCTATATAAATACTATTCCATCATTTTTGTTTTTACCACTTGGCTATAGCGACAGTCGGTGCCTAAAAACAGGTGTAATTGAGTCTACAGTCAATTGCTGAAACATTGCGCTGGAAGGAAAAAGAGTATCGTCCAGAGTCTGAAAAAAATGCCTTGGGGGGCAACGTGTGAAAGAGGATGAAGCAGCAAACTGCAGCAGTACTGCACTGCATTCTTCCCACACATTGTGGCTTTATCTTCTGTGGACCCAGTTCATCCAATTTAACTGAGATAGTAAACCTGAGTCTAGCTCTAAATCAGGATCATAGTCACGCATGGTTCCTTGAATACTCAGACACTCCAGAAGGTAATTCAGTGCATCTAAGACTTTAAACGCTCTCTGGAGGTATTGTCTTCTCTCTGTTAGCTGCAGAAGGAGCTGAAAGTAATGTGCTAGATTGAGGTTTCATGAATCCACAACTAATCATCCAGCTGCTAGTCACTGCTAATGTCTGTTTTTTTCTAGAGCTATTCAGTTCAGCAAAAAAAGATGAGCAACCACCAATAGAAATGATAACTGCCTCGTATCGGGATGCTAAAGCAGTGGGGTTTTGACAACTGTCAGCCAGGAAGATTTTGAAAATGAAGGTGTCTTCGCAGTACATGGAAGTGATTTGACAAGCCCTGCTCTGTGTGAGGCAGTCTGTCATCAATTTTTGCTATCTTTGATTCCATCAGAAGACCGCAAGATTATAAGGCTGGAAAGACCTAGAAAAATCATCTAGCCCTTCTCTTGCACTCTAGGACACACTCAGCTCTTTACATCATCCTAGACAGATCTTTCATTAACCTTTTCTTAAACCCATGATGGAGGCTCCAAGACCTCTCCAGACAACCTATTCAGTCATCCAACCATTAAAACCGGTTTTTATTGTATAACCTGGATCTTTCTTGTTGCGGCTGAAGTCCATTATTTCCTGTCATTATTTCCACATGGAGAACAGATTGTTCCCTTCCACTTTATAACAGCCTTTTAGGTACTCAAAGTCTGTTATCAAGTCCTTCCTTACCTATTATTCATGACTTACACAGCACCAATTGGTGGCAGGGGCTTTACAGGCAAAATTAGATAGTCCTTAAGTGCTTAAATCCTGTCTTCATCTATCCTGTAACAATCAGGACAAAAGGATGTAGGAAAAAGGACAGAAGTACAACAGGGCTACAGCTAAGACACCATTAGCTTACTTGAAAGGGCAGCACCCTCACATAAAAGGTTTGTTCTTGTAGGTTTTTTAACCCTAACTGAATATAAAGAGACATTCTGAAAGACATGGTGTGTGGAAAAGAATTAGGGCAATGGATGGGCTGAAAAGGGAATGGTTTGCTAAAAGCCACACAAAGGAAAAAAACCAGAGTGTACCAGAGAGTGAGAAATCTCAGAGGAAAGAGAAGAACCAGCTAAGCTTAACAGTCAACAGCATGACTGAAAGCTGGTAGGATAAGATGAAGGCAACAGGCACCAGCCAGCCATTCTCTGATTACTACCCTTGATTTCACCTCCTCCTAGTCATTTGACTGGTGGCCAAGCCCATGTGTCCCTGTGTCCCCATGGCAGGTGGAGGAGTCAGTGGCCATTATGATAATGGAAGAAACCAGAATCCACCTCCAAACCCTGTCCAGGGTATTTATAGAACTGGAGATCATTCAACTCACTTTCCACATTGATCTTGGCTTGGGTCTTGTCATCAGGACTCTCACAGCAGTAGAAGCCCCTGTCTGCAAAGGTGATGTCTTTAACCACCAAGGTATGCTTTGTTCCCTCAGCTTTGAGCTCTATTTTTTCACTGGGCTTCAATATGATGCTGTTCCTCATCCACTTCACCTCTGCAGGCTTGGTCAGCTCTACCTCCAAGGTCACTGTGTCCTTCTCTTCAACTGTTCTGGGCTCCAGTTTCTTCTTGAATGAGATTGAGGCCTCTGCCAAAGGAAAAGAAATATTAGTAGGAATGTAGAGGATCCAGAAAAAAGGTTTTCAGAGAAAATTAAAATGGTGGCTCATGTATCTCCAGTCTCAATGCATTCTGGGCATCCCTATTTAATTTCCCTGCTGCTAACATAATCAGTCAGATGGAAGGCCACATACATAAAACAACATAGGTCATAACATCAGTGGCAGCCCGTCAAAGGGGCATTATCGCCTCTTACCTCGGACTCTGAGGTTGGCTGTGCTTTTGACACCCTCAGCATTGGCGGAGATTTCAGCTGCATCTTCCAGGGTCAGATCAGTGATGGTGAGGCTGTGGTTGGTGTCCTTCTGCGAGATCACGTACTTCTTGCTGGCTTCAATCTTGACACCATTCCTGAGCCAAGTGACCACGGCATCACTGGGAGAGACGGTGCACTTGAACACAGCCTCTTTTCCTTCCTCAGAGACCACGCTGTTGAGAGTCGTAATGAATTTCACCACTCTGGGAGCTGACGGATAGGGATAAAACATTTAGGAGCATGTCTTTGAGACATGGCATAAGTACCTTCAAAGAGCCAAAAGCTTCGATGATTTTACTGTAAGTAATAAAAACTGATGCTTCTGATAAGTGATCACAATAATGGGTCATCACTTTTCCCATGTCTGAGTAAGTTTTGTGTATAAAGATGACAGAAAAGAGTGGCAAAGAGGGGGGAAAAATCCCATCTTAGATTTGGGGCAGTTAATTCCAGCCTCAAATACAAAATGAAGGTCAATTTGCCCACATATTAAGAGACCTGAGCTCAACAGGTCACAAAATCTTTATGTTCTTCACGAATAGAGGTTTCACTGAGGCTGAGAGAAGTGGAGTGTTGTATTTTGCTGTCAACACGGGAGACAGCACAAACACATCAACAAACTCAACTTTGCAGAGCTGTAACAGCTGAGGACAAAACCAAGGATCCCTCTACACTGTCACCATTAGAGACCTACCTTTGGGGGTGATGGTAATGCTGCTCTTGTCATCTCTGGACTCGCAGGAGTACTCTCCCTCATCCTCAGCCCGGATCCCTGTTATTGTCAGGGTTCGTTTGATGCCCTCCTCATGAATCTGGAAACGTCTGCTGGGCTTGATCTCAACGCCATTCCTGCGCCACACCACCTTCCCTTTGGCGTGGCTCACATCACAGGTCAAAGAGACGCTGCCTCCAATCTCGGCATTAACAGCTTCAAGTTTTTTGGCAAACTTCACTGGGATTTCTGAGATCCAGAAGAAGGAAAAATTATGAGAACGGAAAAGATAAGAAACCGGTTCTAAGAAACTGGTTCTGGCCAACTTTAAAAGAACCAAACAAAAAACCTAACCCCAGAACATATTTAGGGATCAGGGTAGACAAAAACAAACCAGAAAGGTGGAAATTTAGGGAGATTCCTTTGACATGGTATTTTAATAGCACTATCATTCTGTAAAGCAAGAACAGTATTAAAACATGGTTGGGTGTTGCCTTCCTTTCTTTCTAATCTTTTACCTGACGATACCATGTGGTGTTTTTTCATCGGAGCCTGATTTGCCTGACTAAGTGTAAGAATCTGTACGGATGCATAAGCCCCAGCCACCTTTGTCTCTTCTGTCACTGGAGACACAACCAAGGGAGTCAGAGAAATCCAGGGTGTGATTTCTCTCATCCTAAAGGAGACATTTCAAGAGATGGGATGTATCATGACCTGTTAGCAGCCACTCCTCTGCAATGACTCCAAAGGGAGCTGAGGGAGTGCAACGCAGCTGCAGACATCTCCGCTGTAAGCGTTTAAAGAAAAAGGAGCAGGCCTTTGCAGTGGGACATCACCCGTCTCATGTCCATCTGTGGACCAGCTGTATTTCTTCCTTCTTGTCAATTTATAGCCTTAGCCTTGACTAAGGAACAGCATCCCAGGTGCACCATCCCATGAACAGAGTAGGACACAATTCAGGTCCCGTCTCCCCGTGTGACTAAGTCACAAATCTCCTCCTCACACAACATCCCTCCACATCCTCATCAGCTTTGTCAGGCTGGTGAGCAGAGTGGAGAAGAGCTAAGGCTCCGTCATGCCCCAGCTACTGGGGTTGGGAGGAGACACAAACAGCGCAATGAGAGTAGGGAGCAGACACCAAGAGAAGCACCCGTCGTAGGCTTCCTTGTTCCCCCGAGTGGCCAGCAAAGGACAAAAATTGGGTATTTGGAAGGAGGAGAACTTTGCTGGCCCATGGTGGGGCAGCTGCAACAGCAATCCAAGCCTTGAGGTTGGAACAGTTTTAGAGAAAGTTTGGACTTCACCTCCGTCCCACCATGAGAGAAGTATAGCTGTTGGGTTGGGATGTGACCTGTGTGCTGCTCTCTGCTCACCTTTCACCTGTACTTTGAATTCCTGCTTGTCGTTCTTTGTCTGGCACGTGTACACAGCAGTGTCTGTGCTCTCAGCCAGGTTCACTGTCAGCGTCCTGGATGCCTCCTCACTCTTGATCTCGTATTTCTTGCTCGCCTTGATTTCTGTTCCATCCTTGAACCACTTTACTACAGCAGTTTCAGGTGTTACTGAAGTAGTCAGTGTGAAGCTTTCATGTTCTTGAACAATGAGAGGCTCTTTCTGGACAACTTTCTTTTCAAATTTAGCCTCTGGTTCTAGGAAAGACATTAAAATAGGAAAACTAATAACTTAATGCTCAAATCCTTAACACAGCAGTTTTCTATTACTCTCTCTTCATGACTCACAACACCAGCTCATCCATAATCTGTGACAATCCAGGGAATATGGCTGAATATTTGTGGCTGGTATAAACTTTTGCTGAGCAGGAAGAAAGAAAATGATCTGTCAGGCAACCCAGAGCTTCTGCTTAGAAGAGAAGCAAAGGAAAGGAAATGCAAATACACATTTTATCCGCTGCCCACAAAAAGCTTGTTTCTTAGAAGTAAAATGACTTATATAATTCTTTCATCTCTCATTTTTAGGATTTTAGATCAAATTAAGAAGAAATATTAATGTGCTAAACCTGAATTTATGGCTTGTTTTCTGTTTGCTCTACTACCCTTCTCTTGGCCTCTTCTCTATCTTGCACAACACTTTGTTGCAGCAGACCAGCTTTTCTTAGTCACCTTTCTCCATAGCTCTCTTGCTGCTCTTCAAAACTTCCCACTTTCAACTCTCCACCATTGTAACAGATTGGGAGATGAGGTGCGCAAAGGGGATAAGCAAAAAACTATACAGCGTTTTCATAGCCAAAAAAAGTCTTCAGCCAGATTTCCCACCTCTACGCTGCTAAATTAAAAAGGCCAAAATAATGTGTGATGTGGTTCATTGATGTTGCTCCAGGGGAAACGATGGCTGCACCATGGCTGCTGGACAGGGAATATCCAGTTTTCCTCTAAGCCACACAGATTGCTGCTTAGCACCTCAAAATGAGTACTCACCAGTTGGTTCCAACTTGAAAGTCAGCTTCTGGCCTGCAGCCTCACAGATATATTCTCCAGCATCTTTCTTCTCCAGCTGCTCTATAACCAGGCGCCGGGTTTTGCCCGCAGTTTCTATTTTGAATTTTCTAGAGGAAATAAGCAGTCTTCCATCCTTATACCATTTCACTTCAGTTGTATCCTCTGCTACCTCACAGCTGAGGGTGGCACTTTCTGTCAGGACAGCATTCACCTCCTTCTGGACCTTTTCCTGGTTTATAAATGCAGGTTTTGGCTCTGAGTGCAGAAAAGGAAGAAAATATTGATTGAGAGATTAAAGTGAGATCAATCTTACAGATTTCTGTGCACAGGTTTGGAAAATATTTAGGTTGTCATTTGCCAAAACTGGTTGCCTTCACTGGGTGATATCTACCCTTCCATGTGACCAAATCACCATGTGGAAAAAAGGAAAGTAAGACCCTAGGAATGGAAAGGACCAAAAGGGTCCTTGACATCTATCCTATGGTTGCAACCCACTGTGCAAAAAGTATTAAATTCAAAAGTTCCCAAAAAGCATCTGCCCTGCATATCACCAAAAGCTTCAAAATTCCTTTTACTTAAGATCTAGGACACAAATATAGCAGCATAGAACTTTTTCAAGAGGTTCAATGCTCAAGAATCACCCATTGGGATGCGAGGAATGGGAGAGATCTGAATATTATGTTGATTATTATTTCTATTATATTTATATCTGCAACGATGATTATATAGACAGACTGAGATAGGCCTTTGTGCCACACTAAAGCCAAACATTCCCATTTCTACAAACCCAGGCAACAAGGTACAGAAAATCAGGTGAGATCTACAGGCTGCAACAAAGCCCAGACTACTGCATCTGAGTCATAGCGTAATAGTTATTCCAGTTATTACTTTATTATCCTCTCCTGTAATTCAGACAAGGTATGTCTTACCTGTGACATCGATCTTGAAGGTCAGTTTCTGGCCAGCAGCCTCGCAGGTGTACTCCCCAGCATCTTTCTTCTCCACCTGACCCACCACCAGACGACGCGATTTGCCCTCCGACTCCACCTTGAACTTCTTGCTCGAGGTGATCAGTTTCCCCTCCTTGTACCATTTCACATCGGTCTTCTCCTGGGCCACCTCGCAGCTCAGTGTGGCGTTTTGTGTCAGTATAGCCTTCACCTCCTTTTGTACCTTGTCTTTGTTTGTAAACACAACTTCTGGCTCTGAAAAGAGAGAAATTCAGAGCGTCTCCAAGATACGAAGTTGCCCAATCCCCTTATCGTGGCCTACAGTAACACTGGAAACGAAGCCTCTGATTTGACACTACACATCTAAAGCTATTGGTAGAACATTCAAACTCTTTTGTGGTAAGTTTTTTTTGTGTTTTGTTTTGGAGAGTGCAGACATTGGGCAGACATCCCACTGCTCTCCTCTGTGACCCTGCTCTGAAATGCACTGAGAATCAGCTGTGTTGCAGAGTTGTTCTGGTTGCTTCATCATGTGGGGATGGAGAGGTGCAATCAGTACTTTTCCTTTTCATGGCCCTGTTCCTACAGAGATGGGTAGCTCAAAGATTTTCAAGGATGGAGCCCACTGACTTAGAGATTTTATAATGTTTTACATAGAAAGTATATAATAATAATATTTTTTTTTCTAAATATTCTAGAAATAGGAAGCCTGGGACAAAGCATCTTCTCTCACCTGTGACATCAATCTTGAAGGTCAGTTTCTGGCCAGCAGCCTCGCAGGTGTACTCCCCAGCATCTTTCTTCTCCACCTGACCCACCACCAGACGACGCGATTTGCCCTCCGACTCCACCTTGAACTTCTTGCTCGAGGTGATCAGTTTCCCCTCCTTGTACCATTTCACGTCGGTCTTCTCCTGGGCCACCTCGCAGCTCAGCGTGGCGTTCTCCTTCAGCACTGCCTTCACCTCCTTTTGTACCTTGTCTTTGTGTTCAAATACATCATCTGCAAGATTGGAAAAAAGGAAAAATGTAGAAAAAAGCCCATGAAAATGAAAGCTTTGCCTCTGAGATTGTATGGTATTGGGTTTTCAATGGGAGATCACCTAGTAGGTTACAGTTTAAATAAAGCAGCTGTAAAATGAAAAAGGCTAACAGAGTCAGAGTTAAGCAAATGTTTAAGGAAGCGCTGGCAGGAACAGCTTGCTTCCAGACAGCACAGTTTCTAGCTGCTGCTCATTTGGGCAGCAAGAAGGACTGCCATGCCTGATATTTAGGCTTTCACCAGCTTTCCTGCACACACTTTGTAGGGTCACTCTCTGCAGGCAAGCAGCATGGGCTTTCTTGGGGAAGCAGGGCATGTTTTGTTCACTTGCAGAGAAGACTGGGCTGTATATTCACAGTAAACAGGACATGCTCCAGACAGGATCCTTCATTTGCCAATGCTGTCCCTGTATTTGGGTCCAGGTAATCAGGAAAAAACCAATATGGCTTATGAAATAGATGCGTAACAACCGGAGTACCTTTACAAAGATTTACATGGAGTTGTGCCCTTATGGAACAGCATCACTTCCCAAATATATTCTACAGAACATGTGCTACTAATAGTACAAAATCACAGTCATAAAATAATTTAGGTTAGGAGTGATTTCTGGAGGTCATCCAGTCCCACTTCCCCACTCAGAGCAGATAAAATTACATCAAGTTACTCAGAGCCATGTCCCATTGACTTCTGAATATCTCAAGCGATGGAGATCCTACAACCTCAAGGCTCCTCTTCCAGAGCTTGACCCCCCTCATTGTGCAAGCAAGTTTTTCCTAACATCTTTTCAGAATCTCCCATGTTCCAACTTGTATACTTTGCCTCTTCTCCTTTCACCATGCATCTTTGAGAAGAATGTGGAGCTGTGAACTCTATATCCTTCCATTAGACAGTTGCAGGCTGCAATGAAAGCTCCACCTGCCTTCTCTTCTCTAGGCTGAACAAATCCAGTTCTCCCAGTCTCTCCTCGTATGATGTGCTCCAGCCTCCTAATCATCTTGGTTGCCTCCGCTGGAGCTGTGCCAGTAGCATCTTGGACTTCCAGATGCAATAGCTGTCAGATTCTCCAGGCAGGCGGACACTGAATTAAGAACACTAATTTGATTTTAGGCTTGGTTTTGGTAAATTCCAAGGACATCATTTTAGAAGCTGGGCATGGGAAATAATGTTGGATGTAGGGATCTTAAGATGATCTAGTCTAGAGTAAATAGAGAAATTAGCAAAAGTATATCTGTAACACACTTGAACTAGCAAACTTGTATGAATTATGAGAACTGACTCATAAAGAGTAGATGAACAATTTGTTCAGGCTAAATGTGGGACCTGGTATTTTCACACTAAAGTGTTCAGAATCTATACCTGACCCAGCAGAAGAACAGGAAGGAAAGGATTAGCAAGGCAAACTAAACAATATATAAATACCCTTTAAAATCCTTTAAAAGACAGAGCACAAATAAGGAATGGAAAAAAGGACAACTCTACTGGAAAGGTGTGTCTCTGGGGTCAGGCACTTTATTACTAAAGCGAGATTTGCCAAAAGTCAGGCTGGATCCAAGCTTATGAAGGAGGTTAAGATACCTAGCAAAGGATCCTCTACCACCAGAAATATAGGTAGACAAGGGAAGAAGTGGTGCCATAATGCAAAGAGTGTGGGTTTCATGTGTCAGAGCTCCTGATATCACACTTCTGAAGAAAACAAGCCAATGCTCCTAGAAAGGGTTCTCCTACAGGCTAATTTGATCATTTTGGCTCTCACCCTCACTCTAGGTAGAAGTTTTGCCCTTTAATATGAAGCAATGGGAGTTACAAAAGCAGGCTGAGTGCGGGACTCCTGAGCTCACACGTTATGTTCCATCCCAGGCAACTCTCTTCAGTGAGAACTTTCAGTTGGTTGAATTTCCCTCAGGGAAATGGTATTTCTTGCACAAAGTCTAGTTGGTACTCCTGCTTGGTTGTATCTTTAATCAACAGCAAGATAAAAAAAAGGTGAACTATGATTAAAGCACAGAGGGTCAGAAGGTCCATTTTCCAGTTCTAGTTCTGCAGCTTATTTCCTCAGCAGTCTTGAACGAGAACCCAAATGGGTCCCACCATTTCTGCCTTTAACGTGACCAGTAAATCTCTCAGTGGCAAGAGGGACCCTATTCTTCTCTGTTCTTCTTTCTTGTATTTACCCATTTGCAAAATCTGAGTAATGGCCTCTCTTTGGCAGCAATGGGCTTGGGCAACACTCATCTATATCTTGCAGACAAAATGCCTGCCCCTTTTCCATGGTACCCAAGAACCTCAAAGCCCGTGATATGAAAAACACTTCCTTGAGGTAGGGCACTCTTCTTACCCCTATTTACAGAGAGGATGTGAGATGCAGAGAAGGTCGGTCATAGTGAGGTCCCCCCCACATCAACCTGCAGAGGATGGTGCCATTTCCCAAAAAAGTGAATGCCCAGCGTCCAAGCCATAGGATTTTCTCCCATTAATATGACTATTTCTCAGAAGCCCTAAAAGCAGACCAGTTTTTGAGTTTTCATCCAAAAGTCTCATGCAACCCACCATTATTGCTGTCAACAGCTTTCCTCGCTCAGACAGACCTTTGGGCTAAGTTGCAAGCACAAACAACTGCTGAGAGCATTTCAGTGCCTTGTTGCATCCAGCAGAGGCTAAAGTTCTCCTGCTCCCAGGTGAGAAGATCCTTCCACAGGAAGCTAAGAAGAGCTCTTCCTTCAAAGAGTGTGATAAGATCTTTTGTTAACTTCTGCCTTTCACAGTTTCATTTATAATCTGCCACAATTTTTCCAACAGCTTCTGCCACCAAAGGCATTCGTTGTTTGAAATAACATAAAAATATCGGTCTTGCTCTGTGCTACTCCTACAACCTGCATAGAGCTATAGAAAAAAGTCACATAACTGAGCCAGAGAGTATTACCATAGTTTAAAGGAGAGTTGGCAAACACAACGGAGAATGAGCAGATTTGTCTCCAATTTCCTTGTAGGGTCACTCCCCAGCGATATATACCACAGAATGCAGACATGGCAGAGCAAGCAGAATGAAACCCAACAAGCTTGTACGTCAGCAAGACCCACGACTGGCAGTCACGTGAATCTCAATGTTGTAATATCATGCTTTTACTCAGGCCACACTGGGAGCAGGCTGGCCACAAACCACCTCCAGCATGGAAGATACATAACCACATTCATAGCTGGGTCCAAAATAAAAACCTCAGAGGTTTGACTGGTGCACCAGGCTGCATAGATGTACACACTTCTAAATAGACATGTTTCAATTAAGTGTTGGGTGAATCCATTTGAAGAAAGAAATGCACAAATCTTTCCACCAAATCCAACAGTATTGTCTGGCATCACTTCCTGGGATGTGCTTTTAATTGCATGCCTTTAAGGTTTTCCTCTGGTCCACAATCAGAAAAAAACCCACCTACATCAAATTTAGGTATTCTTTCCTCATAACACTTTCAAGCAAGACAGAAGCAAGGAAGATGTGGAAGGAAGTACTGGGTAATATTTTCCATAAAAATAACTAACAGCAAGGACAAAAATCTATACATTGATGATTCACCAGCATACACAAACTACTGGATAACAATCTGAACTCACACTCAAAACCCTATGTATTGCGCAATTCCTCATGAAGTCATACTGGCAAATCCTCTAGGCACAGCCATGTCTTGCACAGATGTGGCAGAAAGAAACTCTGTCCCAGCACACACAAAAACTACAGATTCTTACTCTGCTTAAGTTCTATGGCAGACCCATATAGACCAAGGATGGACATAAATCTACATCATTAGGAAACTTTCTTTAGAGCTACAGCAAAAAAATATGTAATCAGATAATCCCTCACCTGTGACATCGATCTTGAAGGTCAGTTTCTGGCCAGCAGCCTCGCAGGTGTACTCCCCAGCATCTTTCTTCTCCACCTGACCCACCACCAGACGACGCGATTTGCCCTCCGACTCCACCTTGAACTTCTTGCTCGAGGTGATCAGTTTCCCCTCCTTGTACCATTTCACGTCGGTCTTCTCCTGGGCCACCTCGCAGCTCAGCGTGGCGTTTTGTGTTACTGCAGCTTTCACCTCTTTCTGCACCTTCTCTTTGTTGACAAATGCATCTTCTTCCTCTGAAATAGGGAAATAGTAGGGAAAAAATACATAAGATATACACAGCTTGCAACTAGAAGATATTACACATATTTTGTTTAGGTGCTCTACATAATCATTTTTTGTAACATTGCTTTGCAGTTCTTTTTATCACACAGAACAATGCGCCCTCAAAACATAGTCCATGTAATTATCACATACCTCTCTGACTAGTCTTCACAAACAGTTCGACCTCCTCATTTTCAAATTTCTTATAATGAAGAGAAAGATAAATTTCCCCCCTTGTGTCATTATCATATTTCTACACACCACATTTGGAACTAGCCAAGTACAGCAGAATTATGAGCTGCCACCTTCACTATCACATTATTTACAGGAATTTACCAACATCTCGATATTTTAGAATAAGACTGGGTTGTTCAGAAGATATCTTGTAACTCAATCCCAAAGAAATGAGGAAGATAGATACAGTTCTTAATATGGAACAGTACTTGGCCTACATTATATATAAAACTGGCCTATAAAATTTGAAGTATACATTTTTTCTCCTCGGAAATCTTGATTTTTTCAGAAAACTGGCTGTAGGGAATCTTCTCTTAATACTTAACACAAGCAACAAGAACAAAGTGTTTAAAGTCACTTTCTTCCACAGTATCGCTTGGAACTTCCATCTCAACAAGTGGAGTTGGCATCAAAAGGATATCTTGCGTAATTAGTGGTTAGGTAGGTATAGGTATTGAAAAGATTCACTTGTCACCTTGCTAAGTAGGACTGACCAATAAATTCCATCTTTTACCAATCACTTTAATGATTATTTTAGCTGGTTCTCCTTTTCCCAACAACTGATGTGGTCACTGTTAACCTTTATATTAGTGTACATTTGAGATGTGGGAGAACAAATAGACCCCAAATAAATGGGCTGCCACATTTTTTCCCACTGATTTACCCTAAGAAATAACTGCACAAGAAGTGTAAAACATTTGTGGTATGCCTAGACGGCGAACATCACATAGCAACAACCACCCAGTGTTTAGTGTAGGCTGCCTTTGCCTATTTGCATCCCAGGTACATACTTGAGCGTTGGAGTCTGTGATTTCACTGCTACAGAAGCACAGGCTCCAAAGATAAATGCTGGACTAGGAAACGTATGGGGTTGCCTTTGCCATTCGGCTGCAGTGTAAGCATGGAAGAAGATAATTCATCCAGCCAGCTTCAGGCATCTGGGTTACCTGGCCAGGGTGACCTAGGAGGGTCTTGGCTCTCAGCTCTCCCTGGCCGTCATGAAGAATGCCTTCCACAACCTGTGCTACTGCCTTCCTCCCCCCAGTCACTCTCTGCAGCATCCTAGTGCCGTCTTTTGCTCCTCCTTGATGATTTTCTCCTCTGCATACCATCCCTGTCATGTCTGTACTCTGAGTGGCAGCAGCTGCCTGGGAGGGTACGGAGTAGGGGTAGGTTCAGGTCAAGTTCCTACACTGCTGACCACGGCACTATTTGTAATCCTGGGAGCCTCATCGCAGGCTTGCCATCAATATTGCACAGTCCACGGAAAGAGAGGAGTCCAGCTGGGAGCAAGCCGAAGCAGGAACCCGCTTTATATGCTCTAAATTTGAGCTCCTCTGTTTGCATTGGCTGTAGAAGGCGTGTAAGGAGGTGTCATTGTCATTAAGGTGTCGTTAACAAGGCATCATACATGGCCTATGCTGGGTGATGCAAAACTCCTCAAAGGCACACGTTAGCCCGCTGCAGATTAAACAGCATTTTGATATCTAAAAAAGCTCAAGCACACACCATGGTTGGCATTCAAAACAAGTTGCGAAAATATAAACATTTCAGCTTCCATCTCCAATTTAGACTATGGATATGCAGGGTACACTAAACAAATGAGTGAGAAACCAGACTGTAAATGGATGCTGTATTTAAAATGACAAGTTAGCAGAGCAGGAATATTCCAGATGGGTTACTTGCTTGTCCTCTGCATACATTCTTGCCCTTTAATATAGAATATTTTTATAGTGATAGGAAATGTGACCAAATCTTTTAATCAGCTTACAAAGTGATTTACAGTAACCAGTAATTTGCCTCAAACATATTTTAAAATTAAACAACTATTCAGATGACATTTCCAACCTCAGCTGCAGTTGGCTAGTAAGGTTCCACTGAAACTGAAGAAAACCCTTTTCAGGACACAGAGCTTTGACCTCTTTCAAATAAGGATTTCACTGTGTATCATGATTCTTGAAATAATGAGATTGCAGAATCAGCTCTTTGGGCTACACATCTAGCTCAGTCCCAAGGTGTGCAGCACCTGGTTCTGTTAATATTAAGCCAAAAAGCCATAGCTGCATCCCAATACTCAACACTGAGCATCTAACCTTCAAGCTGTCCTTAAATAGGGAAGGTTTTGTGCTACCACTGGAGCCCTGGAGTACAGGACCCCTGTAACAGGATAAATTAAGACTCAGAAAGCTACTGCACTTTAGGATAATCTAGTAAGATGAGGATTTCTGCAGCAAGAGCCAAACACTCAGAGTACTCATAATCCCTCCTGACTTTCACACTAGATCATTTTCCAGTGAGTGCTGGACTTGCATGTCATGTTACAGTTGTACACATGAGAAATACAGCAACGGTAGCTAGGCAAGCACTCTCCACTTACGACAGAGGGGGAAAGGTGTTATATTACCCTGTACAGCCGTGAAGTCATCCAGTTTGAAAGAGAACAGAAAACCTTTGGTTTCTGAGGCAGACAGCTAAGAATAGCCCTCAGCTAGAAAAATTCAACTGTACAAGCACCAAATGTCTGTGTTTTCTGACTACACCTCTGCAGTAATGTACAAACTTAGTTTATACAAATGGTCTTTCTATCAATGCCCATGTTGCATTTTCTATGAAAGATGCCTCTCAAATCTAGCCCCACCGTAAACCATCCTTCACTGAAACTGGCAGTTCCCTGAGCCAAAAGCATGAGCTACACAGTTCATGAAAAAGAGCCAAAGTGCCCCAACTCACACCCTGTGTACCCCACGCGGAGTGGGGACACATAAGAGCTGATGGCTTACAATGTATGCTATGGGGAGCAGTAAAGCTTTATCTTATAGCAGCAGTTGCACATTGGACGTAGAAGATGGAGAGAGCAGGATGCCCCAAGCCAGTGGGAGAGCAATAAAGACTGCAACCTTCACGAGGGAACAGCTCTCGAGCTGCGCCCTGTAAGGACTTCAAGTCTCCAGCATGGCTGCGAGCAGGGAAGTCAATAGACTCCGAACGCAGTTGCTCTTCTACATAGCTGATAAAATGCCAGACCTCTGCCAGCATTATGGTCCCAGCGTGTTTGATGCCATAAGAAAGCAGAGGAGAAAATAGATTCCCTGTTCTGATCAGCTCAGAATATGAGTCAAGAACTGTAACAGCAGAGTGTTATGAATACGGACAAAACCAAGCCAAACCCTTTCTCGTCATACAATTCAGAAATAATCACTCAGAATGTAGCTGACATGTCCGTGGCTGCCTGGAGCCCGAGATAAAATTTACTGAACATCTTGCAAAATATACTGACACCAAAGAAATCACAAGTGTAGTCAAAGAACAGCCTCAGACTGTATTAAATCCTCAGACTCCAAATCACGTTATTAAGGAGAAAAATACAAATACAAATAAACATCCCTGGACTCATGACTTGTCACTACAGATGCAGAAATTGCAATGAACAGTCATCACCTTTGGATTCAGCAGATTGGAGATATATGCAGTGCCGCTGATAGAAAATTTTTAGGACGATACACTCCCATCAACTCCCAAACATTCTCAATGCAGTCACAATAAAGTAGGGATCTTGTAAATGCTACTGTTTAAATATCGCTTGTCAGACAAGTGTTCACACCACTTCTCATAGCTTTACAAATCACAACTGGGTATCCAATGACAGATGAAAGAAGTGATAGAGGAAATGCTGGATGGAAAGGTTGTTAAATACAAATCATAATTTGAGTTGCATGTATCTGTATCCATTTCTGTTCATCATCTACAAAAGTTTCATGGTGCATAGAGTTATGAGGCTCTGCTCACATGCATTTGCACAGCCAGACTGTGGAATAATTGAAGCAATTCTCTGTTTTGGGAGGGAGGACTTTGTATAGAGAAAAGATGAAACAAAGAGGGAAGAAAACAGTGACTTGCATGGAAGAATACCAATAACAAGAGGAGTACCACCAATAATGATGATGAAATTGGAAGAGCTCCTTTAACACAGTGCCTGCTAACAAAAACTCTTGATTCACTATCTGAACCTAAGGAGACAAAAAGGGAGTTGAGGAGCTGATATCAGGATGCCTACACGTAACCTCTAGATCTGCCCAGTCCTACACAACCTCACTGAAATGGTAGCTTACACCAACATCAGAAAGTACTTTAACAACATTACTAATATTTTAACAGAGAAAACAACCAGACACAAAGAAAAGACAATGAAATATCAACCAAAATATGTCTCCCACCTGTGACGACAATCTTGAAGGTCAGTTTCTGGCCAGCAGCCTCACAGGTGTACTCCCCAGCATCTTTCTTCTCCACCTGACCCACCACCAGACGACGCGATTTGCCCTCCGACTCCACCTTGAACTTCTTGCTCGAGGTGATCAGTTTCCCCTCCTTGTACCATTTCACGTCGGTCTTCTCCTGGGCCACCTCGCAGCTCAGCGTGGCGTTTTGTGTCAGTATAGCCTTCACCTCCTTTTGTACTTTGTCCTTGTTTGTAAACACGTCTTCTCTCTCTGTAAGAAAGCCACAATAGTCATGCATAGCTTTTTGCAGTTGTCTTCTCTAGCGCTTAATCAGGTTCCCCCTATTTCACTATACTTGCCCCTGACAGGTAGTATGATGGCCCATTAAGACAAGAAAATACCTACATCTCTATTTTGCTGATAGAAGGTGAATAGGTGTATGGGAGTTCTGAGAAAACATTAAAAATCTCACAATTTGAGCACAAATTTGAACCCAGGACTTAGAGCACCGCCTGAACCCTCCTCCCTCTTCTCTCTTTTTCTCTCCCTATGTCTCTCCAAGCTTCCAGTGAATCAGAAGGAAACAACCCTTGTATCCTCATATCCAGGAACCGTTCCTCTTTTCCTGCTTATTTGGGTCACTCAAATTCAGTCATTCTCCAGCTAATCAGAGCTCTTTGAACACCTCCCATTTCTCTTTTATCTATCCCTGCACCTCTGCTATAGCCTCACACTGTGATTCTGCAGGAGGTTTTCTGCAGACACACCAGCTAATTGCAAAGGGTGCAGAAGTTCTCATCCTTGCCCATCACTTTTTTTGTGGTTACAACTAGTCATGGATGCAAAACTGTGTGTATAAAATGTTGATATGACAGTTGGCAAAAAATCAAGTCTTATGGCTGAAATATTTCACACCAAAGAGGTTGTGAGATGATCTTCTGAAGGCAAGATACTACCCAAAATGGAATATTCCTTTATCGCTGGAATTTCTAGCATTTTCTCACCTCTGACTTTGACTTGGAATGTTGTTCTGTCGTCTTTAGTTTCACAGGTATAGCTCCCTTGGTCTTGCTGTGTCACCTTCTTGATGATGAGCTTGCGGTGTGTCCCCTGGGAGATGACTGTTGTCCTCTGGTCTTGCTTCACCTCAGTTTGATCCTTCTTCCATACCACGGCTCCGCTCGCAGCTGACACCTCACACACCAGCTCAAGGTTTTCAGAAGGACTGACTGAAATTTCTGGAGTTGTTTTGGGCTTGTTGACAAAAGTAACAGCTTCATCTGGAAAGAAAAAGAGAAAGAAGTTTATGCCTTGATTCAGGCTTATCAGCACAAAGTTAAGATACAGTAATTACTGATCATTATTTCATTGCTAGTCACATGTGAGTGATCAAGTTTCAACTCTGGAGGTGTAAATGTACCTATTGCAATGTAACTATGACAAAGTGTTAACAGTTATGGCAATAAACTGTGGCTATGAGTCAGAAAAGTCCCTCCTGAGATACAGCAGAGTTATCTCTACTGGGGAACTCATCGTCCAAGTTTTAAATCATGCAGAGAGTTAGTACATAATGGTCTCCAGTTTGGGGGCTGGGTATTGATGAATCCTTTATACTATATCAGCCTATTAGGTCTACACTGTGACATTACTACCAGACGTATTAAATTCTAGGTAGACGTGGATCTATGCCTACTGGTATTCATAACTGAAATCCACCTAACAGACGTGCATCTGTTTTCTGCATCCCTTTCAAAAGTCAGGCATGAAAGCTCTTACAGAGCACAGACGTGGTGGTTTCTTTTACCAGAGCTGTATGTGCAGAGAGCCATGAGCAGAACCTGGCCCAACATCATGAGACCATAAAGCCTTGACACGTGCTTTAATTCACAGCTCCTGTCTCATCACACACATGAATGTTGATGCCTGACTTTCTGACAGATGGTGCAAACTCCTTCTCTGATCTTCAGATAATTAAGCTTAGTTAGAGTGCAATCACATTCATGTCTCCTACATCCTTCTGGATCTTTTAAATCAAGCTGAGATGCCCTCAAGTTGCTGACACTTTAATCACCACTCCTTGTTTATGATTTCAAGCAAGCTCTAGGGAATATGTATTGATGCCTGAGTATACAAACAGCTTTGAAAAGATCTAAGAAGTCTCAGAAAATCTTGTTAGAACTGGTGAGGAGACTTCTTTAAATGTTTCTGAGCCCATTCCTACAGCCCCATGTTCACAATATCAGTCCCGCTGGACTAATTCTTCCCCAGGCCAGGTCAGGGTACATATGGGATAATCTCATTGATAAGATATTCTCCAACTTCAAGAGGACTAAGTTAATATATGAGCCAATAGCATCACATCTTTCTGCTGAAACTTATCTTCACAGTAGAGAACTCACAACTGCTCACAGCTCATAGAGCTCAAGCAGTAGAGGTTCCTGCTTCGATACCTTTGCTCAGACTCTGCTGACTGCACAGACTGGTGGCCACACGTACGTCCTGTGCACGTACACATGCACACAGCATGCGTCATGTATGCAGCAACGATGCAATATCAACGAGATCAACTCAGGTTTTTTGCAAGTGTATTTGTAAAGGTAAAAGCGAAGGCATCTAAGTGAGCGGAGACAGGTACCTTGCATGTAAAATGTGAGCAAACCTATTCAACACGCCCTGTCCCTAAGCTAACGAGCAATTTGATGAGCACGTCAGGTATTTCATACCTTTCGTTCCATCAAGGCAGCCCTTGACTGAAGAGCAAGCTGATGGCTATCAGTCATAACCAACCTTAGCTTAGTATTGCATTTCTTTTAGCAGCAACTGTTGCTTTCAGTCACTGAATATCCCAAGGACAATTGCTATGCTACACCCATGCCAGGCACATCTGTGGCATCGGAGGACAAATATTTCAATTAAAAATTGTAATCATTAGGACTGATCTATTCTTAAAAAAATAGATGACTAAAGAAAGAGAGTCCCTCCAGAATCCTGCTGTTCAAGATTATTGGGGTAACTCATTACCATAAAGGCAGATTACTTCCCTGCCCTAAGACCATCCCCTGACTGTGCAGTGCTTCTTCTTAGCACTCTGGAAAATTTTTATGGTGAAATGTGAGACAAGGTGGAAGTTGCCCTAGCTAAGGTTTTGTTAACAGGTTGTAACTCAATCCTAGTTCCTCAAAAAGTTCATGGGGATACACGGTTATTCAGCAGATACCAGTTTTCTTTGCCTGAGACATGTGATGTTTTGTCATAGGACTTACAGGTGAGATTCACCCAACCTGCACGTGGTCATCAAAAAGTTAGGTATCCAACCTCAGGTAATCATGCAGGCTTCCTCTGTACTTGATGTTCAGACAGAGGCAGCTCCAGAACACCTTTTAAATCCATCTTTGATAGCTCTCATCAGACAGTATGAGTCAGATGATATCAATTGCCCTTTGGGGGTCAGTTCAGACAGAGCCTGGTTGGCTCTTTTAGACCAATTTTCAATGGGTAAAGTCAGGGACAATGAATTACACTCAAAGTGAAATTCCATAATGTTGGATTCTCAACCAAAGAGAACCGGAGGCAAGATGCAGAGTGAATACCTGAGCAAACACCACTGGTGAACTGGAAGTAATCAATCCCTTTAGCTCAGTAAACCCCATAGCAATCCCTCAAGACCAGTGCTGTGCTAGATTAACCAGCTCTGCTGAGTGTTTAGTTAGCTGATGGACAGCATCATAGTAACATGGATGTACTGTTACAGGTCACAAGCACTCAGTTGTTACTTCTCTTAAATTGCATTGTACTGCAGCATGTAGACATGCCATGAGAAGCTTTCAGTAGAGTTTCAATTTGTAACTTAGGACCGGGTTTAAAATTAGGCTCCAGACATAAGCCAGAAAACCACTTTTAGAAGAAAGGTTCCCACCAGGATATGCAAATTGAATCAGTTGAATTTCACAGATATTGAATTTCACAGATAAATTCTTGTGTCATTTTATACCGCGACTCCCTCCTGGACTGGAATGCATCAGTGACAAGCATTTCTCTTCTGGGCTTGACCTGACAGCCACGTGCTTTAGCACGTGCTTGATGCTGATGGGCATGTGCCACGAACCGATAGCTTCACCTACAGTACCGCAGGGAGATGTCTCGGAGGTCACAGTGTCCTTTGGGAATAGCAGGAGAGGCTTAACTCTCAAAATCAGGAGTTAAACTTGCCAAAGGAGGACACAGGGCTTTCACGGTAAGACTTTAGGACCACCTCAGTCAAAGACGATGTACGTGCTGAGCTAAAAGAATAAAGGCCAGATGCGGCTCTTGGCCTGTTCAGCCAGCGTGGTGTTCGAGTCATGACTCCAGCCCTAGTAAAAGCTTGTGCTGACTTGAATACATTACAGCATTGTTATGTTATTTTCCCATATTGTGGATTTGCATAAGGACCACAGTAAGGGTCAGAGTCTCTGAAACAGTGCTGTGCAATCTTCGCCCCAAAATCTGGCAATTTACAAGGTAATAAGACAAGTATAACGAACAAAGTCCTGAGTTTTTAACACAGACTCTGATCCCATACTTGCATCACGAACTTACCTGAGACTTTTAAATCAAATATAAGAGTGTCATCTCCAATTTTGCATGTGTATGTTCCTTCATCTTCTTTTGTCACAGCTGAAGCCACAAGCTTATGCAGTTTTCCTTTATCTTCTATGGTAAATTTCTTGCTGGCTGTGATTTCTTTGCCATCTTTGTACCACTTAACCATGATGTTGGCCTCCGAGGTCTCAGAAACAAATTCAGCCTGTTTTCCAGCAATGGCCCTGATAACTCCTCCACTTTTCTCTTTGTTTATGAAGTTTGCAAATGCTGAAACAAAACATAGACACACAGCACAGGTAGAGAAATGTGTGGACTCCAGTAAATATGTACATTTACATCTACGCTAGGTATTCATTTATCATAAGACCAAATATGCCTGTTTAATTATGGATCTAACTACTACATTCTAATGCAGAAGCAGCCAAATTTCCAGCTTTTATAAACCATATGCCTGATTATCACATGTCCAAAAACCAGAGCACATATACAGCACAGGAGGCTGAGTCAAGGGGAGAGGAAGCCCTAGGCAATAGAGCTTTAAGAAAATATCTGAGAGGACAGGAAAGAAATGAAAGCAGCAAACTGGAGGGAAGGCAATGAAGGTTATTCAATCATTATATTGTAACCACCTGGCAAATAAATCGACTCTAAAAGAGGTTAAAATGTAATCTAGATAAATTAAATTATATTAAATTACAAATCTATACAGATATCACATAGTACTGAAATGAAAAGAAATTTCTTCCTGGAAAAAAACTGAAGCATAGAAGATAAACATAAAACTGGCCCCATATAACTTGTAGTGGAATAATCGAGTCACCAATTGCCTCAAAGCAAGGATTCAAAACCCCACCAATATCCTAGCTAAAAATGCAAGCCTAAAACTACAGTCCCATCTTACTTCAGATAATGGAATTAATATTCAAACATCTTCTTAACATATTATTTTAAAACACCACACACAATCCAGTCACTTCATTGGGACCGTACAGTCAAAGCTACTAAAAGCAAAGCCTTGATTATGTATGTGTTTTTTCCTTAATTTCAAGAAAATGCTTGCAAAATACAAATTAACAACTCTCTGCAGAATGCCTGGCAAAAGCAGTTATTAGCTTTTACCGCTGATACTGTAACAAGCAGTTACAGTCTATGGTCTGGAACCAGCTAAGGGTGACTCTCTCAGACTTTTGCTCCCAAGGTGTTATCACCAGTGCTACGTCCTGGTGCAGCACATGAGGGTTCTCCTTTAGCTCAGAGACCCTATTTACAAGGATGGACCTTGGATTTAGTTTTCTTGTTTTTAGGTCCATTAGATTTCTCCAAGTCTGTGGTAGTGCTTGTAATTACGGACAAATATTTGGTAAGGAACCAATATTCACCAGCTTGAACAGTGGCAGAGTCTGGACACCTAAAAAAATGACAAGTGAGTTGGCTTGCCAAGCAGTACACTGGTAAGAAAGGAAAAGAAAACCCCAGTCCCAAATCTCCCCAAATCTAAGGCTAAAAAAATACCCAACGAGCAAATAAACAGGGAAAAAGAAGGGAAGGAAGTGACGGTGCAGTCAAGGGCCTCTCTAGCTCTGGTCCTCAAGGGATTCCATTCAATCATCAGCTTCTGGCAGGGACAGGAGCTTGCACTTGACCTCTCCAGGTCCCTGCCAGCACTGTTTTCCAGGGTTTACCAAATCTGCCTATTGGAAGCAATACCTATGGGTAAAGAAGTCATACCAGAAGCATTTAAACCAGGGAAAACCTCTTTTTTTTTTTTAATTGTTTTTTTCTTAGGGCCTCTGTTTCCACTTGTTTCTCTAATCACTCATAACGGTAGAGCTTTCCCTTCAGTAGGACGACACTTCAACGTCCTCCTACACCCAACCACCTACTCCCTTGAAGCCTGCAGGGACCGAACGCTGCTGAGACCTCTACTTCTCCACCAGCATTACTGGAACTCAGCCCACAGGTTAAAAGTTGTGGGAAGAAGAAGAGGGAGACGGGTTCATTCACACATCGTTTGCTTCCTCAGAAAACTAGAGTGAAAATTACAACCACGGCCGTCTGGAGGAGACTTCTCAGGTGTCCCATTTCGACACAGGAGGTCATGTGTCAGAGGACGCCTGGCATGTGGAGTCCCATGGCAGCGGAGGGACTGCCGTGATAAATGGCAAGTGCTTTTTCTTAGTGGGGCTTTTTTGGGCAGGAGGCCCAGCGAGTGACACACCTCTGGCCGCGGCTCGGCACGGCGGCATCTCGGCAGCCACGTGATGCCCATGTGCCAGAGGCAGCTGACCTGCTCATCAAACGATTCGCCAGCTAGCTGCGTCTGATTTATGGGAGGAACAGATAAAAAGTGGTGAAGCTGAAAGGTAAGATCCTGGGAGAGCACTTGTGAGCCTTGTCCTACAAGGATGAGATATAGGACAGCTGATTCTCCAGGAATCAAGCTACAGACAGGAGATGCTTAAGTTACAGCTTGTCAATACAGATTTTAAAATAATAGCATTGATTACTCATTTGATAGTCACACTACAGTGAAAAGCACATGGAAATGTCCATCAGCTAATTCAATTAAATCTGTGGGTAGACCTGCCAATGTGAAAAATGATGCTAAAAAGGCAGAGAGAGAGAGAAGAAAAAACCCCAAATTAAGAGCAGCTGCCAAGTGTAGACAGAAATTCCTCCCTCCATACACTTAGTCACATTTTTTAATTACTTCTTTTTCAGTTCTCTTTTGAGTTTGCTCTTTGAGAATAACCAAGCAATTAAGTTGTCAAATGCAAAACATACACATTACTCTGGGGCTGTGTTGTTCCTACAGACACCAAGGAGGGCAAGAAGCCAGCAGAACATGATGATGAAGCACCTTATACTTACTTAGTGTAGAAACAGTGCGATCATTGCTGGGAAGAAGGTGAGGGTTGAGTTACAGGACAGAATGCGGAAATCAAATGGCTTTACAAAGTGCACATGCCAGTTCAAAGCAAAAGAGCTACTGAACTCACCCCAGATGATGTCTGACAACAGGCTAGACTGTTCTGAAGTCAGGTTGTATATTCTGAACCTCAGCAGACATCTAGATGATACCCAAGAGGAACGGTCTGGGGATACACTGGGGCTTTTTAGCCAAAACCTGGTCCCATTCAAGGCAGAGGAAACTCTCCTATGAACTAGTTCATAAAAGCTTGCACAGATGGAAAGGCTTGCAAGAGGGAGGCTTAACGCTGTTGGTTTGAGGGTAAAGGTTCAAGACTCCATGTCTTGCTCTGGGAGTGGATGTGCCCACCAGCTAGGTAGCAGGCAGTCAGGGGGGAAGGGACTGCCATGAAAGCAAAAGCAGCTGATCAGGGCAACTGTAAAACAGTACTGGTTCAAATCTAACAAGCAGGAAACACTGAAAGAAAATGACATTTTTATGTTTGTTCTATAGAGCCTTCCATCTGAATACCTTGCGAATAGCAATGAGTCAAGGCATCCAATGTGCCCTGGAAAGGTCTGTTCTTATTCATCAGGGTATTGCCAGAAAACAAAAAAAAAAACCCAAACAAATAACAAAAAAAATCCCGTGATGCCAAGATTACCTTGGTTCTTCAGAACTTTAATCAGAGCTGAACAAGCTCTTCAGTGACATATCCTATAGCAAGTATAGGGCAGACATGGGATCATGCGCGTCATGTCCTGCCCCTGTGGCTGAATTGCTTCATCACAAAAGCAGCTTCTCACTACCCACCGTTCAACCTCATGAAATAACACCAAGTTTGTGTGGAATATCAAGATGCTGATGTGAGTGAAAGCACAGCTCTTACCGCTGAGACAGCATTAGATCTTGGATTCACTCCCAAGTTCTCCTACTCTGGGAGCACAGACACTGTCAAGGCTAGATGTTGATGGGGAGTTATCACAATTCCCTTTGCTGCCTCCGGAGCACTCCCTTTCTCTCCCTTGATGACTCTATTGGCTTAGGGCAGGATCAGGCAATTAGCCATTAATGCAAAGCAGCCCAGACAGTCACATACCTTTCACTGAAAGCTGATAGAGCATTTTATCCCCTTCACAGATGCACTCATAAACTCCAGCATCCTCTGCTGCAGTGTTGTGAATTTTCAGGATGTGCCTCTTCCCCACAGTTTGAAGTTCATATTTTTCATTGGACTTGAGCTCTTTCCCATCCTTCATCCACTTCACAGTAGCCTCTGTGTCCGAAAGCTCAGCCTGAAGTTTGGCTTCCTCCCGCAGCCGAGCAGAGACTTTTTCTATATCTCTGCTCTTGTTGGTAAATCTCACTGCAGCACCTGTCAGGAAAAAAGGCTTTGTTACTTCAAGTTATATCGAAGTAACGTGTCCCTGATATAAGCCTGCTGTAGAGTGTGAGATCTCTGAAAAAGTGTGAGGTCCCGTTCCTGCCCTCACACTCATGTCAATACTGAGCATTTTTTTCCAGTTCAGGAGACTCGATCTGGTTTTATTGCCAGAGTCACTAAGGAAAAAAAAAAAGCATATCTTTCTACTGATTAATAATATTCTAAGCATGCTTCTGCAGAGATTTGCACCCAAGGTCAAACACATCCTTCCAGAATGAATGTCTATTCATTACCTTTTGCCATGCAATGTGGGTAGATATAGCTGTTGTCATGATTTCATTGAGGAGAGCTGGAGCACCTAACTCTCAATGCTAAATTGAGTGACATGATACTAAGTTGTACATCACCCACATCTGTGGTAGACTAAAAAACTCCAAGAAAAAAAAACGTTCTTAGTAATTAATACTCCTTTACTTTTGAGAAGCTGTACTACAGTCAGAAAGATTAGCCAAATCTGGAGCTGAAATTACTAGCTTAAGGTGACTCAGTGGTAGATCTGGTGACAGAATCCACTGACTGATGGCTGTGAACTACAGAAATTCATGAGCTGAAGTTAAGCAGTCTAGTTAAGATACCAACCAGCTGGCTAGATTAACTCACTCTGAACTCTGTGCTGTCATGGTGAGGTCATTACCAGGACCCCACGTTAGTTCATATGACGCAATTTCGGGTACTCCCTACAGACCAGGCATCATTGAAAGCCTCCGGCCTCAGTTCTAATCATCGGTTCACAGCAACTGCCCCTTGACTGGAAGAAGAAAGGACAGTGATGAAAATAAATACCTTTCACTCTCATCTTGGTGCTGGTGTCAACATTATTGGCAACAAATTTCACTTCTGCTCCATCATCGTTCTTGGTGACGTTCTTTATGATCAGGGTGTGAGTAGTTTGGGTTCTCTTAATGATGTAGGTCTCACTTTCCTGTAAGACTTTACCATTAAGGTACCAAGTGCCGGAACATGTCGTCGTAAGGTCAAGAGTAAACAGGGCATCCCCTCCAGGTACAGCTTCAACGGTTGTCAGGGGGGTTTTCACAGCCAGGACCGGTTCTAGGGAAGAAGAACAACACGTATCCCTGAGACGAAAGGACACAAGACTGCCACGCTGGAGAATAGTTCTTCCTAAGAACAAAGTTTTGGGGGTAAACAAGACATGAGAATAAAATCCTGCAGCCTTAATACAATTTGCATGCACTGTTGGTCAACAGGATTTGATTTCTACAGCTGCAGGTAACTGACCTCTAGCATTAGGGTAAGTCCTGTTTCTGCAGAGAAGGAACAACAGGCATATTTTACTGATTTTTTTTTTCCCCCTTAGATGTTTGAAGGCATAACAAGTTAGGGAACCTAGGTGTTTCAGGCAAGTGTGTTATGTATTTAATAACCAGTAATATACTTAGATTTCAGGAGGATCCTAAGGAGGCCACCCAGCCTACTAGTCACTTCCAGATATTCTAGGAGAACAGAGGCGTGTTCAGACAGCTAGGGGAAAGGATGACACAATAACGAGGCACAGTACGATCAAAGTCTGTGCAGATATTGTCCAGTGCAATGAATCAAAGGAAGAAGCAATCCCATTGCACACAATGATTCTATGGGCACATTGGCACCCTAGAAATAAAGTAAAACCCCCATATTTCTCCTAGTAACTCTAAGATTAAAGAGAGACTGACTGGAACTTGGTTTTCATGACAGTATGATCACCCGTAAATATTCTCTAGGTGCAAGTTTGATATCTCATTGATACATTGAATATTATATTATAAGACCACCTCAATTTTTCCTTTCATACCAGGTCTAGAAGAAGCGCTTACAGGCTTAAGGTCCATTGCGGAGAGCTCTGCCTCTCACACAGCCTGATGCAAGTTATTGGAATAGAAGCATATTCACAGCTCTATCACAGAAATCCCAACCACCATCACTTTGGTGATGGTCAAGTGGTTGAACTGAGACAGGAGAACCACCAGCAAAGGGAAAAAGGTTTTGCTGTGCAATTGCTCTATCCTCCTCAAAGTCATGGAAGCATCTTTAGAGCACCCACGTGGCAGATCAGCACAGACTGACCCATTTTTATGATGTTTTTGTGCTCACCAAGGTGCATGCTCCCCGGGAACTCCAGGTAGGGGCTCTGTCCATAGGCGTTGACTGCAGAAACTCTGAACTGATAGTCGGCCTCTTCCGACAGGTTGCTCACTGTGAACTCTGGGACAGGGACGTGGGACTCATGGCACCTCACCCAGGTAAAGCCAGTTAGTTTCTTGCGTTCCACAACGTAGCCATCAATTGGAATGGGGCGGTCCATCTTTGGAGGGGACCATGCTAGCGTCACTGAGGTTTCTGTTTTATTTTTCACCAGAGGGTCAACTGGGGGTTGGGTGGGAGGTTTTTTGGGAGCTGCACAAAGGGAAAAAAAAAAAAACAAACCAGAGTAAGAAGTTTGTCAGCATGGAAAAGCCACTGTGCCTCACTGAAAAAGCTTACACCGGACTAAAAGCTGCTCTTGCTTAATAAACCTCCATAACACATTTTTGTGAGATGGAAAAGACAGAAAATGGATAGAAGATGCTTTTGGGCTGCATTACACAAAGATGTACAATACTCCTACCTCCACAGCTAAACATAAGTGATTTCTACACAATATTACAATTGTCTGCACAGACAAAGAGTCTACAATGAACAATTCATAGGCTTAAATTTTCAGTGCTAGATACAGACCCACACTAGTTCCTATACAGCTCCTGAGCAAAGCAGACTAACACTCAGCTTGTTATTTTTCACTCAGAAGATGGGTAAAACCACTATCAAAGGTTGTTCAAAATTCTGTGCACCAGATTCCTGGTCCACTTCCCTAGTGTGAATCCAGGCTAAAAAAAAAAAAAATACCTCAACGGGATTACTCTGGCAAGATGGCACAATTCTGCCCTGCTTTCTAAACATCATTGCACAGGGATAGTTGCACTAATATTGTAAGTCTGCTGGTAGTTGTCTTCTGTCAGAATTTCAACCATACACATCTGAGCAGTCAGGAAAATAGATGTGCCTGTGAAAACCAATGAGTGGCAAGGCACCACTGCATCAAGGAAGAGCGTGGCAATATTTTGCAATGTTTTGCACAGAGGTGTGGCATCCTGCAGAGCAATGTAAATCCACTCCGTAAAAAGCAGCCTGTGCCAGGAGTCTGTGTCCTCCGTTTCTTCTTGAGAAGCTGTTCCAACCGTACACTAAAACTTTTCATCCCAGATCCTCAACAGGTTTCAACGCAGAGCAGCTAAACATTGTAAAACTGGGACATTTCAGAGATAACAGATAGACATGAATAAACAGTGCATGGGTTTCGGAGTTATGGAGATCTCAGTTGCTTGTTACCCAGGCTTGGCTGTTCTCTGCAGCCGCTTTCAGCTGGGTATCTGTCCTCTGCCCTGCTTCTGAATTTTATGCTGTTGCCCACTCGGAAGGCGTGTTGTAACTCTGTCTCCCAAGAGTGATAGCTATCATTGGGGATCTCTGTTTTAGTAGTTTATGCAGAGCCAGCTTCTGGGGTTGGGGAATTAACTTCCAAAGGAAATGACATAAAGACATGTCCCCGCCATGAGACCCTACAACTGAGGAGATGTGGGTATTTTATGGTACCGGAGGTCACAAATGTATGCCTGCAGGTATTTGCATAATGAAGATTTACACTCACCCTCTCATTCCTCTTGAACCCTTTAGAGAAGGCTCAAGTCCCATCAGCTTTATTCACTACACGCTGCCACTAATACGGTCAAGAGGCTGGGAATTATCTGGTATGCTCTAGTTACACATCTACTGACGTGGTAAAGGATTCATTTCATTTAATTTTGGCTATCTGAAAGGCGTCTGGTTTAAATCAGTCAACCAGACTCCAACTGTGATCCCATGGAGAACAGCACACTCAGGAGCAATTCATGCCAGCTTAAAGAGGTGTGCGAGATGGGTGAAACAAATCGCACATTGCAGCTACTCAAGTATTCTTGACTATGGAGGGAGCCTGTACAATGACCCTAGACTAAAAATCAAACTCTAGAACAACTGATCTTCTCTCTGCCTCAGTTTACCCATGTTTAAAAAGGCCATAGTAAAAATGCAAGATACTGAGCAAATAATATATAAACACTGCTTGCCTGATAAAAGCTATTAGAACAGCCAACACCAATCTTGTCCAGCTAATTGAAAATGATGTGAGCATATTACACTGGATTCTTCAAGAAGCTGATCAGATATGCATGAGGTGTAAAAATAGGAAATCTCAATGCGATACACTTTTTCTTCTTTACATAAATAGATACATCAGTTTTTTGGGGTGCACAGTTACCAGCCTGTCAACTACTGCTGGTCAGAGCTAGATGCCAAAGGTCCCATTAGTATGGCATTAAGCTGAAAACTAGACCCTGGAATCAGATCTCTTGACCTTACCATCAGTAAGAGTAATGTAATATTTTCTTCAGAGAGACCTGTTTGTGGGAAGGCAGCTTCTTACCTTTTTCTATTCTATGAATCAACACTTGCTTCATAACTTAAACAGCAGAGGCCAAAATCAAACTGAAGTTTGTCATTCCCATTGAGTAGGTGCTTGGTTGGATGTTACAGCTTTCCAAATACCTTAGAAACTGTCACAATGCTAAATATGACACTTACCTCATTTTTTCCTCATTTTAGCTTAATAGCATCAAAATGCCCCAACCAAGTGTAGATAACACAGCAGCTACAAACCTTTAAATAAAGATTTCTTTTTACTACTGACTAATTGCAGTTTGGAGGTGGTGGTGGGAGAAAAGAAGTATTATTCTTCCCAAATAGTGACTAGAGTGGATGATTTGTTCACATGCAAACTGGAACCGCAGCAGAGCCAGAAACCACATGCAGTTCTCTGTCTTAAATGACATCATTTTTGCCTGGGAAATGCAGTGCCATCAAAATAAAGTTAAACAAAATTAGGCAACTTCACCAAAATTTCATTTCAGGTCCGATCTCAACTACGTTGCACCTGCTGCTACTGCTCTGTCAACTAAAACCCTCGCTCAGATCAGATGTGCCAGCTGAAGGAATTCTCCAGCCTGCGTATTATATCAGTCTCCCCAAGTAAAGCTAAACAGGACAAAGATCCCTTCTTTCAGCATAGCTACCATCAATTCACAGGGTCCTCCCAGCTCTGTCATGTCAAAGAGAGGATGAGAGAGGACACATCTTTGCTGGTCTACACAAAAGGAAGGAAACTATATTTTCAGCAGGAAGTATTTCCCCTTTTTCTTGCAGGTTTGGGCTTTTTTTTTTTTTTTAAATATATATTTTACTTTAATGCAAACAGCTTAAGAAGCTAAATCAAAGTAAGATATTTCAAGTTCAACATTTGACTGGCTCTGAAATGCTTCATGTGTGTGCATGTAGATGTTTCTTCACAAATGTTTTTACTTGCTAGAATGGAAAGAAACTTCATACTCTGCCAAAAATGTTCAGGGCACCTACTTCCCTGCAAGAGCCAGCATACCCACAAGCTACCCTCATGGCTCTGTAGACTCAGACCTAGGGAAGGAATTGAATGCTGGCTAACTCTCCCCTCCAAATCCTCAGTGAAGAGAGAGAGGGAGATATAAGTGGCCCCTATTTGCTAGAAGACGTATTATGCCCATAGCAAGAATTGATAAATTCCCCTCAAAGAAACTAATGATTTTGGAAAATGGAGGTCAGTGTGTAAAGGGAGCACCCGCAGTGCTCTGTGTACAATGAAGCAAGGGGACTGCGACATATGCAACTTACACGTTGATTTCCAAACACCTCCCAGTGGGGAGAAGATGCATATCCCTTACCCCATGTTTTACTCATTTATCATTTTACGTTCAGTCTAGCATGAAACGAGAATGGTACAGAGAAGATACATGTTTGTGCCATGTTTTTTCCCCAGGACTCTTTTCTCTCTCTGTTTTGATCTCTCCATAACATCTCATCACACTGATGTTCAGGTTGTTGGCTTTTTGTGGCAGACATCAAACCTTCTGCTGTCTTTGTACAGCAAACTTACCATGGTGGTACCTGAAACACCAGTGCTACCACAGGAGTACCTGCTTGCTGGGGAAGACACAATACCAAGGCTGAATAAAAGTGAAGCTTACTGGTCACAGTGAACTGGGTAGAAGTCCTGCTTTCATCAGCCAGGAAGACAATCTCACCAGCATCTTCCATCTTACACTCTCGGATGATCATGGTATGTTGCTTGCCGGAGCACGTGATGGAGATTCGATCACTGGGCTTCACTTCTTCTTTATTTTTCAGCCATCGGATGTTCTGGCATTCATTGTCCAGCTCCACACAGAATATGGCTGTATCATTTATGAAGACTGCAGTCTTTCGTGGAAGTTTTTTAATGATGTTCCCTTTAAATAAGAAATTAATTATGATCAGCAAACAGCAGGTATTAAAGTCTCTGGCAACACTGGACCATCCAGACTACAACAGGACTAGCCAACAGCTCTCACCTAACCAAAACATTGTAGACACTATCCTGACATTCCTAAATGAATTCTTAGGCTCTGAGTTATACAGAACAGATAATCCTAAAGACTTATTTTGGCCTTCAAAGAGAGAAAAGCAATCTTGTTTGAAGACAGTCGCTCATGTTTCTAGCCTACCACGTGGAGTCTGCTGTTGGGTAAACACAACGTACATGGCCTTGCCAAGAACAGATTTGACAGTGATATGGCTTTCATTGGCCACATATGCTGGGAATTCAGATTAAAACTTTGCTAAAGTAGGTCAGTCTTAAACTAGACAGGTCTCTTGTCTGTCTTTGGGATTTTGCCTCCATCAAAGTTACATAACCAAGATGGCAAACACACCGGTCACCTGAATTAATAGAAAATAGACTGGAAAACCTCAGATTTCTTCTTAGAGTCAACCCAGAAATTCACATGGAATGGACTTCACTTATTTGTGTCCTTTCCAAGTGACTGTGGTGATTACCACGTATTAGAATAACCTCAAAGTTACAAGATGTGACTATTCACAGGAAAGCTTGGACAAAGCATCAGGAGACCACCCCTACTGACAGACGGTGACCGGCTCCGGCCCTGGCACAGTCCCAGCGAGGCAGAAGAGCCCTCACCCAGGCAAAGCACCTCTCACCATTTAATGAGAAGCAATGCTGAACGCCTTCATACAGCAACAGATCTGGCACAGATTTCATCAGTAGGGTTCAAGACCCTGATTCTCTGCTCACCCTCTCCGAAGCTTGGCCGCACATCTGCTCGTTGCTGCCCTCAGCAGTGTCCCCGTCCTGAAGCCCTTTACATCTTGCCAAGCTCTGACATTCTCCCAACCCCACCCTGCTCTCTCAAATCTTCTCCCCCCAGGGCAGTCACAGGGCTCCCTCAGGAAGGCTCTGCCTCCTTTCTGTCCTGAGATCACCACCTGGCTCAGTCACTCTCTTTTTGACGGAACATCCCATAGTACCATAGCGCAAACAAGTAAGACAAATACCAGCTCTCCTACTGGGGCCAAACGCACTTACTGTGTTTGGCTGGTCTAGACCTAACAGAAGGTGCAACAAAAAGATGTCTATCTGAACTCTCCCACATCTCCAGACTAAATTTTCCCTTCTGCCTCCACCCATGTGCACTCTCAACTCTTTGCTAATGATACCAAAAAGAATTTGCACAAGGATGCACGTCACCCAGCTGTCTTGCACCAATTTATGTAGCGAAGAACTTCTGGTTCCACTGGGAGCAAAGCCAGGCTTCAAATGAGTCAGGACAAGTGCAATCCTGTAGCTATGACAGGTCTCCACTTCATGCAACAGGAGACGTGTCAATGATACCAGCATAAGCATCATCAAAATCAAAACTGCAGGTCCTGAAGTTGTATGGGTAGGTTCTTGCTTATACAGCAAGTCAGGGAGCTCAGAACCAATGGCCCCTTCTGCAGACATGCCTGCATCTCTGATGTGTGTGTCTACTCGCTGTGAGACGCCTATGCCATACCAGGCTCTACACCTACTTGCACTTCAGTCCTAAGCCACCAGACTCAGAAGACGTGGGCATGGATCTATATCCACATTTGGCCCCTTTCTCATCAGCTTTCCAAACACCAGAGAACACCTCCAGACATCAGGCATCTGCAGCGTGGATCTGGTTTCCAATCCAAAACCATACTGGTGCTGACTGCAGCCTGCACCACACATTGGACCATAAACCAGAGCTGCTAAGCCAGCTTCCCAGTGTGGTCAGCACCACTCTTGGAAGAGATTCACCGTAGTGTTCGCCAGACACCAGACAAGACATGTGTGAGACAGGGCCAGGGGATACATCCGATGCTTGAGATCATGTTAAGGAAAGTCTACAGTGCTAGGCTACGGCTCAAGAACTTCACCTTCTAGGAAGCCCCTTGAAGCATATGTCCCCACCAGTGACGTATCTTGTGCAGCAACACAATCTGTCCCTGCTCTCTGACCCTGCGTCCCAGATACACCCTGGCAGGAGACCCAGCGACCCACTGACCGACCACACGTGGCTCTCCTCTCGCGCCGTACGGGAGTCTGCTGTTATGCACTGCACAGATGCGTGGGGTAAAAGCCATTCACAAGGTCGAGTCTGGAGTCTCATGCGTGAATCTCACACTTGGTACGCGAGACTTGGACGGTCTGAAAGAGCAAGAGCCTTTCTTACCTTGGACAGACAACTCTGCGATGGTCCTGCTCCCTTCTTTCATCTCACAGATATAGACAGCATCATCGTCTGTGGTGACGTTCTGGACAGTGAGCCGGCGATACGTGCCCTCTTCTTCGATGTTGTATTTCTTGCTCTGCCGGAGTTTGGTTTCCTCCTTGAACCAAGCTGTCTCTGTACTTGGAACAGGCACTTCGCATTGGAAGGTGGCAGATTCCTTCTCCCTCACTTCAAGATCCTGCAGTTTTTCCTTGAAGGGTATTGAGGGTTCTTAAGAGGATAAAAACAGAAAGCAGAAACAAGAGATTATAATGGTCTGTGGCAAGAGGTGTGCAAATAAGTCAATAGAAAAAAAATTAACCAACTACACTCCTTATTAATGATATTGATTTGTCTTGAGCTGCCATCCAAACCCATAATCAAGGCCTACTACAGTAGGTGTTCTGCTCTCACATTAAAAAAAAAAAAAATCCTAGATCCCAGCAGAATTATTTTAAGGACTTATCTAAAAACGAAGCAGTATCAGTCTGAACTGCAGTACCTGCCCCACAACACCACACGGAGGACTTTGCTCTGATCCAAAGCAATGTGAGCACGTTGGTGGAGCATCACATCAATAAAGTCTGCTCTTGTGGCCCGCTCGTCCTCTAGCGTGAACACCTCTGCGTTGCACCTTGCCACTAAGTGACACCAACAAAATCAAGGGCAGGAGCCACCCACCCTGACTCTACACATAGCAACAGCCCCTTCACGTCAGAGTACAAGCCCTTAGAAGTAATGGTGCTACAGGTGGGTAAATAGCAAACAAGCTGGTCATGGGGAGAGGGCACAGGGCAGCAATTCTAGGTGAGTGTGAGCAGCTGAGCTGGTCAGCTGGTGCAAGAACCAATGTTTTAGGGGTCTTGCAGCAGAAGCAAGTTCAGTGGAGTGATCTGAAAGGACACAGAAAGATGAGAGGTGGCTGTGCACAGGACAGATGTGGGCGAAAGCACAGAAGTAGCTGATGGAGGAGATTTTTGTTTTCCCCACCAGCATCAAAGGCTCTATATCACATTTTGTCAGTGACAATAAAGGAACTACAGACAGATCCCAAGTCTCTCAGCTGCCTCTGCTTTCCTCCAGCAGTGGAGCTGCAGTGTTCTGGCTTAGGGAGAAACCAGAGTGTAGACCAAACATGCAAAACAGCTGCATGGCAATAAGGGAAGACATTTTAGGAACAGAACGATGTTTAATTCCAATGACAGCTGCACTGTGAAATCATCCTGATAGCCCAGCACTAAACTGGAGAAAGGGGAGTTGGACAGCCTGTGGTAACAGCCACGGGACTGGTGCCACAGTCGTATCACGGACTCGGATTAGCCAGTGCTGACGCATCACCACTCATGCTTTGTGAGCGATCATGTCTTGACATGTACCTTCATCTTCCAATAACTACTGCACCAGCTCCCAGCCTTTTTTTTGTGGCTCCATTCTCCCTCTCCTTGACCACACACACTCCCAGGCTGGTAATGTCATGTGGTCACTAGCAGTCAGTAATGCCAGCTATTAGTCTAAGAGTCAAACAGGAGTAGACTTGTCTTAGATTTATAAGCCCATGCCCATAGTGGCACATCCCACTCAGCTTCACAGTGCTCTAGAGGTTGGAGAAACAAAAATCAAGGCCCTCAAACATCCCAGATCCGAGCTTTGATGTTCAGGAGCCTCCGTTTTGTAAAATTCAGATCTGATGGCAGCTCAGCGTCTGAGTCCATCACCTGTCCCCTCCTGCCCCACCATTAGGACAGGAGCTGCTGTGGGAGCAGTGCTGTCTTTGATCTGGTTTTCTCTTTTCTGAACTCAAGCCCTAGAAACTCATGGGTTCAGTTTTGCAGGTCTTTCATTCCCCCCCTGGCACAGCCACGATTGGAGCTGTCACGTAAAGACCTCCGACCATTTCTAGCTGAGCACAGCCTGCACAGAGATACCAGACCCTAAGGGCTTGACAGGACACCTGGAGGGAGCAATGCTATCTACTACCTTGTGTTATCCTGAGAGTAAAACCTGACTGGGAACCCATACAATACCTTTAGGAACAGGAAGGTGACTCTAGCTCACCATGTCAACTTGGTTATTTTCTTAAAATATGTTTTGCCTTAATGCACCTCAGTTCAAGGCAAGTCAAAGTCTTGCCTTCAAAAGCCTTCAGCGATGGTTACACACACCTGCTCTGCCCACACTCTACATGTTAATTATCTTTTTTTCTTTAACCAACAGGCAACTCAGAGTCCTGCCCTGCAATCAATCACCTCTGGAAATGCAATATCACCTCTGGAAGTGCCCCATGTAGTCAGGGGGAATGAAACAGTTGTAATTCTCATGCCATGGGAACAAGCAAGAGGATGAGACCAAGAAATCATTAATCAGAAGGGTGCCAGCCTCTGAGAGGTGGATGCAGTGTTGCTGTGTGAGATAGGTGGGAGTCTGGTTCTGACAATGAGAACACACAGACATGCCCAAGGGCCAGAAGAAAATATGAGATGCACCTGAGAAGCACACAAGTGTATTCTCATACTTGGAGCAACTGGCCATATCATTAACTGCTCTCCCTTTACAGTCACTAAGCAGTATCTAAAGTTAAAAGAAAAAAAAAAAAAGCTACTCTAGGAAAAACCTCTTAAATGTACAAATGTTGGTTGATTGGTTTTGTATGTGTTGCAGTAACAGCACTGCTTTTCCAGGCAGGAAAAGTAGATGCAAAGCCATCTTTGGCAGCTTGGGGTCACAGATATCCTCAGAATACACCTTTGCTTTTGTCCTACTGACACGTGCACACACGTCTTATCTCACTCTGAATGGAGCTTCAGAGAGACAGCAGCTGATAAACTGAATCAAAGCCTGGGATTCACCCATCCCACTGCTTTTTTTGCTTTGGAGATGTGGGAGATGCTCCAAAACCCACCAGCCTCCTCTTCCTGAATATATCTTCATGCTCTGCATCGTCTAGCGTGTACCTGGTCAGACAGTAGGGGTTAATTTTGGAGAGGGGACTACAGAAGGACCACAGAGTAGGTCTACCTTTAGAGTAGCTGGAAAAGCAGTTCAAGTAGATGTCATTTCCTACAGAATCCAACCAAAAGTACGAAACAGTGTTTTTCTGATCACTCCAAATCCATCATTATCTAAAAACATTTAGTTCCATGAGAGGTCAGTGGTGTGAATTTGAATGGGAATTCTGCTTTGTCCTTGTAACACCTGGACTCCCAGGACATTGCTCATTTTCATTAACTCAGAGTGCCCTGACAGGTCATTTAATTTCATCTCTAGTATCAGTATGGTTTGGGTTTTTTAAAAATTTTTTGTCTGTACAGTTTTTTCTATTAATCTGGTTTTAGCCAAAGCAGAAATACTCATTAAGGAATATAATGAAGGCAATAATATTTCTAAAGAAGGAGAACTAAGAGATAAAATAAGAGATCTACAAAAACCTGCCTGTTGGGAAAAATGTGAGATAGAAACAGCAAAGCAAAACCCTGAGGGAGCACGGAGCAAGAGCAGCTCATGGAGTTAGCAGGAAACTGCAAGAGCTTAGATCAGATATGAATTTGGCTGCTTGTCTTGAGAACATATTTCTCCAGAGTGTCATAGGCTTTTTTGTTTGATCCATACCAACCAAACTAGCAATGAGATGATGTTATTTTTTAAAAGCAGGTCCTGCTAATACATATTTTGCTAAGAATAGGTGCAGCCTGCAGAGAAGCCAATGTTTCCTTAACCTTCTCAAGGCATATCTGTCTGTTTGACCTGCTCTTCTCACTTCCCTACATTTCCTCTTGCCTATTCCTGGCCTTCTCATGGGCTCTCCGTTTATTATTCCAGAGTCAAGTTTTCCCTCTGCCTAACAAAAATGATCCAGTGAGAGTAAGAATATGGGAGCTATCTAAAGGTACATGGACAAGCTTCCACCATCTTGTGCCTTTGGTCTTCTTCCTAGTTACTGTGCTTTCCAAGTTTCCTTTCTACCTCCACATTTCTCAAGTTCTCTTTCAGATCTCCAATGTGACTGCCATGACAGTGGTCATCCAAAATAATTTCAGTTCAGAGGGAAAATAAAGTGGCCTCAGCACCAGTCTGTTTTTCCAGTCTCCATCCTATCTGGCTTGCAACCTTTAACCTTTCCATACAGTATCTGATTACTGTATTCGGGGACTCAGATGAACCTTGCTTGGCCCAGGCCCAAGGATGGAGACCTGTACGCTGTTCTTGCTAACTTTACACATGGCCTAGGGACATCTTCAAAGCCTTCAGGAGATTCAAGTTGGTTATTCGTGTTCCTCCCAGCCTCTCTGCTCTTTGGTTTGTCAAAGAGGTTTACTCTTGGGAAGCATGTCCTAACTTCTTTTACACCTCACATTTCAGCATACGGCTTGTGATTTTATCCCTGCTCTAGACACATTTCTGAATTGGAGTAATCAGCTCTTGGTTTTCCATAATTGTGAGAGTGACTCTGCCCTGTAGCCTCTCCTTTGAGGTTTACATCTGATTCACTACATTTCATTTAGGAACAGCTCAAAAATCTCTTTTTTTCAGCTCAGTGATCTTTAAGGCATGGGCTCAGCAAAGTGCTTACAAATATGTTGGGTCCCTAGGTCTAGGGCCTAGAATGACAGAATATAGGAGGCTTTCTAGAGAAGGTTTGACCTGTGCCCAGTCCTATGTCCTGAGAGACTGCTAAAAGCCACCTTACAGACAGGATGTTGGGCTAGGTAGTCTTTTTCTATTATTACCTTTAAAAGACCCATAAATATTCTCATTCAGATTCTTGTGTTGAAATTCTGTGACCCAAAATGCCAGATCATATTTAAACCCATGAAGCTTGTGTTTCCTGGTACGTGTGTCTATGGATCTATGGACACAACCTGTGGATGCAGCGTCACAGGCTCTACAAAGATGCTGTTACCTGCAGAAAGACCAGTGCAGCAGCATGGTGCTTACCAAGGGTGGCTGCTTGGAGAATTTAACCTCTTCTGCATGACTGAGCAAAGAGAAGGTTGTTTAGAGACCTACCTCTCTAAACCCGATGGCAGATGAACTAATGGCATCACCAATGGCACAAACAACAGAATTAAGAGCTCCTTCACTGCTACATCATTCTGAGCTGTCTTTGGAGGGCTGAGAAGGACTTCTGGTGACACAAAGGAAAGTCATTATTCAGGGCCTAATTATAACCAACACACGTAGATTTTCCATGGCAGCCTTGGCCTGGTCAGAAAGCCCAATATGGTATAGCGTGACAAAGAAACAGTCCATAAACATTCCCACTTAAGCCCTCTGACTCACAGGCATCTCTTGACAATGGACATTGATCGATAACTTTTTCCCATGGTGCTCGCTCCCAGACCTGCTGCTTCGCATGCCTTCCCCATCTCCTTTGGAAAAGCTTGCAGCCATTGAGAATAATTAAAGAAGCGTGGGTAGAGGGGAGGGTGTTTGTCTTTGCAAGACAGGTGTTGGGCAAGTAAGAGAGCTTGAGCCATCCTCAAAGTCAACCCCTACCCAAGGGCCAGGCTCGGTCTTCAGCTCCGAGTCCTGACTCATGAGGTAATCACAGCTTTTGGAAGAGGACATATGCCCTTCCCAACACCACTCAGCACCTCCAAGGGATAGCAACGAGTGGGACAAGTGCCAGCGAGTTCCACGGGTCAGGTGTCACTGATGGACAGGGGACCGAGTCACTGACGGGAAAGACGGTGAGTGTGAAAGGAGAGGTCCAGAAAAGGGAAACCAGAAAACCGAAGAAAAGCTCAGAGCCTTAAAGATGGGTATGAAACACCGACCGTTCCTACTCGTTTGGATTTCTAATTTATTTTGCTGCCAGTCAAAAACATCTATTTTGCCACTCAGGTGCCACTCTCTTTTACATCTGAGATTTAATTTACAGGTGCTGCCTGGGTTGCAAACTGCCTGCTGTAACCTTGCCAAATGGGACAGCAGCTTGAAAATTTAGAGCTTCCTTTGTGAAAATGTGTGTCACGTTTTTGTCGCCATTCTGAAGAACTTGGTCTGACCTCCACCAGCATTGAGGGACCCTCTGAAAGCAAGTTATTCACCACTGACCACAGCAAACACAGGTATCCTGGACCTGGTAGAGTTCTGGGAGCATAAAAGGACTGCAGGCTATCCAGCAACACAAGCTAGGAAAAGGCCAAAGAGCCTGGCAAGAACAAGACTGCTGGTGGGTCACTGTACAGGAAAATTGAGATGGACTGTAATTAGAGTTGGAGTAGGTCCCCCAAGGGATCCAAGGCAGCCTGACACACTCAGCTTGCAGGGAGGAGTTTCCTCTGCTACTGCTTAAATGGCAGGTGTGTGCCAGTTTGACTAAACACGGAGGCGGATATAAACCCAGATGTGATGAAAGCCTGGAGGGTAAGATGGGACTTTAGCAGTCACTGATCCAGAGGATGGTAAGGGATCTGTTAGATTACTATAAAACCAGGATGGATGGGAGCTTTAGAGATCTGGTTCACCCCAGCTGCCCCACAAACAGCCAGTTCCACATCATCCATCCCTGACTGGTGCCCATTTATTGCCCTTCCTAACCGCCCCCAGTGATAAGAGTCTCCCCCCCGGTCATCTATTCCAGTACTTAACGCCCTTTTACAGCTGGACGGCTTTATTCATGTCCAACCCACACTCCTTTGCAGCAGCTCGGTGGCAGAAGTTTTGTTCGTGCTCCCACCCCAATTCAGAAGTGCATTGGCTGTCTCCTCGCAAGCACGTCCACCCCAGTGAGAAGCACAAGCACCCACCTTTGACGGTGACGAGCACGGAGCTGTACGTCTGGCCTGCCAGGTTGGAAGCCGTGCAGGTGTACAGCCCGTTGTCTACCTGCTTGCAGAAGAGGATCTTCAGCACAAAGTTCTCCTGATCGTCCTCGTAGATGACGTGCCGCCGCCCTTCCAAAATGACCTCGTTGTCCTTCTTCCACACAATCTCGGGCTTGGGCTCGCCCGTCACGTAGCAGCTCAGCTTGGCGTGCTTCCCCTCCGTCACGCTGCACGTGCGTGTCAGCGCCCCAAAAGTCGCGTTGCGGGCCCCTTTGGTGGTCAGCCCAGCCACCCTTTCGTAATCTCGGGAAAGACTGTAGCCGATGCCAGACAACCCTTCTGCCATGGAGTAAGACTGGGCAGACGTTGAATCGAGAGCCCCGTGAGAGATGTCCAGCTTCCTGATCTCCTCCCGCCTCTTTTGCAAGTGCGACAACAAGGATGCCGTCTTGCCGCAGCTGGTATCGAAGTGGCTGCTGCTGCCCGGGTTGGAAAAACCCTGCGTTTCCACCACCAGCGCAGCCGAAGCGCTGGCGGAGCCGATGGGATTCTCTGCCCGGCAGGTGTAGGTGCCGCTGTCCCCAAGCCGGGCTCGCTGGATGGTGAGAGCGTTTGACTCCCCAGCAGACTCAATCTGGAAGCGTCCAGCATCAGCCTGGTTCTGCAGGTGTCTCCCATCCTTCTCCCAGTTGACCGAGAGGGGAGGGCTGCCCTGGACTTTGCATTTGAACATGGCATCTTCTCCCAATGTTACTTTGATGGAGGAGGGTTTCTGGATGAAGTACGGGGCTGACTCCGTTACTGTGGTCTCCTCTCCAACTTTGATGCTGACAGCTGCAAAAGCTTCCCCAATGGTGTTCTTGGCCCGGCAGATGTATTGGCCGCTGTCCTCCAGGTTCAGATCATAGATTGTTAGCCGATAGAGATCCCCATCTTCCGTGGTTTTAAACCTTCCTCCAGACTGGACTGGAAGTTTATCCTTTTCCCAGCTCACAACTGGGATGGGGTTTCCAATGATCTGGCAGCTCAAGGTGGCATCCTTCCCCACAGACACCATAAACGCCTTAGGTCGGGTCAAGAACCGGGGGACTCCACTGAACGAGCTGTAATCCATCTCGGTTTCCTTCCTAAAGGGCGAGAAAGAAAAATGTCAAGGGAGAGCAGATTAGATGGTGCAGGCAAAGAATTGCTGCCCTTCCACGGTGTCAGGGTGTTTTGTCATCTAGAACAGTCACGTTTTTATTGTCCTTCTCATTATGGGTGAGAAGGCCTTGCAATATTTTAGGTCCTGCAGATTTCTTAGATTTGAGCTCAATAAACTGCTGACAGAGAAGGTAGCTCACTTCCCCACAGCAGTCACTGGGTAAAATACAAGTCTTTGGGCAGTTCATAAAGAACATGATGGTCCCTTTCAGCTTTGGTACTAGGAAAGTGACCTGCACTAATGCTACATAACGTATGGGCTAGTTCTGTAGCCATAGAGAAATAAATGGACATTATATTCTGAGATGTGTCTACCCATCAAGATACCTCCTCCATCAAGCTCATCTCCTCTTCATTTTCATCTCTTTTTCTATCTCATTGCCCTTGCTCTTTTCAAATTGTCTCTTTCTCCTTACCTTTTTTTTTTGCCTTTTTTTTTTTTTTTTAATTTCTGCTTCTACAACATGCTTCATGTCTCCTCTTGCCCTCCCTGGTCATTACCCATCCCTAGGCCTTGTTCTCTGAACCACATTCACACAGACCTTACAGCAAACCCCTTTCCTGCAGCAGCCAGCCTTTAGGAGGACGCACAGGTACGCCTGTCATATTATTGACGATATTTCTCTTTATTCACAGCTTCTTTTCAACACAACCACTGAGATACAGCTACTTTGACGGCAACAGTAGCCGATGAGTATCTATGGCTTATATACAGCCTCATCCAGATGGTGTAGGGCCAGAGACAGCTGCAACGAGGCTGGGTGTTTCTTATCGCCTGTTTATTCTCAGCTGCTCTCAGAGGGCACCAACCTGCAGCTGTTTGATGATACGGACCAGCCAAGGGGACGAGGCTTAGGCAGCATTCAAAACTAAAGCTCATGGCAACTCTGGTGCTATTGTGTCCCGAGAAAGTAAAAAAAAAAAAAAAATCAGTGGCACTAATCTTTACAGCCATGTTCACTTACACACAGAATCTATCCATCCCTGTTCAGCTGGAGAGCAATTCAACAGAGGTCACTGCCTTCAGGGTCCCCTTCAAGTCCACCTAGCACACAAACATTTCTTGCTTCTTCACTGCTCCTTACATGGATTCCTGGATGTCCTTCCCCTTCTGCTTCTAATCCTCCAGGAAGCCCTTTCCCATGCATTGGCTAGGATATACTTTGATAAGTATAGGACAGCTAGGAGCCTGGTCTTCACCCCATTAGCACCAGTAACTGTGCACCAGCTGACTCTCCCTGGGAGCAGGATTAGACCTGATGATACTGCTCTGTATGGAGAGCAAGCGCCCAAGCTCCAAGCCTCTCTGGAAGTCCTACTCAGAAGACTTGAGTGCACTGTTTCTCTCCAAGCTACTATATCTCTTTGGCCTCACGATGCCAGACGCTCCTGTCTTAACAAGTTCATGCAGCTCCTGCCTGAGCTGTATGGACGGTCTCTACCATGGGGCGATTGAAGTGCTGGTGTCACATCTGTGCTTTTTCACCTTCAAAGTGCCACACAAAGCAAAGCGACCAGGGCACCGTGCGTTGTAACTCAGAAAGGAAATATTAACCAGTCACTGCGACAGAAATATCCTTCTTAATCCTACAGCAGTTTGGCTTCCCCGCTGGCCACAAATCCACCCACTCCCTCACCCAATGGCAGATGCTCTCACACCCCCCCCCCCCCCCCCCCCCCCCCCCC